GTCAGGTGAAATGCTTCAGGAACTCAGTGAGAGTTGTTTCCTGTTTCCTGGGAGCCTCCCTCTAGGACAGTGGTTCTTAGCCCTTCCTAAAGCTGCAACCCTGTAATACAGTTCTTCATGTGGTGGTGACCCCCAACCTTTACACTGCTACTTCATAACTGTAACTTTGCTACCGTTATGAATTGTAGCTATCTGATATTCAGACTATCCGATATGCAACCCCCGTGAAAGGCTTGTTCGACTTCCAGAGGACTCGCAGCATACAGATTGCGAACCAGCGTTCTAGTGTAAAACAGATTAAGATGTAACTAACTTCTTGTATCTTAGGGAGGCTCATTCCACCATGGGATGTGGAACTCAGAGGAAATTGCTGCATATCTCCAATATCATAGAGTCTTGTCCTTCTGAGCTTTAACTGTCAACTTGACGCAGCCTAGAGTCATCTGAGAAGGGCATCTCAATTGAGAAATTGCCCAGATCAGATCAGCCTGTAGGAATATCTGTGAGAGATTGCCTTGTTAATTATAGTAGGGCCCAGCCCACTGTGGGCAGCACCATCCCCTGGGCAGACGGCCCTGGCTGTCTACGAAAGCTAAGTAAGCATGAACCCGTGAGCAAGCCAGCAAGCAATATTCTCCCATGGTTTCTACAGCAGGTCCATGCCTTGACTTTTCCTGATGGCCTATGACCTGGAAGTTGTAGGTCAAATCCTCCCCTCCGAGTTGCTTTTGGTCAGTATTTTATCACATAACAGGAAACAAGCAGGTCTGTCCCAGCTTCCGCTTCCTCCTCACGGTTTCACACAGGGTGTCTTGGTCTCTGTATCATCTCCCCTTCACAGGCTTTGCTTGGCCTCAGCAGCTTCCGTGGACATCGGTGTGGGCCTGCATGTACCACATAATTGGATTGTGCTTGTCTTTAAAGCAGTGTAATCTGTGCTGCTAAGTTCTGCACAAATTTGAGACGTGGTCTGGCCCCTTTTACCACAGCTGTGATGATCTCCACCGAGGTTGCTTTCTGGCAGGGAACTCCTTCAGGAATATTCTCACATCAAGTTTTCTCCTTCCCAATGAGTTTGTGTTTTCACAAAATGAAGTCTTCGTGGGAGGAGGGGATTCTTGCTTTTAGAGCGCCATTCCTGTTGTCCCAATGTAGAACACAAGATTTCTGTTTTATGGTACGAATCTCTTGAGGAGTTACAGCTGCTCTCTGTACTAAACTTACTGGCTTCTGTAAATTTGGTCGTACCCCTTTCCTTGGCAGACTGTACTTTTCATATAACATTTTACAGTCTAGGTCCTACGCTGGTTTGAAATTCTCTCTCTAAACAGCTGTAGCGGTCTGAATGAGAATGGCTCCCATAGGCTCATATAGTTGAATGTTTGGTTACCAGTTGGAGGACTGTTTAGGAAAATCTAGGAGGTGTGGCCTTGTTGGAGGAGGAGGTGTGTCACTGGAGGTGAGTGTTGAGGTTTTAAAAACCTATGTCAGGCCCAGGATCCCCTGCTCCATCTCTGCCTGCTGTTTATATAGCAGATGTAAGCTCTCAGCTCCTGCTGCAGCACCATCCATGCTTGCCTGCATCCGTGTCCCCCTCACCATGATGGCCATGAACTCACCCTGAAACCATAAACAATCTCCCAATTAAATGCTTTCTTTTGTAAGTTACCTTGGTCATGGTGTCTCTTTACAGCAAGTAGAACAAAAGCTGAGACAATTACTTAGTCCATTGCTTTTGAATTCAGCTTTATTCTTCAGACATGGGCAGACTGCAGTCTGATTCTAGGCCAGAATGGGAACACAAATGACCTTCCAGCTCAGTTCCCAAGAGTCCTTGTTCCCCTCTGAAGCCTCATGAGCTCAGGCAGTACTGTACTCATTTCCATTGCACTCTGGTCTTTCAACCCCCTACCCAAATTCACCCCTTAAACTGTGCTGACAGCCTTCTGGGCTTCTGTAGCCCACAGCTCCAAACATTGGTCCCACAAAACAGTTCAAAGCCCAAGAATAACAGGTTTCTTAAAACAATACTCCCACTTTGGGTACCAGTTTTCTATATTAGCTACATTTTTGTTATTGCTGCAACCAATGTTAGCAGTAATTAAAGGTAAAAGCCTGGACCCTGGTAGCCTCAATAAGCTGGGTTTAGCCACCTGTCTTTAAGCCAGTCGAGCAAACAATAGTAAAAAGGAGGTTTATTCAGTGTGGCCACACTGGGAAAAGGAACAGAGAGATACAGTGACGCCTCCCTGCAAACCCCATCTTTGGGGTCTTGGCGTGAGGTTTAAAAATGTAGTGGGCAAGAGTTATTCATAGCTAAGCATCCCAATCAAGGTATGGTCTACCCATCTCTGACTCATCTGATGCCTGTCTCCATCCTCCGTTTCACTGTATTACAGGTGTGCACCTGCGCACCTGGCTTTATGTACATTCTGGTGATCCGGACTCAGGTCCTCATGCACATCCTACCCGCTGAGCCATCTCCCCAGCAGAGGCAGAGCTTCTCATTTGCCTGGACATTACCGAGTAGGTGTCAACTCCGTGGGAAACAATTGTATGTCTGGCAGCAGGCTGACTGTATTAGACTTTTTTCATTAAGAAGGGGCCAGAGATGAATCTTCCCTAACAAGTACATATTCTGGATAAGACTTGCCCCCCTTGCCCATAATGCCCCGTGGTTGCTTTACTCATCATTGTGATTTGGATGAGAGTAAGGGCTTCCATAGGCTCATAGATTTGGATGCTTCGTCACCAAAGAGTGGCACTGTTTGAAAGGGTATGGAGGTATGGCCTTGTTGGAGGATGTGTGGCATTAGGGGTGGGGTTTGAGATTTCAGAAGCCCCTGCCAAGCCCAGAGGCTCCCTCTTCCTTCTGTCTACAGATCCAGATGGAGCATTCTCAGCTACTTCTCCAGCATCACATCCTGCTTGCTGCCATGCTCCCTACCAGGGTGACAATGAACTAAACCTCTGAAACTGTAAGCCAGCCCCAATTAAATGGTGTCCTTTATAAGAGCTGCCTTGGTCATGGTGTCTCTTCATGACATTCCCATAGTAAACACTTCTCTGTCTCTCTCTGTCTCTCTCTCTTTCTCTCTCTGTCTCTCTCTCTCTCTCTCTCTCTCTCTCTCTCTGTGTGTGTGTGTGTGTGTGTGTGTGTGTGTGTGTGTGTGTGTTTACAGGAATGTTTGAGTCTGTGGATGAAGGCCAGAGGTCAATCTCAGATGTCTTTTTCAATTGTTCTCCACCTTCTTTTTTGAGACAGGACCGCTCTCACTGAGCTTGAACCTTCCCTGATTGGCTAGACTGGCTGACCAGTGAGTCCCTGGGCTCCTCCTGTCTCCTGGCACTGGAATTACAGGTGTGCACTGTACAAAGGCAAGCATGAGGACCTAGTTTAGATCCCTAATACTTACACAGAAGCAACGCGTGGCTGCTTAGTCAGCCTCACCACTTCTTAGTCAGAGCTCCGTTGCTGGGAGAGACACCATGACCATGGTGACGCTTATAAAGGAGACCATCTAATTGGGGCTTTCTTACACTTTGGAGACTTAGTCCATTCTCACCATCATGGCAGGAAGTGTAGCGGCAGGCTCCCCAAGGCCACACCACCTAATCCTGTCAAAGAGTTCTGCTCCCCACCAACTGAGCACTCGCATGTATGGATGGCTGTGTAGCCTTTATATGGTTGCTAATCTCTTCAGCAACTGCACCCTTCTTTGAAGTGGCCTGAAACATACCCTGGTGGTCACACCTCTACCAGGTATCTGAGCTTTCCTCTCTGACTCTCTGCTCCTTCAAAGTCTGCACAAATTAGTCAACTTGTAACTTTTATCTTTTTGACGGAGTAGGAAATGAGTAGCCATCACCTCGCTTGCCCAGAGTCCAGCTGTCTTAGTGCACCTCTCTATTGCTTTGTGAAAACACTGACTAAAATAACCTGGGGAGGAAACCATATATTTGGCTAATGGTTACAGACCATCCCGAGGGAAGCCCAGGGAAGCCAAGGCTGGAGCTTAAGTCGGAGGCACACTGTTCACTAGATAGCTTTCCATGGCTTGCTCTGCCTGCTAGCAGGGGCGGCACTGCGCACAGTGGGCTGGATTCTCCCACATCAATCAATAATCACGAAAACGCCCTCTAGATATGCCCGTAGGATAATCTAATGGAGGCAGTTTTTCAATTGCTTGTCCCTTGTCCCAGATGACTATAGCAAGAGTCAACTTGACAAAAATCTTACCAGCGCAGTGGACCTTTGGGAGATACATCTAGGATCCGGCTATGGCAATGTATAAATTTATGCATGCAAATATGTTTCTTTGGTCTATTTTGATCCATTCATCTCTTTCTTACCCAAGGTAGATTCTCTAGTCTGAACAAGAAAAGGAATTGGATTAAGGCTTTACTAAAGTAGACTGGGGAATTGGCTCAGTGGTTAAGAGCACTTCTCTTGCAGAAGGCTCATATTTGATTCCTAGCACCTCCTCCATCTGCGACTCCAGTCCCAGCGAATGCGATGACCTCTTCCGACTTTTCTGGCACCAGGCACGAATGTGGTGCTCATACATACATGCATGCAAAACACTCATACACATAAAATAAAATAAATCTTTTTAAAAAACACTTAATAAAACAGAGTTTTAGCATTTGCAGGAAGAAATAAAAAGATTATTAAGAAAGGATGACACATTTAAGTAAAATAAAAAATGCTTTGAAATTTGTTTGGATGAATCTTTATTGAACTACAATGATTTTTCACTTTTAATAACATGTCTTTGAAAAGATTTATTTTTATTTTTTATTTTTTATTTTTTTTTTTTTGGTTTTTCGAGACAGGGTTTCTCTGTGGTTTTGGAGCCTGTCCTAGAACTAGCTCTTGTAGACCAGGCTGGTCTTGAACTCACAGAGATCCGCCTGCCTCTGCCTCCCAAGTGCTGGGATTAAAGGCGTGCGCCACCACCGCCCGGCTTATTTTTATTTTATGTGTATGTTTGCCTGCATATATGTATGTATACCACATGCATGCCCAGTACCCATGGAGGCCAGAAGACAGCATCAGGTCCTCTGGAGCTAGAGTTACAGATAACTGTGAGCTACCACGTGATAGCTGGAACTGAATGGGGCCCTGAGAACCACCAGCACCAGGCCTGAGCCTTGACTTCTTAGTAAGGACAGTTCAGCATCAGGGCCCTCTGCCTTGGACCACCCTGCCTACTTTGTTACTCAAACCTCAAGCCGAGAGACTTCTGGGCAACCAGGAGCCCGAGAGAACTTGTAGAATGCAAACCAGTGCTTGAAAGTTTTCAAATCTGGGACCAAAATCCGGCTTCATCTGGACACTCTAGATGAATTCATCTCAGTTCTTCAATACTGTCTGCCACATACTGCGAAGAAAAGCTGGATGGAAAGTTTGATAGAGCTGGAGTTATCTTTATCCATCTAAATGCATACAGAAATAAAATAGATCCACACAAAAAAAGATTACCTCTCAGTTCTGAACGAAATCCTGGATGGAGCTGTTTGGACTTGAAAAGTTGTAAGTTGAGCATTTTCTGCCACATTGGGTAGAGAACTATCATCAATTCTTTTTTTCTGCTTAATTGGTACCTGGAATATCAAGTTGATGATAGGATATTTTTTTAAAGGTGGCAAATGATATTTTTTGGTTTTGTTTTGGTTTGGTTTTTGAGACAGGGTCTCTCTGTGTAGCTCTGGCTGCCCTGGAACCAGCTCTGTAGACCAGGCTGGCCTCAAACACAGAGATCTGCCTGTCTCCCTGCTCTTGCCCCAGTGCAGGAATTAAAGGCCTGCTCCACCCCTGCCCTGCCGCTGAAGGATTCTTATAGCATAGCATGGGCACTGCTGCCGCCAAGACCAACAGCACTGGCTCTAGGGAGGTGGCCTTTGGCGGGCTCGTCATAAAGTCAGGGGGAAGGCGCTCCAGGTGGGGACGAGAAGACCTGCTCTCCTGGAGCAGCCTAAACACTCCTTGGGGCTCTGTCATTAACGTCAGCACTGCGCCATCTTTGTAGAACATCTCTGTGCATATATCACAGTCACGTGTGTGTCCTGTCTGTCAGACCTGTCAGGTTGTCTGTCTTATCTCCACACCTTCTTAGGAAGTCACATCACGGACAGGCTTGGAGTGGCTTGAGCTCAGGCTGGGTGTTGCCTGCCTTCATATCTTCTGCTTGGGGATCCCTATTTGTACCCACACTCATGGAACCACAAGATACTCGACTGTAGGGTTTATTTTAGTATCATGGTAGGGTTTATTTGGCAGTAGCCAACAGCTAGCCCTAGTCCCTTACCCTGCCAGGTTTCTCACGTCCAGTGGGTCTCCGTCAATGCACTTAGCTAGTTAGCCTCTTCCACCACAAGAGTTATGACCCGCAACACCCCCAAAGTACTCAGACCTTTCAGAAGTGACATGAAGATGGGCTGAACTGTGAAATGTCTTGTTTTCCGTCACACATGGCGGTCTTCTCTTGGTAGAAGGCTTTTACAAGCAAAGATACTGCTTTTCCTCCATACTGTACGCATGGACTCAGCCAACCACAGACCAAAAAATATTGGGAAAAGATAAAATTCGTACTGCGTGCACAGACTTTTTTCTGTCTACATTCCCTAAGTGATATAATAATTATTTGCACTGTTTCAACATTATAAATAATCAAGAGGTGATTTAAAGTATATAGGAGGTTGTGTGTAGATTGCATGTAAATGCTACACTATTCTGTGTAAGGAACTTAAGCACCTGTAGGCTTTGGTACCTATGGGGGTCCTAGAACCAACTCCTCATGGATACCGAAGGACAACTCTACTAGAATTTTACATGTTAGGGAAAGATGATTGCACACCCTGAGGAGTGGAGTGATGGCCCTGATTTGGTAACCTTAGTAACACGGCCCTGATTTGGTAACCGTAGTAACATAACCCTGATTTGGTAAGGTTTCATTGATTCCCATCTCCTTCCTACCTTTTCTTCCTTTCTTTCTTTCTTTCTTTCTTTCTTTCTTCCTTGTTTGTTTTTGTTTGTTTGTTTGTTTTCCAAGACAGGGTTTCTCTGTAGCTATCAAGCCTGTCCTGGAACTAGATCCTATAAACCAGGCTGGCCTCGAACTCACAGAGATCCGCCTGCCACTGCCTCCCAAGTGCTGGAATTAAAGGCGTGTGCCATCACCGCCCAGCCTCCCTACCCTTTCTTACCCATATATTTTAAATGCTGCAATGAACTTCCATCCAGACCTAGACTGCCAATTGGAAAATCACAAGGAAAGTTTGGGGATCTGTGAGAAGGCTCAACAGGTAAAGGTGTTTGCTGCCAAGCTTGATGGCCTGAGTTTAATCTCCAGAACCAAAATGGTGGAAAGAGAGAAATAACTCCTTCAATTTGTCCCCTGATCTCCATACGCACATGCTGGAACATACATGGTGTGTATATGACATACAATAACAAACAAACAAATAAATAAAAGAGGAAGGCATGGGGAAATTAGACGAGGGACCTGATATTAATAATTATTGTCGATGATTAAAGAAGAAACTCAAAGAGAATCCAGCAAGGTTCTGGTACTAATTTCCAGAGCCATTGGGTGGGCTGTAATTCAGAAAGGGCCCTGGGCTTATTTTAACACTAAAACTGTAAAACAGATCCAAGCTACCTGGCTAACATCCAGATGTAGAATTTTCCTAATGTAAGTTTGAAATTACCCTAGACGTATACACCAGGTATAAAGTCTTCTTGTTTCCTACGTATAAGCAAGCTCAGCATCACTCACAGTCTTTGGCCTTTGAATCCTTCTTGCCATTTTATTGCCAAGAAGATTAGTCTTTGGAAACCGCTGGTGGGAACATCTGGATAATGCAGCAGCAGAGTTTAGGGAGCGGTGGGTCTGGGGCGTAAGCCCTATAAAGAAAAAGGAAAAGAAAGTAGATCTCTGGCTGCAGTGTGCAGAGCCCAGTTTAACACAGAGCATTCCCTCTGTGTGTTTCTCCTTCCCCTCTCCCTGATGGATGTGAGCCCTAAGCTAGGTAGAATGAATTAATAGTGATCACAGGTAACTCTCCCTCCCCCGCTTTGATTTTTTAATTTTTTATTATGAACTGCCATATGAGTGCTGGGAATTGAACCAGGTCCTCTGGAAAGCAGTCAGTGTGCTCTTAACCCCGAAGCCATCTCTCCAGCTCCGTTTATAGGTAACTCTTTAAAGAAGCTTAACGATGAGCAGGAAAAGGCTGGCGAATAGGGTCCTGGGAGGTGGTTTTTCAAGTTTGTTTGGCTGTTGTTTTTGATTAGCTCAGACTGGCCAGCACCACACTCTTCAGTCCTTCCTGCCTTCAGTGATGGGATAGGCCGAGCACTGAGGCTGTGGGCCAGGATTACAGGTATAAGCCATCAAACCCGGCTTCAATGAAGGCTTTTTATTTTAGTAGATTTTATGACCTTTACACATACATGAACGATACATAATTGTTAGCTGTTGCAAGATCCCTCCTGGGTTATACATCCTAAAGGAATGTTCCCCAGGACCCTCAACGGACAGGAAATACGAGGGTGGAGATAGGAAAGGGAAAGGGTTGCTCAAAACTCCTGAGGAGGAAGCATGGACAGGATCCTGTCCACTGGGATTGCTCGGGTTTTCACGGCTACAATGAAGTATCAGAGGACTGCTAACACTATAAAGAGAAGAGGTTGATTTGAGTCACAGTTTGGGAGGATCAAAGTCCCGATTCAGGAGATGGGGAGGGGTGGGTGAGGTAGGTGGGCACTCAACTGGTCCAGGCTCAAGGGAGGAAAAGACAGCATAGGGAGGTAGGGAGCTGAAGCCAGGGAGTGAGCCCAGGATCAGGTCCACTCTGCTAGCGGCCCCACCGAAGCTTCAGTTTGTTAGGGAGCTGGGTGACACTGGGAGGCTTGGGGGCTGCTGAATATGGATTTGAATCTTGTAGTCAGTCTTGTCCATCCTTAAGATTTAAATCATCACATGAAAGGGTGGTAGCAGGGCTTCGCTAGGCCCTATTAGAGGAAAATCCCCCCATCAAAATAATAGGACCTGAGCTTTTCCTCTATCCGCGGGTGAAGAAATGATATTCTAACCCACCCCCGAATTATAGGTTCTTTTGTCTTTTCCTTAAGAATTAATCTTAATGGGTCTGTCAGCCAACTAGCCAGAAAGTCTCCCTTCAGGAATGCTGAAGACAGACTAAGCAGACTGGAGGAATACTTACCTCCCTAGGAAGAAGACATGGCTACTTACACACCAGAGACCGCTCCCCCAGTGCAGGCGCTTATAGGTCTTTATACGAAGCCTGCCTGTCTTTCTAAAATCTAACTAAAAGGAACAAAACTTTTCTTTTCCTTCTTTTTAATCCCTTCTCTATTGGTCAAAATCCTAACACGCTTCCCCCATACTCTCACCGTTCTTACTCTTTCCCCAGATACCAGCCGCCACAGTCCTGTCCCCTGCAGCTGCTTCCTGGCCTCTGCTGTTGAGAAAGCCTGCTTCTCTGGACCCGAACTCAGAAGACAGCTCTTCTCCATCACCTCCCTCACAGCTGTTGCTGAGACTGGCTGTTTATCCTCCCTGTTGTTATTTCCCTTTCAAATTCAAACAAAATATTTCTTCATCTTTCTGAGTCTGTTTTTAAATTCTTTTATCAACAAGACTATGAAGCCACAAACAGGAGAGCCAACTCCCAAGGAACAAGGGGCTCCACAGGACCTTCCTAAATCCTTTTTGAGGGCAGCACCACAGTAACCAAAGACCCTCCAAGCTAAGCTCCACCACTTAAAGGTCCCACCCACCTCTAGGGTGTGCACTGTAGGGACTACCTCACACAGCCAAACCACATCCGACCTGTGGCAGGAGGTCGTGCCAGAGGTTTCCAGGCTTTGGGGCTCTTTTTTGAAGGATTGGAACAGGGGAATGACACGGATTTGCAGAAGTAGCAAGACAGCTTTATTCAAAGCAAGGCAAAGCCCAGATAAGAAAGGGCCCCTCGGCCGGGCGGTGGTGGTGCACGCCTTTAATCCCAGCACTCGGGAGGCAGAGGCAGGCGGATCTCTGTGAGTTCGAGACCAGCCTGGTCTACAAGAGCTAGTTCCAGGACAGGCTCCAAAACCACAGAGAAACCCTGTCTCGAAAAACCAAAAAAAAAAAAAAAAAAAAAAAAGAAAGAAAGGGCCCCTCCTGTCAAGACTGACAGCTGACCACATAAAGGAGGTTATGCCAAGGTCCCAGTTACTGTTTAGGGTTTCCTCTTATAGGGCTATAGAGAAGGAGGAGGCTGATTCTTAAGAATTCACTCTGTACACCAGGCTGGCCTTGAACTCAGAGATCCATCTTCCTCTGTGTTCAGAGTGTTGGGATTAAAGGCATGTGCCACCCCTGACCAGCAGGTTCTATATTTTGACCAATAGATTAGGTGCTATAATCATTTCTCCTATTATGGACAATCCTTTCCCATCATGCATCTTACCATCACATACACACCTGATTACATAAGCATCAGATGATAGGTAGGGTAATCTCCCCAAGAGTTCACTTTGAGGGCACAGTGTGAGTTACTGTGCATGCACCCAAACCCATCTTAGGCTGACTGGGGCGGTCTCCTACCGGGATATATCGAGAACACATTCAAACAGAAACTGTTAACATTTGGTTATTCTTAGAGGCGGAGAAACATTACTGGATGTGTAGTCCCGTGTAGGAGGAGCTCTGAGGTTGCTAGGGGAACTGTTTGAAGAGGGGTGTGTGCACAGAACAAGAATGGTTAGGAGGGTGCCCGGTCCCCGTGCCTGCCTGCCTCAAGTGCACATCTGTACTTCCTCTCTGCAGGAAGGAGTACGGCTGCGCACTGTCAGCGGCTTGTTTGTTCTGAGTTAACTTTCAATCTAGGTAAGCTAGACTCGGTGGCCTTTACGTCTGTCACCCCGCCCCTGCAGAGAGGAGACAATAAGGAGAAAAGTGCCACACCACAGACTTGGAAGACAAGACTGATCACCTGACTAGAGGGGCAAGGGGAAACTTTGCAATGATTGGCTGCCTTTGCCCCCATCCCCATGCAATCTGCGGCCCGTGCTGAGACCAAAGACAGATCTCTAACGTATTAATTCAATATCTTCTCAGATTGCTGGCTCCGTGGATAAAGCACAGTTTAAAGATTCAATTCTTGGTTTTCGGCCCATGTGTAGGGGTGCCACAGACCCAGCTACAAAACCCCTTCACCTGGTAAGGGGAATCTGCTAGGCCTGAAGCCCAAAGTAAGTTCTTTTTCTACTAGAAAAGAGCCCTCCCTCAACTTAAAAAGGAGGGACCACCTGAGCACCTCATTCTGGCTCTCCTCCATAACTGTGCAGATATTGGGGGTCCTGGATGGCAGCTCTCTAGGAGACATTGCCAAGAAGGAATTACAAAAACATCTGGTGGGAGAGAAGTAGAGAGGGAGGAGAGGGAAAAAGGTCCCCAGCATAAGGCATGTAGAACTGCTTGGCGGCAGTGGTCACAACAGGACTCCATCTTAGGGCTGGGTTAGGCTGTGGCAGGCCCCCTTCAAGGGCAAGGCAAGCGCAGAGTCAAGGAGGAGGATCGGCGGGTTTCAGGAACAAGTCCAGCTCTGTTCCTAGTGAGCCTGGACTCACTCGACTGTCCGCTTGGGAAAGACTGTATTTCCTCAGCTCACTCGTGTTGGCAAACAGCCAAAAGGAAACCCAGATAAAGAACTAAACACGTGCATGAAAGTGTAGTACCCATCTTGTGCAATTCCTGACTCCTGACAAAAGATCCCCCTAAGTATCAGACGGGTGTTCTTCCATTTAACACGTAGGATAAGTCATGGAGGTTTATTCACATTTTACTGTGTGGCGGGCAATCAAGCTACGTAAAGTTACACAGCTAGCAGTAAACGGGGATCTGGTGGTCCCCCTCCAAAGCCTGCGCATTCAACCAATCTATGTGACGGATGGGAGACAAAGAGAGAGCTTGACTGGCCCCAGCAATGACCCACGCGTGGTCACCAGCATTTGGTGATATTTGTGGTCAATCTGGAATTCATTCAGTACTCATCTCACAGGGGAGGAAGCCAACTAAGAGTGGCTCTGGGGTCTGTCGCCATGCTGCCGGGAGGACTACTCTGATGGACATCTCCGCAGGAGCCCTGAGCTCCCAGCACCCAGCAATCATAATGTAGTTTATGAATAGCACCCTAGAAATGTGGTCATTGGTACCGCAGACCACCAAGACGCTCCAGCAAGCAATGCGACACTTTCTGCTCTTCAAGTGGTATTTTACATACTCTGACCAGCCATGACTGATGAGAGTAGATAACAACACAAATCTGAGAAGGTTTTTTGTTTTAAATCCATATGTTATCCATTCAGTCCACATTCATGAAGAGCCCACTCCTGGCCTTGGGTTGTTACCCAGTCTTGGAGTCATGGAGGTTCCCTTTAAACTAATGTCCCCAAGACTGGGTGGTCCTTCTAGCCAGAGGAAGGTGCACTTACCAGCTGGGCAGCCCATCTGGAGAGGTGGCTGCTCCATGTCATGAAGCTGACTCTGTAGCTCCCGCACTCGTTGGAAGGCATCCAGCTTCATACTACGCTCCTGGGCAAGCCGGCTTCTCATCTGAGGCGAGAGGGTGGGAAGCGGGATCCTTTGTGGTGCTTTCTTGAGTTCCCTTGGCTCCCAGGTGACTTTTGAGGGAGAATGTGGGTCCAAGGCTACCCCATGAGGGAGAGTATGGGTTCAAGGCTACCCCATGAGAAGCAGTCAATCTTCAGGGTCCTGCATAGGCTAAACACAGGCCTGAGTTTGTGTTCCTGGGAAGGAACAGCTAAAGTAAACTGAATTAAATAAAGAGGACCAGAAGCCATCGGTGGAATCCTTACTTTATAATCACTTTATAATTACGACTTTGTGCTTCTCTAAAAACTAACATTTACTCATTGTTGTATCTATTTACCTATTTATGCGTCCGTGTCTGGGAAAAATCTGCTCCCTGCAGCTGCAACATTGCCCTGGCCAGTTCTCCCCTTGCACACTGACCTAGCATCTCTAAGCAGGCGAGGGGAGGATCCAAAGTGTTTCTCATCTGAACAAATCACAAGTATTTCTCTTTTAAAATCTAGCCCCTAATTGCTTTTAACTCTGACAACAAGGTCACTGCATAACAAGCAGGAATTGGAAGGCTGGACCTCCCAAAGGGAAGAAGGCCAGGGAAATACCAACTACCACCCAAAACTAGAGGGGACATGGGACAGACTTTTTTTTTTTTTTTCTTTTTTACAACTTCTGAAAGACTCCAATCTGGCTAGGATCTCATTTTCAGATTTAAGTGTGATAAATAAATGTTTATTGTCAACCATCAAGTTTATGGTAATTTTCTCTCTCTCTCTCTCTCTCTCTCTCTCTCTCTCTCTCTCTCTCTCTCTTCTCTCTGTGCCTGTGTGTGTGTTTGTGTCTGCCTGCCTGCCTGTCTTGATTTTGGAGACAGGATCTCATGTAGCCTAGGCTGGCTTCAAACTCCTGATTCTGCTTCTGCCTCCCAAGTGATGGGTCACAGTTCCATGAGTCTAAGCGGTGCTATGGGTCAAACTCAAGGCTTCATGCCCACCAGGCCAACACTCTTATGAGCTGACATACACCTCCAGCCCACCTCTAGGAAAAGCTTTAAAATACAGTCCTGTGGGTTTTAAATCTAAATAGAAAGCCCTTCATACCAGTAACTGTGGTCATGAGTTGACTGGTGTGGGGTTCCCCCAAATATAGTTTAAATCTCAGTAGCTCCTCAGAGCTTTCGGTTAGCAGGGTATTGTCACGTAAAGCAGGTCCATAGTCCCATGAATGCTAGGCATGTATGTCAGGCCCTCGTGCTCCAGGCACGCTGGGGCGGGGGTGGGTTGGGGATGTCACAGCCAGTAGGGGTGGAAGAGGAGCTGGAAGAAGCATAATGAGGGCTTCCTAGCCAAGTCAGGGAAATCTGAGAGGTACTAGCAGAGGGAAGAGGCAGACTTACTAAGGCCCCTCCTTGTACACAATGCCTTGGCCAAAATCATTCAAAGAGAGGGTTGAGCCCAGGTCTATCTGTGTTTCTGAGGCTTGTCTTGTGTTGATGGTCCCATCACGATCATAAACACTAACCCCAGGGAAAGTTAGCTATCAGTGCTTTTCCTGGATTTGAGTCATTTGCTCTCCCCCCACAACCTATGAAGTCAGTATATTGTTTTCTCTTTTGCACCGATGCAGAAACTAACTCAGAAAAGTCATGAAGAGGGCCAAAGTCACCCAGCCAGTTATAGCTTGGGGATGGATTCCCAAGCCTAGGCACTAAGTGATCTTTCCAGACACAGCACAGGCAAAGGGTGTTGTCTGGTCAGTCAGTCATTAGTCGCCCGTGGAGGTGGAGGTTAAAGATAGGCCAAAGAAGCCACTGCTGGCCATGGGCGGGGTGGGGGCAGGGGAGTTCCTGGTGGCCTTTTGCTGGCTGAGAATTGCCACTTGGGGTGGAGAAGCCCAGGGACACAAGGGCTGTCAGAGAGGGGGAGGGGTAGTTCAGAAAGAGCCAGCAGTTTTGATGGAAATGTGCTTATTGAGAAAACTCAAAATATTTATTTTAATTGCCTTCAGAATCTCTGCTATGAAACAATGATAATAATTAAATAATGATCAAATAATAATTAATGTAGGATTATAGTTTGAATCTGAACTGTTTCATATAGGCTTATGTGTTGACACACTCGGTTCCCAGTGTGGTTTAGATTGTGGAACCTTAAGGAAGTAGAGACTCTGCAGAGGAAGTGGGTCACTGGAGTCGGGTTTGATAGTCTGATTCGATTCCTCATCCACTCTCTCTCTGCTTCCTGATGGGAGATCCATCAGGATCCTTACTTTTCTGCCACCTTTGCCTTCTCTGCCATGATGGACTGTGTCCCCTCAAACTGTGAGCCCGAAGAAGCCCTTTCCCCCTAAAGTGGCCTGTATCAAGTATTTTATCACACCAATAGAAAAATATAATACAGGTGGCTAGTTTTAGATGAGCAGGCTTGGAGGATGTGGACACTAGACCGCTCCTCGTAGTCAGCCATTGGCAGAGCAAAGGACTGGGCAGCAGAAGTTTAATTAATAGTCATTAGGAGATTAGTACCTGGATCAGTGTTTTCTAACTTTGGGAGGAAAAGTAGCTTCCTGGGCTGACAAAACCTCCTGAGTTACCCAAAAGGTTATTACCTGATGCCTGCCTGGGGCAGACTCCGTGGAATCCCAGACCTCTCAAGATTATTAGACGGCAGAGGCCCTAAAAACATGCCCATGAGATACATATCGCCAAGCTCCTCTGTAAGAGTCAGTGAGAACCAGCCCCAATAGAACTGTCCATCCTTGGACAGAACCAAGGCTCAAAAGGTAAATTTTGTGATTGGCGTTTTGGGTAGCTTAGACTGACTTCAAATTCATGGCAGTCTTCATGCCTCAGTGTCTCTGGTGCTGGATTACAGACATGAGCCACAGTGCCCAGGTCCTAAGTGTGAAATTCTAATTTTCTTTGACTCGGCAGCAGTTCATCTCCATCTCCTCTCTCGATCCCCTCAAAGGTAGTTTGTTTAGCATCCTCTCCCTCCAACTTAATTCTCTTCACCAAACTTCTCCTGGAGCCATTGAAACCCTGTACCAGTAATAGTTCAATTTCATTTTCAAATTGCTTTTCTGTCTCATATGATCGCGAGTGAATGAATTAAGGCTTTATTCACCCACGGATATCTGCGAAGCACCGTCTGTGTCAGGTTTTATTCAATTACCTTCTCCCGTCTGCTTACTGAGGCTTGAATTAATCCATACCTGCATTATAATAACCCCTCTCTATTTCCTCTGGGAGGTGCAGTTATAAAAATTATGTCTGCCAGCCACCTTTGCTTTTCACATTTAATCTCTGCATTTCTAGAAACACGCGAGTAAAAACCTGTTGTTACAGCTTTAAGATACTTGGTCCTTTTCGAGCAAGTTTTCTAAAAGACCCCGGTTCAAAGGTTAGAGTTGCGTGGAAACCTGTATTTCAGGGGGGCGTCACAAGGGCACTGGAATTCTGAGCCGGGAACAGTGAAGCTCAAGCAATTGCCCCGGGGTGGAAATATAGAACCATTTCCTGGTGTGCCTGGAGTTGACAGAGCAGGAGAGCCTGCTGTGAGCTGCCTGGACTACAAACATTGCAGAAAGCCAGCTGGCTCCTCAGGCTCCTCAGGCTCCTCAGGCTCCTCAGGCTCCATAGGCCCCTGGGGCAGGGTGCGCCCAGCAGTCCTCACCTGCTGCAGCCCTCACCTGCTGCAGGTCTCTGTCCATCTTCTTCCACTGCAGCTGGCCCATTTTCGAAGCCCGCTGGGCCTCTTCTGTCAGGAGCTGCAGTTGTTGCTCCTTTTGCTCCACGTCTTCTAGGAGCTTCTCCATGCCAGATGTTCTTAGGATCTCCAGCTGCTGCCGCGTGACAGAGTCTTGAGTCACTCTGTGTTCCAACTCCCTCAGCAGTTGAGCCTGCAGCAAGGGAGGTCCAAGGCAAGAGAGAAAAGGATCAGCAGTGGGCAACAGAGGTAGCTGAGGCTAGGAGCCCTAACAGCCATTCTTTCAGCATGGCTGCCTGCACTGGTCTGTGGCTTTGGGGACAAGAGCCTGACTATTTGGTCCTGGGTTGCTGGACTGGTAAGCAGGGAGAACCCTAGGATCTTGTCTCACCCGGCACCTTTTTTTTTTTTATTTTGTTTGGAGACAGGATTTGTTTGTTCTGGAACTTGCTCTGCAGACCAAGCTGGCCTTGAGCTCACAGAGATCCCCCTGCCTCTGCTTCCCAAGTGCTGGGATTAAAGGCATGCGCCACCACCACCAGGCTCTCCTGGCACTTCTACTATGAACCCTGAGACATCAGTCATAGGGAACAGAACTCACAACAAACTCTAAAGAAAGCCAGGATGTGCTAATGCCCCCACCCAACAACATTACCTGGTCAAGAATTTGAGTTTCTGGGTACGGGGCATCAGATGATGATATTCATGCTAACTACCTACCCACCAAACACTCATATGAACCACAAGCGACATTCACATTGCCATAAAGCCTTTCTCATGAGGGCCGGCAGTGGTTGGGTTCAGTTCTGAGCAGGCCAGGACATGTCACTGAAGCTTCAGTGTGGGAGGGTGCTTCTAACTTGGGCTCTGTCTTCACTGTCAAAATATCTCTGGGGAAGCCAGACTCTACAGAGTTAAAGCAAGAGAATAGAAGTGAGCGAGCGCTGGAAAGTCACTCTGCCTCCACGAGGCAAAGAAAAAGCGAAAGTCAGGGCGAAGAGGAAGAAACAGCCAAATTGGAATTTGTCTTCCTTCCGGCTGAGTGAAAATAAGGACACGACTGCTCCTAGGTAAGGCTGAGGAGAAGGCTTTTATTGGAGTTACGGGGAGAGCACAGCCAGAGGCATCCCGAAGAGTCTGGAGCAGGGAGAGAAAGCAGTCGGCTGAACACCTGAACATGGTTGAACGCGACCAGCAGACCAGGGCTGGAGAGAGGGAGCGGGACGGGGAGAGAGTGGACCACGGGAGAGCCAAGAATCAAGAGACCATGTAGCCAAAATGACTGAGTTATAGAAGCAAAATAAAATAAAACAAAACAAAGGAAAGAAAGAAAGAAGGGAAGGAGGGAGGGAGGGAGGGAGGGAGGAAGGGATAGAGGGAGGGAGGGAGGGAAAGAAGGAAGGAAGGAAGGAAGGAAGGAAGGGAAAAAAAGCAGGAGGGAGAGAAGGGAAGCAAAGCTCAGGGGCTGGAGGTGTGTGTGTGTGTATACATCAGATGCTGAGAGGAGCCAGGGTTCTGTACCAAGTACTTGCGATGCTAGGTGCTCCTGCCTTGGTATGTTAGTAGGCACCTGGGTTAGCCATTTGTCCTGAGTGTCTTTGAGAACTAATTCCAGTGTTTCTCAAATCAGTGACATTCTAGACACTAGGTGACTCTTGTAACTGCTACCAGTGGCCACAGTGTGCCTTCTCATGGCCACACTCAGGGGCTCTAAATACCTGGGTATCCTGCTGCTGCCACAGCTTCCTGCTGTCAGTCTGAGCTTTGGCCAGGGCCTGCCTGGCAGCCCGTAGCTGTTGATGTAGTAACCCCACTTCTTGCTCTGCCATGAGCTTGATTCTCACACATTCTCTTTGACTGTGAATAGATTCCTGCAAACACAGCGAGACAGGGAGCGAGCATCTTTTCTATGGTTTTAGTCTCAAGCCTCGGCTACCGTCTCACAGCAGGCCCTCCTTTACCGACTCCCCTAGAGCAGAGCTCGGACTGGCCATTGCTTATGTGATCTTAGTTATGGAAAGCGTCACAGATTCAAGTAAATCCAGATCTCGAGAAAGTGCAACTTTCCAGACCATCCCCGATATGTGCTTTGCTTTGGATGTGTTTAAAGCAGATTTTCCCCAGACCATCACAGGTAAAACCAAATCCAGCAGCCTCAAGCCCTTAACAAACACTCCCTGCCATCTCTCCTCCTTCGTAGGCACCATCCTTTCATCGCCATGACTGGTTCTGCCTTGCTGTTTTCTATTTATCCCAAGGCTCTAAGTCTGCCTATTCTCCGGGTGGGGGCGGGGAATGATCAATTGCCAGTTGCCAGAGTCTTTAGCATAGCTGGGCCTGTCACCTGCCACCAGCACGGCAGCTGCACTCAGCCTGGCCAGAAGTGTCACACACGGGTATGGGCGGAGTGAGGGGGTGGGGAGTGAGAGAGGGCCTCTCTTCAACACTCACCTTCTCTGCCCTGCTCAGCTGACCTCTGAGATGAGCCTGCTGAGCAGCCAGACGCCAGCGGCCCAGGCTCCGCACTTTGCACACTACAGCAGCCAGGGTGCCCCTGTTGTCCTGCTCCGAGGGGCGCAGCTGCTCCTGCCAGGAAGGCTTACTTTTAGAAAAAACCACTCTCAGTCCTTTTTCCCAGAAGGGCATGGCCCCTAACGCCAGAAATGTGCCTTCCGCAAGGAGATGTGACCTTGTGAAGCTCAGCCCGCCCCAGCGTCCCTTTAAAAGTCCACCACAGTGCTTCTGAGAGACCCCTCTGGAATGCTAAGCGGGTGTATGGTGGGCCAGGCTTTGGAAAGATCACGCACTTTGCCTGTGTTCTCTTTTGTTCCTTCGTCGGGTCTGGCAGAGCCCCAGGTTTTCTTGAGCTGCTTCATGTTGGCAGTCCCTTCGGCTCTCACTTCACAGATGAGCTCACACACTCTCTGGATCAAATTAAACTGATTCTCATCCAGCGCCTCCTGAAATTGCAGACTCAGGTCAAGGGAGTACAGAGGGCTTGTGCGGTGTGAAGGGCAGGATTAAAATGCCCTCCATCCCGACAGTTACAAGGCAGGCCACAGGAGGGGCCCTGAAGGGTTGGCTTTAATCTGCAGGGCTTCATCTTTTGGCCACCTACGTCCTAGGACACGCTTTGCTTGTCAACACCAAGGCACGTTGAGCCAGAAGGATGGTGAGTAGAGCCAGGGGAGGCGACAGAGAGACAATCTACGGGCTGCATCAGGTTAGTCAGGAAAGGTGGAGTTTGGGCTCCCAGGTTGGCTCAGAGCAGAATCTAATGAGTCTCTCACAGTGGATGGCCACGACTGAGGAATTTGATTAAATACAGATAAGTGATGGAAGAAGACGGGCTGGCCGCCCCCTTAGGCTCCAGTGGACACCGGGTATGAGATGTGCTGTTCTGAGTGGCCGTGGCTGATGGCTGACAATGACACGGAACGCTTATGTAAGCCTAACTGCGGGCGCAGTGCTGTGAACTGAATCGCCACTCTTCCCAAATTCACCTATTCAACCTCCAACGTCTGGCGATCGAAGACCTTTCTGGGGTTCAGATTAGGACATGGGGTGGGTCCCTATCCCAGGGAGACTGTGCCCTGTTAGAGCAGAGGTTTCTCTTTTTCTTCCTCTCGACAGGGGGAAGGTGGCTTCTTTCTCTACTAGGAAGGCATCAGTCTGCCCGCTTACCCTGGTCTCTGACTCCTGGCTTCCAGAACTGTGAGAGAACAAACACCTGTGCTTTAGCTACCCAATCTAGGGCATTTTATTGTGGCAGCCTGAGCAGACAAGTCCCAGGGCTGAGAAGTAGACATACGGGCACTTTCATTTTAATTTTTTTAATATCTGAACCACTTCCTGGGTGAGGAAGGCAGGAGAGTGCCCACTTAGAGACTATGTCAGGAAGCCTGACTGCTGGTTACCAGTGGGAACAATGTCATTGCCTTGGGGCCAAAGAGTTGGACAGGGATTCCCTACATCTGGGGATTTGGTAAAACTCCCGCCGTCTGGGAGAAGCCGAGAGTCCAATTTTTCTCTTTTCATGCCTGCAGGATTGCTCGGGAAAGGCTGACTTCCATAGCCTCCTCTTGCAGCACTAGGCCATTTTGAAATTGATCTTTGAGTATTTGCAAGCATTTGTATTTTGCAAGTAAACAGAATCTCTGATATTCCCTGGAGGACAAAGGCAGAGAGAGCATCGCTGGGTCTCCTGCTAATAAAACAACTGTAGGATCTATACTGGAACCCCCAGGGAGGAGTGGAAGGTAAGGGACTAAGTGGGGCTGGCTCTAGAGACTACTCAGTGCTGCAGAAGAGGGCTGGGGAAGAGAGCCAGAGACTGGGACACTGTGGGCACGCACTGAGCTCCATAGGGCAGGGTGACCTGATGAGTCATTTTAGGCACAGGACATCCGTTTCCCTGATTCTCAGTTTCAAACAGCGGCTAGCTTCCACAGTGAATTTACAAGGGAGTCCCATCATTCCTCTCTGGGTGGCCCCTTGGTGGACAGGTTGGTAGCTCCCGGATTCTAAATACGGGAGAAAGGCAGAAGGGCATATGGATGGCGCTTCAGATCTGTGGAAACTAGTTCAGACTCCAGACTTGCCCGGCAAGCTCTCAGGTCCCTCTGCTCAAGCAGGGCTCTGAGGGCCTTTGCTCACCCGCTTGGTTGTCTCCTCCACTGAAATAACAGTGACAGACGTCAGAGGGAAGTTGAAGCAGAATACCTCCTCTTTCCAACAGCCGCTAGATCTCAGCTGTGGACCAAACCACTCAGTTATTCTAGGCTCAGTGTCTATCCTGCAAGAATCGTGACAACTCAGACCGCCAACATGACTCAGGGGGTGGAGGTGCCTGCCCTCATGCCTAACGGCCTGAGTTTGATCCCTGGAACCCACAGGGGGGAAGGAAAGAACTGATGTCTGCAAGTTTCTCTCTGACTTCCACCTGTGTATTGTGGCATATGCACACACACACACACACACACACACACACGAAAGCAAAGCAAAATAAAATAATAACCACTCACTGCTAAGTCTCTCTTCAGGAAAAATTTCTATTTGGCTAGTTGCAGGGGGGCACATCTATCCTCCCAGCACAAGGGAGGCTCAAGCAGGGGAACGTTTTGACTTTGAGTTCGGCGTGGACTACACAGCAAGCTCCAGGCCAGTCAGGACTACCTAGCAAGACCATGTCTCAACCAAACCAACCCCCAACCAAACAAAACCTCCTCACTTGAAGTTTTGGGGGCTCAAGAATTTCTTGGTACCTCAAAGGCCATTCTGTCATTGGTCCCTTGGTACGCAGCCACGGGGCTTCCCAGATCTCAGATGTGAGACACTTACCTTTATGTGTAAGCAGGTCATAAACAAAGCTTGCACTAATTCGCTGTACTCCTCCTGGACTTCTTTTCTAATCTGGTGTTTTAGATCCAGAGTCTCCTCTTCTAGATCCGTGAGCTGGGCTCTCAGAGCAGTGACTTCCATGATCAGGTCATGGCTGAGCTCGGCAACCTAGTATTGGAAATAAAGAGGACTGCACAGCAGCAATGGGGAAATTGCAAGCTGCAGAACAGCTCCGTGTAGACTAGCATGGTCGACCCACTGTGTGGAGGGCAGAGCCTCGGGCTGATGCGACAGGCCTGAGTGATGTCAGACACATCTAACATTCACGTGCCCTCGGCCTCCTGAGTGCTGAGGTGAAAGGCACTCACCCTGCATAGAACATTCTTAATCTAATGAAAGGACAGGCCCCAAAGAGCTGGTATTTATGCACAGTACTTCTGATAAACCCTTCATCTGTCTTGGCTTTCATCTCCAAACTGGCCTTCCCTTGACTCCTCAACCAAATGCCGTTTCGTTGTTGAAATGCAATGTAACTGGCATTTAAAAACAGGAAGGGAGACGCATGCGCACACAGTTCTGTTAAATACCACCCTCTCCAAACAATACACAACAAAGACAACTTAAGAAATCTATCTCTAGGGGGAAAACGCCCATAGCACAAAATGTAATTCTAGTCTGGAGTGCGCCAGCATGGCCCCTATGGCCGGGACTGCTGCAGGCAACACTAACTTCCGGCAGACTAAGAGTATGCAACTGACTTACCTGACTAGCACAGTCTTCAGGAGGAACTTGACTTCTTTGAAGCAAGTCTACTTCCTGAGGAGGAGAAGGCAGGGCTTAGTTCAGCACACATGCACGGCAGTGCACATGAAACCCCTTCCTGTTGGTGTCTTTAATCCCATTCTAAGATCCTCTGGCCCCTGGCCCTGCCAGTAGTTTGGGCTGTGCTTGGTACCGTGTTAGACTTTGTGATTTCTCTCTTTCCCCCTTCCTCTTTTCCTTCTTTCCTCCTTTCTTCTCTTCCTCCTTCCTTCCCTTCCCTCCGTCCCTCATGTATACAAGACTGGCGAGGGTGACCCTAACCTTCTGGTTTTCCTGCCTTTACTTTCCAAGTTCTGGGGGTTACAAGGTTGCACCACTATGGGCACTTAAACTCTGGGGGTTCTTAACAGAACATCAAAAGATAACATGCAAGCCAGGTGTGGTGGAACATGCTTGTAATCCCAGCTCTGGGAAGGCAGAGACAAGTGGATACCTGAAGCTTGCTGGCCAGAGAGCCAAGCTGAACTGGCAAGCTCCAGGTTCCAGTGAGAGAAGAGGTCTCAGAAGATAAGATGGGGAGTTTCTGAGAGGTGACACGCACATGAGCATGTGGACAAGTGCACACACAAAAGAAAACCTGCAACGTAACTTCCAGGCTTCTCCAGTGGTGCAGAGTCAACTAGGGGAAGCCATCAAGTGTGGGCAAGTCCAAGACTCACTGTTTGATATTTTAATGTGTCATTCGATTTTTTGGACACTATTACTCATTTTTCCCCTGTGTATAAAATAAGACTAAATGACTCCTCGGATACAACCTATTTCAAAACAGTGTATACTCTATATGGCGGTGTGACTCTGAGACCCCATGGGTACTGGGACCTAGTCTCGTGGTGTAATTGGCCCTCTTGAGTTCATAGAGAGTGACACTATTTGGAAGCCTGGCCTTGTTGGGGGAAGTGTGTCACTGTGGGGGCGGGCTTTGAGGTCTCCTTTGCTCTAGCTTCATTCAGTGTAACACTCAGACCACTTCCTGTTACTTTGGGGTCAAGATGTAGGACTCTCAGATCCTTCTCCAGCACCATGTATGTCTGTCTGCCACCATGTCCCGTCATGATGAGAATGAACTAGACTTCTCAAAATGTAACCATCCCAATTAAATGATTTCCTTGATAAGCCTTGCTGTGGTCATGGTGTCTCTACACAGCAATAGAACCCTCACTAAGACAAGGTCTCACCACTGATACTGACTGATGAAGACAGAGTATATACAAATATATGCATGATTCTCTGATAGACCAGGAATAACCCAAGAAGATTGGTGTTTTCTGGGGGAGGGGAGGCAGTTACGCATCTTTCTCAAAGGCTCAACCCATTTATTGGTCATGCCTTGTATCCATGGTAACCTCTACAGCCTATAACCCCGTTGCTGTTAGGAACTTAGCAACTGAGAATGCCAGGGTCTGAAAAAAGGAACCAATGGGGAAAAAGGTGGAGGGCACTGTTTCCCCCCTATATTTGGCATAAAAACAGCTCTCTTCACCTGCTCAGATTTTCTGGGCCTGGTGACTCCGTGCACACACTTCCATGCATACACCCTTTCTCCTTCAATGTTCTCACTTTCTTGGGCACCTACCTGCTCCTTCTGGCTCAGCTTCTCCCTTAGGAACCCACCTGCTCCCTCTGGCTCAGCTTCTCCTTTGGACCCCTACCTGCTCTCTCTGGCTCAGCTTCTCCCTTGGGAACCCACCTGCTCCCTCTGGCTCAGCTTCTCCCTTGGGTCCCTACCTGCTCTCTCTGGTTCAGCTTCTCCCTTGGGTCCCTACCTGTTCCCTCTGGCTCAGCTTCTCCCTTGGGCCCCTACCTGCTCCCTCTGGATCAGTTTCTCCCTTGGGAAGCCACCTGTTCCCTCTGGATCAGCTTCTCCCTTGGGTCCCTACCTGCTCCCTCTGGCTCAGCTTCTCCCTAGCATGTTGCAGTATATGCTCGTAGCACATGGAGTAGGTCTCAAAGTTGCTGCGTTCTCTTGCCATGACATCACAACCCAGGGAGAGGAGGCAGGCTTCAAGGTGGTCCCTCTTGAAGGTGATCTGAAAAGGCAATGATGTCTCTCTTAGCGGCTTCTGGAAGCCACAGACAGCCACCTGCACTCGGGGCACGTGCTGGCTCTGGCCTGTGGACACATTTTCATTTCCCCTCAACACCAAAACATTGGTTGACTCCAATCCTACGAACCCCCCCCCCCCCCCCCAGCTCTTCTCTGAACATTGGCAAAGCCAGGAACAAGGGAAGAAACATTGACTGACTCCGGTCCTACAACCCCCTCCCCCTCAGCTCTACTCTGAACATTGGCAGAGCCGGGAACAAGGGAAGAAACGAAGGCTGGCCTGTCAAGTGTCTCAAACATTAAAGATTAGAAATCAAAGTAAGAAACCACTAGAATACAAAATCTAGTTCTACTTTCAAAGAGGATAAGCTACATGGCTGGCTTTGGATGTGCGTCCAGAAAGTACTCTGCGCTCTGTGATGAAGTGTGGAGGCACAGGGAGAGCTGCTCCCCAGGCAGAGCTCACACTATGACCCCCAGTTGCCTCGGTCTGTGCATTCACATCCGAGTGCCGTCTGTTCTCACTCTGGGAACACAGCTGAGGGAGGAGACCCAGGTAAGTCTAGATCAGTGGTTCTCAACCTGTAGGTTTTGACCCCTTTGGGGGTGTCCAATGACCCTTTCACAGGGGTTTCCTAAGACCATCGGAAAATACAGATATTTATATTATGATCTGTGAGCCAGCTCCCATGGTGTAATAGTTAACACTCTGGATTCAGAATCCGGCTATCTGAGTTTGTCTCTTGGTGGAACCAAGGTTCTTTGAGGAAGAGACCTGGTCAGTGATCCTCATCAACTCAGAGGTGAAAGCCAATATAAACGGGCTGCCCATGCGTGTTGCAGCATTGCCAGGGCATGTTTCACTTCACTTCATATTATGATTCGCAGCAGTAGCAAGATTATGGCTTTGATGCATGCGGCAACGAGAATAACTTTCTGGTTGGGAGTCACCGCCACATGGGGAACTGCATTAAAGTGTCGCAGCGGTAGGAAAGTCAAGAACCACTGTGCTAAGCCAGCTGTCCAGCCCATATTTCTTTCTTTCTTTCTTTCTTTCTTTCTTTCTTTCTTTCCTTCGTCTTTTTGTTTTTTGGTGGTTGTTGTTGAATTTTTGTTTGTTTTTTTGAGACAGAGTTTCTCTGTGTAGCCTTGGCTGTTCTAGAACTCACTTTGTAGGCCAGGCTGGCCTTGAACTCATAGAGATCCTCCTGCCTCTGCCTCCTGTCTCCTGCATGAGTGCTGGGATTAAAGGGGTGTGTTACCACCTGCCAGCTGTATTTCTATTTTCTAATATAATATAATAATCACAATTTGTATGTGTAATTAAAATAGTTTTTACATAAAGCATACATCCTAAAAGTTATGTTTTCAAAAAGTCAGCAGTTGTATCAGCCTGGCAGGATCCTATGAAGACTGGTCCATGGAATCTGAGGACAACTTCTGCTTGTGTAGGAGGAACCAGCTGCAGCTGGGGACTCATTCTCCAGGGCCCCCCTTAGAGGGCCCCTTCAGTGGATGGGACAAGGCGGGCCACCCTGCCCCTGCTCCCCTCTGCACCTCTGGGCAGTGTGCTCCATGAAGCTGTTGGCACCATGGCAAGGTATCAGAACCTAATGTTTTTGTGGGGAAAAGGTTTACTAATGGCAAAGGGAACTTCCTGGTTTGGCTTTGATGAAAACCTGAAGCCACGAGAAGTCAAGGCTGAGAGGTCAGTGAGGGTGTGGCCATTGACCTCACCTCAGGCCACACTGGAGGCCAGCCCCAGTGACTCATCCCTTACAGGCCTGGGAAAACTGCCTGGAGTGAGCACAAGCCAACAAGGCCTCCACCAGCTCTCTCGCAGGGCAGTGGCCTCTCAGATTAACTGCCTGCCACCGCAGGCCCTGAAGATACGGCTGGCAGAACGTGACTGCCATGGCCCTCTGCCATGGGCTTCCCAGGCAGCAGGCTTCCCACAGCAGGAGCAAGGGGCCCCTGGTGAGTTTGGATGGCACCCGGAGGGGAGAGTTGTCAGAACTCTACACATAAGCACCTCCCAAGACTTAGCTAAAGAGGTCTTGCTGCTTCCTTCTCCCAGGAGACTCCACGGGACGTGGCGGGGGTGGGGTCAAGTTGGATAGAAGGATCCACTCCAGCTCAGCTCAGGCAGAGTCTTGAGAATGATCTGAAAGCGGGGTGGGGGGTAGGGGGTAGGGGGATGAGCCAGTGAGGAGGCAGAGCATGTCTGTGGTGGGTCCCCACGGTGGGTGCTGTGGTTAGCAGGTGAGGAAGAAAGGTTTTAGGTAAACTTTGGTCCTGCGCACTGCACTCAGCCTTCTGGGAAGAGGATAGGAAGCCTCTTGAACAGCAGATGCTGGACCCTGGGGCTTCTGCTGGCCCTCCCGGGAACCCTCAGATGCACCCCTACCTTTCAGGTCCCTACTCTTGTAGAGGCAGCTGGAACAGGTTTCACCCTCCCGCTTCCCCACATTGGCCCAGATTTTTCCAGTAGAAACCACCACCCTCCTCTGGACGGGCTCCACTGCAGCGTTTCAACAGCGTTTAAGACTGACTGTGCCTAGAAGAACAGTAGGTCGCCCCGTGTGCTGATTCTTCAAGAGAGACAGTCTTGGGTGAGGCCTGGCGAGTGCCAGGGCTTCTTCTGTTTCCAGTGGCTTTATAGGAGTGTGCCACCACACCCAACACAATCAGTTTGGTTCGTGTCAGGCACAAAAGTGTTCTGGAGGTGTCTGCAACACCACTTCTGCCTGTGTGTTCCTACTGGGACTCACTCCCAAGGGTTGCACACAGGGCCATTCCACATCTAACCCTATCCAGCGTGTCCCCCCCACACCCTTCTGTGCTGTCTGACCCCTGCCTGTCTTCATTTTGCCAGCTCCTCCTTGTGCCTCAAGATTTGACCCTAACAACACCTCTGTCGGGAAACCTTCCTATGGCCACCATGTGCCCTCTCCTCAAAAATAAATAACTGCACTAAAAAAATTTAAATATTCTCTTTTTAATAAACCCCAGCTCTGCCTCAGAGGGGGAAAATACTAGAACCAGTGATGGATGGAGGCTGGTTTTCTAGAAACTGGAAAGAGACTAGACACCAACATGACTTCAGAAAAAGAAACCTGCCAGATTGACCTGATTTTCTCAGGAACTAGAGCAGACAGGATCCCTGGTTTCCAGCAGGATGCCTGGGAAGGGGACTGGGAGAACACGGCTGGATGGCTGGACGGCTGGATAACTGCGCATGCCCCTGGCCCATGGATGATCGGGTCTGACACAGCTGCACAGCCTGGGAGGTCTAGTGTGTGGGCAGCTTGGGGCCTTTGGGACTGTCCTGTCTTCACTGCTACTAATGGCTTAAAGAGGATGCTCAGAGCAGGCTGAAAGAGTAACCAGATGCTGGGAATACAGACCTGTAAAAATCTCAAGAGTGGACCAAACCGACCGAGAACAAGCCGTATGATGGGGCAGTAACTCAGTGTCTGAGTGCACCCTGTGGCTGCAGGGGACAGCTCACTGTGCCAGAGTGATGTGGCTGCCCAGCCCAGCACACTTCCAGGCAGTAGTCCAAGAGAAACCTCAAGGCCAAGGTCACTGCGAGCTGACCAGACAACAGAGAATTTAAAGGAGACTGGCCACACTGGCAAGTGTGTATCTACTGAGCGGTGGAAAGCAATGTGGGTGGCTTATATAGGGGAGGGCTGGTAGGCTGAGGCTCCCCTTCCCAGTCCACTGTGCATGGAAGAAACCAGTGAAGGTGTTCAGGAAAGCTCTGCTTCCCTGTCTGCATGCTCCGGTGTGGAACCACGGGATCTGAGGAAAGGGATCCAACCGACGTGCACCCCCTTTGACTTGTTATCCCGAGTAAGCCCCTTGCTGAACCAGGCAGAGACTCCACCCACCATAGCGATGGCCCTAATGGGCCTGGGATATCTGAGGCTCACAGTCAGTATCCCAGGCTTGATCTGTAGGTAGGTGTCTGGGGACAGAGGATCTATCTATGGTGAAGGTGTACAAGGAAGGCCAAACATAGCTTAGTAACAGTTGACCGGATCCAAGCTGCCTGGGGTGGGGGCAGCTGGGCTGGAGTAAGCTCTTGGTTCCTGTGAGTGAGCAGAAGAGGCTGATGGCCCACCAGGCAGGGGCATGAGAGGGACAGCATCCCCAACCTCTCTAAGCATTTCTCAAGTTGTGGATGTACCTGATAGGGATTCACCCTGGTTTTGAAGCCTACATTTCTTTCCTACAAGACGTTATCCTTAGTGGGAGATGGTGGCATATATATTTAAGTGATTCCCCCAAAAGAGGAACATGTGGTCTCCCTTTCTTCCCCCTGAAGGTCGCGTTCCCACGGCTTCCCGGTTTCCCCCTCGGGGCCACCAGAGAACACAGAGCTCCCATTAAACCTGGATATTTCTTAATTCGGCTTGTTTTGATTTGGCTTGATTGAGAATTTTTGCGCCAGCAGGGAGCTTATACAGAGAAATATTCCTAACGCCCCTGACCTAGAACTCTTTCCCCCCTCTCTATTATTTATGTGTGCATGTGTGTATGATGTGTGTGTGTACGCGCATACGTGCACACATGCATACGTGCACACACGCATACATGCACACATGCTTACATGCACATACGCATACGTGCACACATGCATACGTGTACACATGCATACGTGCATACATGCATACGTGCATGCCATGCCATAGCATTTGTGTATGGGTCAGATGTGGCAACTTTCATGAGTTTGTTCCCCACTTCTACCATGTGGGTTCCTTAGATGGAGCTCAGGAGTCCAGGTTTGACTTCAAGCTTCTTTACACACTGACCCGTCTTGCAGGCCCCTGGTCTGGAACTTTTCATCGAAGTGCCTCAGCCTCCTGAGTGCTAGGATTACGGGTGTGCACCACCATGCCAAACAGCACAGATTTTTTTTTTTTATGGTTGGGTGGAGGTGATTTTATGTTAAGCACTTAGTAATGATCCTGAAATGGGTGTTCAAATACTTGCGTTTGCTCTCTTATCTCGCCTTTTCAATGGATTCTTTTGATTGCAGCAAACACTTTCAGGCAAGGGCAAATACTGTTAAACGTTACTCATATAGGGTGCTATATGAGTCCAGATAGCTTTTCTGGAAGGATACAAACATAAAATTATTGGTGCCACTTCCACTGGAGAGGAAATGTTGCCTTTTGGTGGTGGAGGCCTTTTCCCCAAACTGTAGACTTTAAAAATGTTTCCTAGTTAGGTGTATTATGGGTCTTTTTGGTCTTCCTCTTTTATATATATATATATATATATATATATATATATATATATATATACTAGCAAATCAACAACAGGAAACTGCTTAAAAAAACCAACTCATTCAAAATTTCAAAGTTTGTCTTTTAAACATTTGACCAATTTTTTTGTTAGCCAATGATCATTTTCTGATTACTCCATAAATGGACAAACATTGGACTTTTTCATACTAACATGGTAGTGAGCGGTGGTAGTTTTGGATTCAGCCTCAGTAATCATATCCTATGGGAGAGTGGGGAGCACCAGGGTATATGTGGATTTCTGTTCAAAGGGGAGCAGAGCAGTTCATTTTGGGTGCATACCTCGGGCCCATCGTCTTGGGAACCCTCCATCAGTCTCTGTACAAATTTCTCCACGATCTGGGGTCTCACGACTGAAAAGTTTTCTTTCATGACTTGGTGTTTCCAAAGTTCTAGAAGAAAAAAAAAGCCAACAACAACCACCAGATCAGAACAGGAACTGCAAAACATAGACAGGTACCAAGGACATGACTCCACAGCTCCCAAAAGATGCCAACACAACAATCTGCCACTTTGAAATGTAAGTGGGGAGGGGAGGACATAGAATCCTCTGGAACATGGAGGAAGGGAGATATCTAGCAAGGTTCTTAATAGAAATATCTGGGGAAGGCCTCCTGGAGACCAGTGCACAGTACCGTGGACAAAACCCAGAAGGAAACGTTACTGCGTGGCTTTTCATTCCTCTTTCAAGATGTCTGCCTTGTTTACACCCCGCTGCAGGATGATCTCAGCGGCGGCGTGCGCCTATCGGAAGTCAATGAAGAACACGGCTGATGCGTAGGCGAGGAAGCACCGCACGGCACAAACTCATTCAGAACAAAGTTTCATATGGTGGAAGACGGTGCTGGAAACTCAGCTGGCTGTCATTCGGGGTCATTTCAACTATGGCACCCCTCCCCCAAGCGGAGTACTAGGCCACTGTTCACAGGAAGAATGTTCATGGTGTTGACCAAATACCAACCACCTCGGGTTAGGAAGTGAAAATGCCAAGGCATAGAACAGTGGCTATAGAAGGAGCCCACTCAGCCCCGTGCTCCAGGAGTCTCCCCATCTTTGCTCCGTCATCATCCCCCCTCCTTTAAGACTGTCCACAGCAGCACGCGCCTTTCCGCTGTTTTATTAAAACCCTCCTCCTGGTTCTCCTCTAGCGGTTTACCGGCTCATTTCTTCACACCTTTTATGGCAGAATTCCCAGAAAGCAAAGTCATCCCGCAAACCCACTTGCCTGGTTTTCACTTCCACAAGTCTGGGGGAACTGATTACATTACAAATACCCACAACTTCCACTGAAGTCAATGGCTTGACTTGCCTGCCTTAGCATTTTGCCAAGGTCCTCACTTCCCCTCTGGGGAAGCTGCCCCTCTCAAGGCCCTGGGACGCCTTCAAAAGCCTTGCTTTCTTCTTAGCTAACCGTGACCTAGCTTTCTTTGTCACTGAACCGCTCTTCTTTTCCACACACTCCCGGCCCCAGGCCTCAGCCTCTGTCCACCTGTTTACTTTGGTATACTCATAATTATAATTATTGTAATAATCATCTCAAGTTTGGGCTAACAGCTTCCTTATTCTAAGGTCACTTAAAACTTAAGTTATGCTTAATCAAGTTACCAGCGTCTCCTCTCTAAATGACTCCATCTGCAGCTTGCCCCAGGTCAAAGATAGAACTTCCACCTTCCCAGACGTTACAAAGCCTGAAATCGTGATGGACTGCTATTTTCTAATGACCGTGTTGTATCTGATCAGTCATTGCTGCCTTGGAAGGTACCCAGCATCCCACCACTTATATTTTCTCTGCTTCCAGTTCCAAGACAGGGGCTGGAGAGGTGGCACTAACAGTCAAGGGCTTGCCTGGCAAGAAAAGGACCTAAATTCTGTCCTTGGAACCTAGGTTCTGTCCATTCCTGGGAAGCTGGAGGCAAGACCCACAGGGCTCACTGGGGAGAGGCAAGTGGACCCCAGGGCTCACTGGAGAGAGGCAAACAGTCCCCAGGGCTCACTGGGGAGAGGCAAGCAGACCCAGGGCTCACTGGGTGGAGGGAAGCAGACCCCAGGGCTCACTGGAGAGAGGCAAGCAGACCCCAGGGCTCACTGGGGAAAGGGAAGCAGACTCCAGGGCTCACTGGGAGAGGCAAGCGGACCCAGAGCACACTGGGAGGAGGCAAGCAGACCCCAGGGCTCACTGGGGAGAGGGAAGCAGACTCCAGGGCTCACTGGGAGAGGCAAACGGACCCAGGGCTCACTGGGTGGAGGGAAGCAGACCCCAGGGCTCACTGGGAGGAGGCAAGCAGACCCCAGGGCTCACTGGGAGGAGGCAAGCAGACCCCAGGCTCCCTGGGTGGAGGGAAGCAGACCCCAGGGCTCACTGGGGAGAGGCAAGCAGACCCCAGGGCTCACTGGGAGGCGGCAAGCAGACCCAGGGCTTACTGGACTTGGAGCTTAGCTGGTGGGTGAGCTCCAGGTTAGTGAGGGGTCCTATTTCACAAACAGGAGGATGTTTTCTAGAAAATGAAACTTGAGTGTGTCCTCCAGCCTCCACATGCGCGTGTACTCACGTGTAGATACACATACATGCACACACATTTAAATAAAGCATACACCAGATCAGGTCACTATACTGGGGCCTAAGGAATCTTAGAAGCTGTGGATATGTTGAAGAAGTCAAGCCCCGCTGCTCCCTTGTCTGTTGCCTGCTGTGGCTTCTCATTTCCTCTCAGCTGAGAGTCCCTGCCACACACACTCCAAAATACATGGGATGATCCGAGAGCAAGAGCCAGTCTTCGCTACCATCTGCCCAGAAACAGCCGTGCCTCCAGGATTTAGAGGCTGTGCCATTGACCCCCAAGTCTCCATTTTGAAAATCGGATTCTGCATTTCTTCTTCAGATGACTACTTTGCATAATGAACCTATAAATCATAGTTCATGCTTCTTAAGATGCTTAGAGCTTTAATAAATTTTGATGAAACAGACAGAGCTCGTGATTATCATGGAAAACTTCAGACAAGAGCTTGGATGGTTTTCCCAGGGTGCTGTAGGGCAGAGGCCCGTTGAGGTGTTGCTCTATCCATCACACGCTCCAAGCTTGGGACCAGTTTGGGTTTACATCTCTGACTCCAGCTAAAGAGAAGCCTTTTCCAGCTCTCTCCCTCACATGAGTCCAAATTCAGACACACCGTTGTTCTTAGAGGCTGGAGCCAGAGAGAGAAGTCATTCAAGGAGTTTCTGGCAAAGAGGAGCCAGCCTCCCCATCTGCTTTGTTCTCAGTGCACGTGTGTGGCCATGGCATCTTCAATATGAAGTAGCAGGAGGATATATGTTCTCGCTCTCTCTGTGTATGTCTGTGTGTGTGTGCACATCTGTATGTGTGAGTGAGTGTGCGTGTATATGTGCATGTGTGTTCACATATGTGTATCTGTGTGTACACGCATGAGTGTGTGCATGTGGGGAAGGGGTATGGTGAGTGTAAATGCAGGTCGGAGTAGAGGGCATTGGTCCTTGCATTTTGTCTGAACCAACATCTTTGCTTGATTTTTCCCATTGCATTTCGCAGGCCAGCCTGTCTTTCTGGAGGGGTGTGCTCGGACCACAGTGTGCGGCAGCACCCAGCTTATATGATTCTGGGACTTCCCCTCTGTGTGGCCAGCACTCTACCCTGCCTTGAAGCCAGAGTTTTGGCAGAGGCTCAGAAGTGGGAGGGAGGAAGCATCCTTGCGGTTAAGTGATGATCTTTTTCTCTATCCCTTGCCCTTGACTGAAGGAAAGTTTGATTTCGAGTTGGCCAAACCAGTTCCCCTTTCTCCCCTTCTCAGAAACTTAGCTTGAAGCCCTGCACTTCCCCCACATAACCCGGTTCTCGGTCACAAGAATCCAAGACAGAGTGAAGGCTGAAGGCACACAGGTGCAGCCCAGAGGTGCTCCTCCCCCTCCCCTTTCTTCCATCCCCTCCCTTCCATCCTCTCCCCTCCCCAGCAACCAGGAGCCCAACAAATGGGAGCTTGAAATGCACATGGAGGTAAGACTGTGTTCTCCTGTGATTTCCAAACTGCGACCCCAAATACTAGTTTCCCAAGCACGGCATTATTTACTGGACAGGATAGCAATAACAGTACGTAAAAGCTCTAGGATCTAGATTAGGGGGAAATTCACACAAGACCTTCCCTGAGTTTTCCAAACGTACTGCAATGATTATTACTGACTGTCAGCTGGAGAGGCCCTAGAATCCTCCAGGAGACAGACCTCTGGGTGTGGCCAAAGGAAGTTTCTAGACTAGATTCATTGAGGTGAGAAAACCCACTCGAAATGTGGGCAGCGAGAGTGGGTGACAACACTCTCAATAAGGAGGAGAGTGAAGCAGAGCTTCATTGTCCCCCCTCCCCCCCCTTCTCTCATTCTGCTCTCTGACTGTGGGTGCAATGTGACCGGCTGTTTCATGCTCCTGTTGCCATGGCGTCCCTGCCATGATTGACTGTAACCTCCACCTAGGAGCCAGAACAAACCCATTTTCCCTTGAGTTGTCAAACCTTCAGTCACAAGAAAGAGGAAGGTAATCAAGACAGCTACCTTGACAGAAAACAAGCCAGGACGGTGTCCAATCCTGTAGTCTTTGTGCTCAGAGGCTCAGGGAGGGCAAGTTCAAGGATGGCCCGGGCTACATAGTGAGATCCTGTCTCAAGAATTAAAAAAAAAAAAAAGCAAAACACAAGGTATTGCCATGTAGGTCAGTGATAGAGCACTTGTTTGGCATCTGTGAATCCTGAGGTTCAATTCACAGTGTTGGGAGAAAAAGTCTAATGGTTGGAAGGTCAATTAAAAGAGGCCAACTAAAGCAGAGGCCACTTTCAAAGGAATTGTGCTATCTGTATTTGATTTTACTTAAAACACACAAGTCTACAAATACTTGCCGCTACCTCACACCGAATTCAGGCCTCTGCACATGCCCACTGCAGCACGGCTGGGGCGGGAGCATCTCTCCATAAATATGATGAGGTCCCAACATGCACTGCGGTTCACTGATAAATTTCGTAGTCTGTAGACTTTGGCAAAAGTGACTGTAAAGGGTAAGGATGACAGTTTCTAGGTGTATTTGTCTTGAAAAGGAGTAATTAAAGATTATGAAACTCTATTTTACTTTATCATGTTTGTTTGCGTCTTCCTTGTTCAGCTCACGTTTGAGAAGCCATGTTGGTGAGACCTCGTGTGCAGTTTCTGATATTACTGGGAGACACAGACTCACAGCAAACTCCCTGATCTTATGGCTCTGACAATCTTTCTGCTCCTTTTTCTGCCATGGTCTCTGAACTTTAGGTTAACATACATTTAATCTTCCTTCATGTCTGTTTATGGATTGGTAGCTCATTCTTTCTTTTTTTTCCCCCCTCTTTTCTTCAAAACTGAACTTGCATGCTAGGCAAGAACTCTATCCTTCCTTCCTTCCTTCCTTCCTTCCTTCCTTTCTCTTTCTCTTTTGAGACAGGATCTCCCTCCACAGCCTTGGTATGTAGAGCTGGCTGGCCTCGAACTCACAAAAGGTTCAATTGCCTCTGCCTCTTGAGTTTTGAGATTAAAGGTTCGAACTTGGTTTTTTTAATGTTGATTTAATTTTTAAAATGATATGTATGTGGGTATGTGGGTACCCATGGAGGCCAGAGGCATCGGATCCCCAGTGTGGGGACTTGAACTAAGGTCCTCTGGATTAGCAGTACTCCCCCTTAGCCACTGTGTTATCTCCTCAGCTCCAAAATGTTGGGTGGGTTTTTGTTATTTTTGAAATTTTTTTTGTTACCCTTTGTTTGTTTTGAGCCAAGGTTTCTTTACATAGCCCTGGCTGTCCTGGAACTCACTATGTAGACCAGGCTGGCCTCAAACTCACAGAGATCCACCTGCTTCTTCCTCCTGAGTGCTGGGATTAAAAATAGGCACTATCACATCCAGCCTGTGTTTTTCTTTTTAGTATTTACAAATATTCTATTAGCAAATCAACTTGGTTTTAGAAACAACAGATACATACTCTGCCTTCACTGGCTTATGTAATTTCAAATGAAATCACTCAAATTCAAGGACAACTAAAACCTTCATAAGCAGGTTTGGAACAGACCAAAAAAAGAGACAAAAACAAGTCAGAGGTCGTGACTAATTCATACTCTGCTGGTTTGCATCCCCAAAGGATGATAACGCACACATACATACATACAAACATGCACACACACATATATTGTATGTATGTATGTATTCCACTTTGGAGACTCTTAGCTTTCCGATTATTAAGGGAAAATTAGAAAATCTGTTTAAAATTCAGTTTAATGCCAAAGTGTCAAATACAGAAGTGGCTGGGTCTCTCTGAATTCAGGAAGACTGTGTCAGCATGGAAAGCTGAAGGCTGAACCAGGGTATCTGGAGCCACTGCCAGCTCTGGTCTTGGGGGAGGGGGACGACAACTAGTTCAGCTATCAAAAGCTAATTCCAGGACAAGGGGTGGATGCCATACCTCTGCAGCCTCCTTGATAAACTGGAGGCCATGAATAAAAAGATTTAAGTTCCAAAGACGTGGTGGAAGGGAGATAAGAGGGGGAGGGAGACAGAGAAAAATCTTCCAGTGTGTGTGTGTGTGTGTGTGTGTGTGTGTGTGTGTGTGTGTACATGGACCCTGAGGCTAGAGGTTGAAATTTATTTTCCACCTTATATTTTGAGACAGGGTCACCCACTGGGCTGCCTGGACAGTGAATCTCTACCTTCCTACTGCTGAATTACATGCCCGGCTTTTTACATGAGTACTGAGAATCTGAACTCGAGTCCTCACGCTTAAGAGGCGAGTACCTTTCTCTAAGCAGTCTCTGGTGCCCTTGAATTCCCCTTTGGTAGGTACAAAGGCAAGTCCTGGTCTGGCCAAAGCAAAGACCTGAGGGAAAACCCTGGAGCCTCTGGTAAATCCACAGGGTCGCTGGGTTTCTAACAGTTCCCTAATCCTAACTTCTGCTGAGAAGTGCCCAGCTCCAGGCTAACCGTGGTGTCAAAGCTGACCACTAACTGCTGTTTCTCTGGAGCAGAAACTGCCTCTGGAAGCTTTGCCCATTGTTGCTGCAGTGAACTGTAGGTGGGTGGAGAGTCCGAGGTTCTAATTAATGAAATGTTAGTGGCACAGATTAAACTGGAGAGACACAGCATCCATGGTACACAGTGGGGACCTACTTGCTTGCTGTAGGGAACTCAATTGACCCAGCCCTCCATGCTGAGACAGAACTCCCCTCCCCCGACCAAAGGTCAAAATCAAAATCAAACAAAAACAGTAGCAATCACTGCACCCATCAGTCCCAGCTTTTATTTTATTTGTGTGTGTGGTGTTGAGGACTGGCATGTGCTACGCCAACACTCTGAGCTTTTTGGCTTTAAATCCTTGTAAGGATAGAATAGAACTGGTCAGTACACTCTAGCCAGGGTGATGGACTAACGTCAACGTGACCACAGTTCAGAATACTCCACTCTGCTCCTCTGCTTCCCTCCACCCCACTGGTTTTTACACAAGACTCCCTGGAAGCCCCCCTGATGAGTTCCCCACCTTCCTGCCCAGGGCAGCACAGCCACAAAGCAGGCTTGCTCTCCTGCGCCCCACCCCCACCCAGGGTGTCATCAGAGTAACCATCTGGACCTCTAAGTTGGTTGCACCTGCCTGGGGCGTGTGGCTTTTCTGCTAGGATTCAGAAGGGAGCCACCTGGATGCAGGAGGGAGGCGGCACAAACAAGGACGCTTTGTGTCTAGTGAAGTGTTCCGTAACTGGAGCTGTGTCACACTCTACTCTCTGGTGACATTTGGAGCCGCCCTTGGGGGAGTGGTCAGCTTGCCCATTGCACAGCCTTTCCCCAAAGCCCTGTTTATGAAACTCAGTGATTTGAAAGTCCTAATAAAATGACACTGGTGGTGAGGAAAGAAAAAAAACCAGGTGATGTCTTAGGTGAGGACGAGGTTATCACCAACATTCTGGGGTGCATGGCCTCCTCTCGAAGGCAAACCTATTTATTTTGCCTAGCTCTAAAGTTCTGGGTTTTTCTGTGGGATTATTAGGAATTAGGAATACAATTTTGTTGATCTCCATGATCCACAGAACCCGGTGCAATACAAATTCAGGGCCACCTGCTCAAAAAAGCAAAAGAAAGTTTCTTTGCAAGTACTTAATAGGAAGCTTTGCCCTCTTCCAAAGTCTCCTATCCTGCAGGGTGTTTTCCTGCTGTAATCTCTTGGGTGCGGGGTTAAGAAAACCCTCAACTCTACCCACAGGGTTCGATGCCACTATGCAGGAGACCCAGTTGCTAACAGATCCAGGTACCACATCCTGGCCAGGAGGCAAAAATTGAGCCAAGGTCTCCCAGCGCTCAGGAGGATACAATGGTTAGAGATGAGCCTGGGCTACACAGTGAGACCTTGCCTCAAAACAAAAATCAACACACACAAAGTCTTTTAAGTGGAAAGAAATATGCCAAGGATCTATGGTATTTCTCTCTAGGTTGAGGGTATAAAATGATATTTTGTCTATGATTTATGTGTATTTGTAGTGCTGAGGATCAAAACCAGGACCCTGCATTTACTCTATGTATGTATTATATGTACTCTACCACTGAATCACTGAATTACATCCTGAACACATGACTTTTTTTATTGCTGTCTGTCTGTTTCTCTCTCTCTCTCTCTCTCTCTCTCTCTCTCTCTCTCTCTCTGTGTGTGTGTGTGTGTGTGTCTGTGTGTGTGTGTGTCTGGAATTCATTATAAAGCTCACACTGGCCTCAAACTCATGGCAATCCTCCCACCTCAGCCTCCCTAGTATGGGGATTACAAATGTAAGCCACGGTTGTTGTTTACAGTGAATATGGATGCAAGGATAAACTGGGGGTCAGGACAGAAAGACACGTGGGATGGGAAAGGCGCTCCTCACTCTGGAGTCTGGCCGAGAAGAGAGAATTCCAGGAGTGGGAAGAGATGTCTCACCTACTGCTCTTTTAAAGGACTCAAGTTGGGTTCCCAGCTCACACTTGCCTATGACTCCAGCTCCAGGGGACCTGATGCACGGGATGGACATTTGCACTCACATGGACACACACATACACACACACGTGCACACGTGCACACGTGCACACACGCACTTAAAAATAAAAATAAATCTTTAATTTTTAAAAAAAGAATCCCAGCACAATCAGTAACATTGTCATAGAGACAATACTTTTTTTGTATAAAGAAGAATGTTAAAATGAACATGCTTCCGAGCTAAGCCTCCGTGGCCTTCCAGTGTAGTCTCGCTCCTTTCCCAGGTATTTTCTGGGGATACCATGAAACAGGACTAACCTCTTGCTCCTAGTAAAAACATCTCCCCTTTCTCCTGCAAGCCTTGAGCCTAGGGTGGGATTCTATCAGTTGTGACCCTAGCCAATTCCCAGGAACCACCCGTGATCTTACTCGGGTTCTTTATCAACCCTGTGAGCCAAACGTTCAGGGAGCAGTGCCCATGGTGACTACAAGACACGGAACGGTGACCTTCTTTCCCAACAGATCCACACCCACGCTCTCAGGTTGAGTTACCCTTCTCCCTCGGGGCCTCTTTTTGTTATGTCCTGTTCTAAATATGATACAGTTCTCTTAATAAGCTTCAGCTCCACTTCAAACTGGCACTTCCTGAATTCTTCTTTTCTCTAGAGAAGTCGAGAATCTGTCTTACCTGATCAGGTTCCTAAAAAACAAGGAAACTCTTCAGGCTTTGGGTGGTAGCATGGGACAGTGTCTGCCCCCACTATCACTGACACTTCCTATCAGAAAAAAAAAAACTGTTAATTTTTTCAAGTAGTAAAGCAAACAGCTGTTACCTGTTGGGAGGGCAGGCTCCTCCTCCTTGGACTTTTCTGATAGAAGCAGGCTCATCTCTCTACTAACTTTCTTCAGTACCTCTTGGATCATATAAATTTCTAAACTTTCCAGAAGCTTCTGGAGCTGGAATAAGCATGGGATGAGATTAGCATCACTCTGCAATTCAGTTCTACATTGGGCTCTCAAGTGTCATCCCTGCAGACAGGCTTTGGTCTGTCCTCTCCTCAGCTTGTTTCTCTGAGAAGAGTGCGCTTTGGGACCTCAAGTTCTTCCCAGGGATCAATACTCCTCTTTGCAGGCCAACATCTTTTTCTTTTTTTCTCACGGCCCTCATTCTGACCCATATAACCTTTCTTACCATGTTCTACAAAGCACTCTGGGTCTGAAGTGACCTCACGCCTTTTAAAAAAATTAATTTAGCAATCCCAGTTTTCCCCCTCCCACTCCCCATCCGCTCCTCAGAGAGGTTAAGGCTCCCCTGAGAGGTCATCTCAGTCTGCCACATCACCTCATAGAGACAGGGCCAAGCCCACCCCAGCCCTGCCCCAGGCAGAGCAAGGTAATCTCTGGGCTCCACAGTCAGTTCAGGCGTTAGGACCTCATGCCTTTTGACGGCCTCTAAATGACACCAGAAACCTCATGAGCTGTTACTTTAATAAGAGTCTGAGAGCCAATTAATAACCAAGGAGGGTGTCATGAGAGACCTAAATCTGGCACGCACCAAGATGAATTGCTCCAATAGCTATGAGTCCCACTCCACCCACGACGCTTGCAGAGCCTTCCCCTCCCTGTGGGAGGAACGGAGGAAGAGCCGGCCTTCAGGAACATAAGCAGTGTGCTGGGCTCTGAGGCATATATGAAGTTCACTCTGACATCCCCCATGGCATGGTGGCTTCTCTGCTCGGACAGCCAGAGGCCCTGGTTACCTTAGTCAGCTGGGCAACGGCTGCTAAAGATTACTCAGCACACTGCCTGAGTCACTGCAAAAACTGTGCTTTCTTTCTTTCAGAAAAACCACTCTGAAATGCTCCATTCAATATTTTCATTTCCATGTGGATACGCACCAGCTGGGTTTTTGTCTTCCTTCCTTCCTTCCTTCCTTCCTTCCTTCCTTTCCTTCTCTCTCTCTCTCTCTCTTTGCTTTTTTTGAAACAGTTTCTCTGTAGCTTTGGAGCCTGTCTGGACTATCCCTTGTAGACCAGGCTGGCCTCGAACTCACAGAGATCCGCCTGCCTCTGCCTCCTGAGTGCGGGGATTAAAGGCGTGCGCCACCACCGCCTGGCTCTGTCACATTTCTTATGTCCGAGGAAAATGAAAATAATGAGAACCTAGACTCATGGGATGGAGACATTTGGGGGTTCTTCTTCTTTGCTTACTCAAGCCCCGCAGACCTTCAAGAGTGCCCCTCCCCCACCCCACCTTGAAGGAAACATCATTTGTGTTGATTGCAGTTTTCCACACCAGGGCAGCAAGGCAAGTTTTCAAAGACAAACTGAAGAGCTCTGGTACCTGCTGGGTTTTTATTTCGATTTCTGAGGCTCCCTTTGGGGGAAGAATAGACTGGTTTCTTATTATTAGTCCTTCAAATTCATCTTCTTTGCCCATCTGCCTGGCTAAAGATTTCAGGCTGGGGTAGAAAATGTCAGCTCTGAGACAGCAAAGAGACAGAAATTAGCAAATAAACACACTCCCTCTCCTTCAGTTTCTCTGTCAGTCATTTTCAGTTTCCTGTCACCCATCCTCTCTACAGACACATCAGCAACTAAACCCACCCCTCCTTTGGTCAATATTAGATCCCGCGGCCCCTCCCTGTTGAGTACATAGAACTCCTGTCGTCCTGCCGCGAAACGCCGACAAGTCTTCTCATTTCTGACAGGGAACCTGACCTCAGTGACTTTCGGGACAGACGATCCTGACTGTGCCAGAGAGAAGATGGCTGAGGCCTGGGGGAGTGGGCCCGGGCTTAGTAAGGACTTGTTTAGAAATACACGCCAGGAACAACAGGCTTTGCCTGCCAGCTCAGTCATCCCAGCTGAGGGGTGTAGCCACGGACTGGGTAACCGTGTGGACGCCACGTGTGCCATGTCACCCTCTGGCACAGCGCTGGGGCTGCGGGTGTCCCCAGCAGCAGCAGTCTATCCTAGGAGCTAAACAGTCAGTCAGCACCATGGAGTCACCTGATAGGCTAAACTCCACGGACGAGCTCCAGGGAGGAAGTGATAATCCAGGACAATTCACTGGAGTCTAGCTCTTTCCCCACAGCCAACGCGGAATAGCTTTTCCTTACAGCATTGCCGCAGCGACTCTTCTAGCTGCTCCCTGACGCAGTTTGCTGGGTATTTCAGAATCCTGGTCTGACTTTCTCGGGGAAGGGGGAAGAACCATCGAATCCCAGGCTCTGCCGCTGACATGTTTTGGGGGTTGTTTGTTTATATTTTTTGTTTTTGGTCTCAGCAGTACTCACTCATAGAGCTCTGAGAACTGTTTGTGGTGGGAGGCAGAGTTGATCTCCTGGCCTTGAAGCCTGAGTCGGCCCCAGTGTTCCTTGAGCACTTCCAGCTGCTTCCACAGGATGAGGAAGGACTTCAACAGAGCAAGGGACAGCACTGCACCTTGTGGACCCTCCAGCAAGGTGGAGGCCTTTGGGAGACTTTCCAACGGACTTGGGCAGAGTCCTGGCAGTTTGGACCAGTGTGGCTGAAAACAAGACAGAAATCCTTTATCAATTGTGGTTTAAGATAAGTTTTTATATGTATCCCATGCAAAATAACATCCAGGAAAAATGGTTTACAAGTCCCTAGCATGGGCAGAAAAAAATCTAGATGGCTCAATATCCTTGTTGAGCAGGCAGGATAGAAACAGCTCTGCCTCAGCTTCCTGTTTGCATTTTGAACCACTGGTTTTTATATTTTATTTTTAGCTTTTGAAGACATGGTCTCTTGTAGCTGGCCTCGAACTTTTGACGTTGCTGAGAGCAACCTTGAACTCTGTCATCTTGCTTCCCTCTCCCAAGTGCCAGGGTTACAGGTATGAGACTACACACTTGGCTTTGAACATCAACCTTCAAAACCAGAATCTTCCTAAAGAGAAAATAAAAGAAACGAAGGAAGGAAGGAAGGAAGGAAAGAATGAATGAAGGAAGGAAAGAATGAAGGAAGGAAGGAAGGAAGGAGGGAAGGAAGGAAGGAAAGAATGAAGGAAGGAAGGAAGGAAGGAAGGAGAAAGAAAGAGAGAGAAAGAAAATAATAGAGAACGAGGTAAGGAGGAAAAGAGAGAAAGTGCATAAGAGATTGGAGAGTGATTGCTGCTCTTCCAGAGGACCTGGGTTCAATTCCCAGCACCCATGTCAGATGGCTGACAACTTCTTATAACTCCAGCTCAGAGACTCTGGAAGCCTCTCCTGACCACCATAAGCCCCTGGACAGAAGGTGGGACATCCACACATACACATAACAAAAAAAAAATCTTAAAAATATAAACTGAGGGCAGGTTATTCAGTGGTTAAGAGCATTTGCTACTCTTCCAGAAGACCTGGTTTTGGTTCCCAGAACCCATGAGCTGACTTACAACCACCCTGAAGGGGTCTGAAACCTTCTGATCTCTCTGGGCACCAGGCACATACATATATGCAGGCAAATACTCAAACACATGAAATAAAATAAACGGATCTTTTCAAAGCTTATTATTTATTTATTTACTTGCTTATTTAAGAAAGAAAAGATAAGGTATAGCCTACTTGAGACTGAAGTCTTCCCTACCCTCCACAGTAGAGCTGTAACTGACCGTTCTTTGGGGATTTTACCCATTTTATGTATCAGAAAGCAGAACTGATGTGGGATTCCCCTCTGTATGCTGTGGATACCATTGATTAGTAAAGAAACTGTCTTAGGCCTGCACAGGTAGGCAGGGGAAAACTAAACTAAATGCTAAGAGAAAGAAGGCAGAGTCAGGAGAAGCCATGTAGCCCTGCCAGAGACAGATGCAGGAACTTACCAGGAACGCCACAGCCTTGTGGCGATACACCGATCAATAGAAATGGGTTAAAGTAAGATGTAAGACCTAGCCCATAAGAAGCTATAGCTAACAGGCCAAGCAGTGATTTAATTAGTACAGTTTCTGTGTGGTTATTTCAAGTCTGGGCAGCCAGGAACAAACAAGTGGCCTCCTCCTACACAGAACTTGGGTTCATCCCGCACATCTGACAACTACCTATGAATCCAGCTTTGGGAATCTGATACCTTTCATCCTTTAAAAGCAAATGGAGAACATTTTTCTGGAATTTACTATTGCATACTCACGTTTACTTCGATTAACTCATTAAGACAGGGTCTTGGTAGCCCTGGATCACGTGGTACTCTCTGTAACAGACTGATCGCAAAAGTATGACGATCTGCCTCAACCTGCAGTTTTACAATAAAATTACCATTTGCTCATTCGATTATTGATGCCTTCCTTAAACAAGTATTTGTCCAAGTGGATGTGGAAGAAACACAGCTTCAGGCCAGCCAGTGAGTGCTAAGAAGACCAGGGCCACCCAGAGGCCGATAATCACCTTGGGGGCCTGAGTTCAGCTGTTTCCTGGTAGAGGAGAGGGACTTTGTTTTGCAAGCCAGATGGCAAATCCTGTGGCCTAGAACATTCTGACAGCAGAACTAGAAACTGGAGGAGCAGCCTGGTGTAACTGGACTCTGCATAAGCATTATACTACAAGAAGGTGTGTCTGCCAGAGAGAGGGCTGGCCAGAGAAAGTCGAGAAGAACTGGCCCAGGGGAGCCAAGTGTCCACGGACAGGTAGCAACCTCTCAACTGTGCAGCCTTCTCGGCAAACAGTCTGTGGAATTCCAGATGTCTTTTCTCTCTTAATCCTCAGAACCTTTTCATCAGATGAAATCTGACCGAGCAAGGCCAAGAACAGTGACATGCAGGGGCAGCCTACAGACCACAGGATTGGCCCCCGCTGCTGAAAAATCACTTCGTTAGGGTAAACCTGGGCCTCCCTGGACTACAGTTTTAAGGACTCTGAGTCAGTCTACCCCGCAGAGTTTAGGAGACCACGAGAGATCACAACACATATAACACAGCTGCCGTGGACGCTGGGGAGCTTGGCTCAGGAGCGGTGCTGGTTCTAGTGTTTCCTGCCCCTATAGATAGCTAAAAGCTTCGAAATGAAACTCGGTCCCAAGGAGCAGGGGTGCAGCTCAGTGGCGAAGTTGGGTGTGCCATGCTTGAAGCCCTGGGTCTGCCATCAGCGGCACACACATCACAAAGTTAAACCGATCAAAATAAATATCGATTAGATTTGCTTCTTAAGATGTTTGTATTAAAGGGAGTCACCACTAAACATTTTATTCTATTTTATTTTTGATTTTTCGAGACAGGATTTCTCCGTAGCTTTTGGTTCCTGTCCTGGGACTAGCTTTTGTAGACCAGGCTGGCCTCAAACTCACAGAGATCCGCCTGCCTCTGCCTCCCGAGTGCTGGGATTAAAGGCGTGTGCCAACACTGCCCAGCTTTATTTTATTTTTAAATAAACTTTGTTTTATAAAAGATACTTGGAAACTAGCCAGGCAGTGGTGGCTCACACCTTTAACCCCAGCACTCTGGAAGCAGAGGCAGGTGGGTCTTTGAATTTGTGGCCAGCTTGGTCTACAGAGTGAGTTCCAGGAAAGCCAGGGCTACACAGAGAAACCCTGTCTTGAAAAATCAAAATTAAACGAAAACCAAAAAAAATTGGATATTAAAAAAATCACAAAAGTCACACAGCATAATTTATCCAGATCCAAAGTCTGTACATCTCAATGAACATGTCTACAGTCAGAAGACCAATTCCAAAGCTGTGGAGCCCCACGCTAGGTTTTACACTTTCACTATAGAACATTTTATGCACTAACCACTAAAACGGAAAAATCCATGGCTGAGTTGGAACTAGAACAACAATTAGCTTTATATCATTTTTCAGAACTTGTACTCGTCACCTGGCTTCACTTAATTTTAATTTTTTAAGATTTATTTTTATTTTTAGTTATGAGTATGTGTGTTGGGGTGTTGTGGGAGGCCACTTGCTTGTTTCCTGGCTGCCCAGCAGCTCAGACCTGAAATAATCACACAGAATCTATATTATTTAAAACACTGCTTGGCTAATGATGCTAGCATATTTATAGCTAACTCATATATTAAATTAACCCATCTCCATTAATCTGTATATCCCCATGAGGTTGTGGCTTACCAGGTAAAGTTCTGGTGTCTGTCTCCGGCAGGGCTACATGGCTTCTCACTGACTCTGCCTTCTTTCTCTCAGCATTCAGTTTAGTTTTCCCAGCCTAGCTCTACTCTGCCCTATCAGGCCAAGCCAGTTTCTTTATTCATTAACCAAAAGCAACACATAGACAGGACGTCCCAAATCATTGGGGGTGTAGGGGTGCTATAGGCACAGGAGTACAGGAGCCAGTGTAGGCCAGAGGTCCTGGATCTACATAGGGCTGGAGTCACAGGCAATTGTGAGCTGCCTGGCGTGAGTGCTGGGAATCGAAATCAGGTCCTCCTGAAGAGCAGCACATTCTTTTAACTGAGAGCCTATGTTACAGGATATTTGATTGCACGGTGTGAAGATACGTCGCTCTTTTACCTTGTCTTCCGAAGGTGCCTTCTGATTGGTTTAATAAAAAGCTGAATGGCCAATAGCTAGGCAAGAGAGGATAGGTGGGACTTCCTGAGAGAGAAAAGAACTCTGGGAGAATCTGAGGAATCCAGGAATTTGCCAGCGAGACACAGAGGAAGGTTGTATGTACAATACTGAGTAGAGGTAATGAGTCACGTGGCAGACTGTGGATCAATACAAATGGGTAAATTCAGGTTGTCAAGAGCTAGTTGGGAACAAGCCTAAGATAAGGCCACACCTTCATAATCATCAAAACATCTCTGTGTCAGTATTTGGGAACACAGTCAGTGTCCTTCTGTCATTTTAAATTGTGTGTGCTCACACGTGGGGGGTCAGAGGACAGCTCAGGAGGCAGGGGTCAGAGGGCAGGGGGTTAGAGGACAGCTCAGGAGGCAGGGGTCAGAGGGCAGGGGGTTAGAGGACAGCTCAGGAGGCAGGGGTCAGAGGACAGCTGGGGGGCAGGGGTCAGAGGACAGCTGGGGGGCAGGGGTCAGAGGACAGCTGGGGGCAGGGGTCAGAGGACAGCTGGGGAGGCAGGGGTCAGAGGACAACTCGGGGGCAGTTGTCAGAGGACAGCTTGGGGAGGCAGTTCTTACTTTCTATCATATGGGTCAGTAGGCTTCATGACAAGTGCCTTTACCTATTAAGCCATTCCGATGGCGATAATTTTTTAAGTTATTTGCGTGCGCACACGCACGCGCACACGTGTGTGTGTGTGTGTGTGTGTGTGTGCTTCTTCTCTAATCTAAGTCCTGCCCACGGGGACAACCTGTTACTGTGACCTCACTCTAAGCTGCAGACAAGCCTCAGAGGTAAGGAGGAAGAGCAGAGACAGTTTCCCAAGGGGAGTGGTTTGGAGAGGGACATCTGTGAGCAAGCAGAGCATGTCTGAGGAGAGAAGTTCCTCACTACAGGTGAGGGTCAGAAGACAGCCTGGTCCACACCCCAAAAGGAAGAGACCAGGAGGAGAAATGCTGAGAGGAGCTCAGAGTATTTTAAAGTAATGAGGGCTTTATAAGGAAAGAAGTAGCAGGACCCAGCTCACACTTCAAAACTACAGTATCCTGGGGGATGGAGTGATGGCTCGTTGTTAAGATGCAGCTCCTCCTTCTGAAGAGGACCAGAGTTCGGTTCCAGCATCCACATAAGGTGGCTCACAGCGGCCTGCAACTCCAGCTATAAGGGATCTGATGCTCTCATCTACCCTCTGTGGGCACCTGCACAGATGCAGCATACATACATACAGACAGACAGACACACACACACACAATAAATAAATACAATTGAAAATTAAAAAACAAAAGAAATAACAACAGTGTTAGCGAGGGGGCTGAGAAAGAGGAAGACACACCCACTATTGGTGGGAGTGTAAATGGGCATCGCCACTGTGGCAATCAGGGCAGAGACATCTCGGAAACCTAAAATTAGGGCTTCCACGGAATCCGGCTTTGCCACTCCTGGCATTTACTCAAAGGACTCTTATCCTACTACTGAGATGGGATCTGTGTTCTTCTATGTTTATTGCTGCTCTGGAGGTAAAGCAAGGAAATGCAGTCAGACTCACTGTCCATCAGGGGATGAACGGATAAGGAAACATGGGCCATATGCAGAAGATGCAGAATTATTCAATGTGTAAACAAATGGATGGAACCGGGGAAGATTAAACAAGGTAAGCCAGGCTTAGGAAGACGGGCACTGATGGTCATGTGCATACTCTACCTTCTCCTTTGCATATACGTGTAACTGTGTGGAGGGAAGGAGGACAAATGCGCGGACACAGAGTCCATGAGAGGGGAAAGAAAACTTTTTGACAGGAAATTACCCTACCATTAAATCTCAGTAACCCATGTCTGTGCTGTGGTAGAGGCCCCCGAGAGCCAAGGAAAAGAAAGACAACAGCCATGCCGGCTGATTGGTGTCCTTGAGTGGATGTGGGGCTAGGAAACAGACAACAGTAGACTTCTAGAAGGTGGAGGTCTGAGGAGGCACTTCAGGCAGGTGTCTGGCTAGTTCACTGACTGCAACATGCCTCTGCCTGGCTTCTAGTTCATGAAGTTTTATTTAGAGCTATTTTACACGATGGGGAATGATACTTGTGCCTGAAACTTCAGAAAGTTAAAGCGAGGAGACGCTGCCAGTCTGACACTTCAGGCTAGCTGAGGCTCTCACATATGCCTCTGGGACGCCCAACTCTACTGCTAAAGCAAGCGACTTGCCAGGAAAGCATGAACTGAGCGTCTGTCTCGGGAGGCTTCCATGGACCCCCCAGAGACTTTGTTCTGTTTTAAAAACAAAATACATAGAAGCCCAGGCCGGAAGATTGGAATTCAAGGTCAGCTGGACTGTGGAGCAGGACCCCACCTCAAAAACATTTTGAAGTTAAAAAGAAATGTTTTAATTGGCCGGTAGTGGTGGTGCCAGGCCTTTAATCCTAGTGTTCGGGAGGCAGAAGGAGGCCAACCTCTGTGGGTTCAAGGCCAGCCTGGTCTAGATAGCAAGTTTCAGGTGAGCCAAAGCTACATGGAGCAGTGGCTCTCAACCTTCCTAATGCTGCAACCCTTTAATACAGTTCTTCATGTTGTGATGATCTCCAGGCATAACATTATTTTCATTGCTTCTTTGTAACTGTAATTTTGTTAGTGTTATGAATGCAATGTAAATATCTGTGTTTTCTGATGATCCTGGGAGACCCCTGTGAAAGGGTCATTCAACCCTCAAAAAGAGGTCAGGACCCACAGATTGACAACCACTGACATAGAGAAATTGTCCCCAAAATAAACAAAAACTTTTAATTACATATGTGTATGTATGTATTTATCTCTGTGTGTTGATGTGTGCACATCAGTACAGGTGCCTGAGGAGACAAGAGGAGGGAGTTGGATCTCTGGAACTGGAGGTGCAGGTGGTTGGAAGTCACCTAATATGGGTACCGGGAACAGAACCCTGGTCCTTTTTGTAAGAGCCATCTCTCCATGCCCACCCCTACCAAAACAAACAAACAAACAAACAAAAAACCTTTTAAGTGAATAAAGTCAGTGGGAACTTAATCCTGAGACTCACTGTGTAAGCAAATCCCTGAGAGTATTTCTCCACGTTTCACCAACGGCATTGTGGCATTAGCACGGTCCTGGCTTCTATGGGAGCAGCTGTGCAAGATAGCGCCTCTAATGTGACTTTCAAAGTAGGCAAATCCTTCAATGCAACACAGTGCTGGCCAAGTCTGTAGCCCACTTTCTAAGAATAACTGTGCATTGTCTGGTGTGGCCTGCCATTCAGGAGACCCCTCTGTGATCACCTGTGCAGTGTCCAGTGTGGCCTGCTGTCCAGGAGACCCCTCTGTGGTCACCTGTGCAGTGTCCAGTGTGACCTGTGCATTCAGGAGACCCCTCCGTGGTCACCTGTGCAGTGTCCAGCGTGGCCTGCAATCCAGGAGACCCTTCCGTGGTCACGTGATAGCTGCCCAGCAGTACATCGTCCATTAGCACCTGCACGCCCACCAGCTCTCCATGGGCCACTTTGCGGTCACGGTCACTCAGCCCGCAGAGACACATCTAGAAACAAATAAAAATACCTTCCCATTTTGAAGAGGCCTTTGTATCTCTTATAAATGGGTCTGAAGATAAACATCAAATGCAACTATATTTATAACCCTCATGCTCTTAGCTAATACAATCAGAGTAAAATCTCTAGCTTCAAGTCCTTCTTGAATGTGTTAGGTTTCTGTGTAGGAGCAGCAAATCTCCTGACCTTACAGCAGATGCAACAAATGCGTGGGATGGCCAGTTTCCTTTACAAGTCCAGAGATACTCATAGGCATGCCCCCGGGGGAACAGAAGAAAGACCCTAATTGTGATCTGTTATTGTCTCTGTTTTTGCTTTAAACCCTCTTGCTTTTACTGTTAAAACATTTTTTTTAACTTATGGAGAATTTTAAACACACATAAATGCAAACAAATTACATCCATATATATATATATATATATATATACACACACACACACACACATATATATATATATATATATATATATATGAATATGAGAGTATTGTCCCACCCCAACTCTTCACTCCCTATTCTGAAGCCAAGTTGTAGTTGAATTTTTGTCTTGATTTTAACGCACACACATTTAAAAAATATGTTGGTTTTGACCTAATCAGGGGAAAACATAATTTTTTTTTCAAAACAATTTAAATGATTTTTAAAAAGTTTCAGGATAAACAGAACAATTAAAGAAAATTCCCTCGTTGGTCCTGCCTAAGCAGATCCCATGCCAGGTCAGGTGTCCTGTGCCTCTGAGTGTCAGGTGGCAATTTCTCTAAGAGGCTCAGATGGTGACTCCAGAGCAGCCCTTCCTCTAGGTCACTGCTGTCCTGGGAACTGCAGGTGAGTCTACAGCAAAGACCCTTAGCGACTGAGATCGTGACTTTTTCCACAATAAGAAAAGACGACTCACCTTGCAGCCTCGGTGACAGCTTCATAGTTAAACACTCATTTATCGGATAAGTTGTCACTGGCTAAAACATGAACCTGCTTTACAGTCTGTGTTCAGGTCTCTCCAACAAGTGGAAGACAGACCTACCTGCATATCATCCTCTAAGGTGTTTGGGACGCTGCTCATAACTGGAAATGGTCCACCATCTTCCAGAAACGCCCTCCATGGGAACATCGTAACCGCCTAAATGAAACAAACAACAGACAGGACAATGGCTTCATGCATCCCTCAGATGAAGATGCTTATGCATGAGCAATACCTCTGCATCCATCTCCAAAGGACACAGAGAAAGAGTGGCAGTCATTTCTAGTTTCCCTGGGATGGTCTCAGTGTAATAAGGAGACACCAATATCCAAAGTTCTAGAACAAGAGGTGGCACACACCTGTAATTCCAGCACTTGAGAGACTGATGCAGGAGGATAGTAAGCTTCAGGCCAGTTTCAACTAGATCAGTCGTTACCCACTGGGGGTTGAAAGACCCTTTCATAGGGGACGCCAAAGTCCACCAGAAAACACAGATATTTACATTTTAGTCATAACAGTCACAAAATTATAGTTATGATGTAGCAAGGAAAAGAATTTTATGGTTGGGGGTCAGCACAACCATAAAACTGTATTAAAGGGTCACAGCATGAGGAAGGTTGAGGACCAAGGAGCTAGACAGTGAGACCCTGTCTCAAAAGAAACAAAACAAAGGAAATTCTGGAATAATACAATACCAAGAGGGTATGTTTTTAATCAACAAAAGTAAACTTAGTTAAATGTTGTTCAGATTAGGGACCTTCCAATGTCCTTCCCCATCACTGTGCCCCAACTCTTGGCATCACCTCAGACCAGTGCCCCAGGGGGTGCTCTGATCCCCGTCTTCTCTGCACTGCAGAACAACCGAGGCAGGTTCTATTTTCTGCGGCACCATGCAAACCCCGGATCCAGAGGACTGCCCACTGGGCTCATTCTCTACTCTAGAGCTGCTTTTCAGTCACTTCCTAAAGACTGTGCCACAGGACACCCACAGCCACCCAACCCAAGACAGTATCCAAAGACATCGGCAGCAGGCCCAGTGTCATGGTCAGCTCTGTCCTGTGGTTCTAAAAGAGGGGTGAGGATTGGACCAAGAGTCACTGTCGTTTAGCATGGAAGTACAGGACCTGCCTGCGGTTGATGCCGAGGCATTTGTAGTGTTTAAGTAGGATGTTTGCAGGGTGGTTTTAAAGCTATGTACACAAACGCTTTCCATCAGGAGATAGGGTTTAGTGCTTAGGGCTGGGGGCACGCCTGTAATCCTAACACTTGGGACTGGAGACAGGAGAAACAGGAGTTCAAGGTTATATTTGCCTACTTAATAGATCAGCCTGGGATACATAACAATATCTCTAGAGGAGGGGGCACGCAGACGCTTGTCACCAAGTCTGACGACCTGAGTCTGATCCTCAGGTCCAGAAGGTGGAAGGAAAGAATTGACTCCTGTCAACTGTCTTCTGACCTGACGTGTGCACACGTGTGAGCAGGAACACACAAGCACACACACCCAGAGGGGGGAGATAGAAAAGAAACTAAAATGGGGGTATGCAGAAGGAGGAAGGGAGGTGACTCTCTGACTCTTTGAACATGGCTGAACTTAAAGGCTCACTGTTAATGACTGGAACATGACAGAAGCCATGGTGTCAGTTCTGAAGACTGGTCATGCAATGGCCAAGGCTTCTACCCCAGGCTCCCTCTCTTGCTCTGGGGAAACCATTTTCCTCACAGCCATTGCTGTGAGGAAGTGTTGTAGTGAAGACTGTGGGAACAGCCTTGGATGCGGGTCTCCTGACAGCTACTGTCAGCTGGGTGGATAAGGCTGCAAGCAAACTTCTCTTGCTATGCGCTGAGATGGTGATCTTCAGGCCTGGCCAACTTCTTGATTGCAACCCTTCAGAGACACAGCCACCCTCCCTGAGCCAACACTCCTCACCTAAGCTGCTCCCAGCTTCCTGCCTCTCAGAATCTGGGAGTGGCAATGAACGCTTATTGTCCTAACCTACTGAGCTGGGCCCGGCCTTGAGTTTGTGGCAACAGAAAAGTGACAAATAAGGTTTGGGAATCTAACGCTGCTCTGACTCCTTCAGTGGTTTGATATCTGGCTTTTCTGAACTTTGGCCTGTGTCAAGATGGTTAATGTACCTGCTTGGGAGTAGTCGTAGTTGCTGGGATTACATTTGATAACACGTGTTGTAACCAGAGCAATCCAAAGCCCAGCTTCTGACCTCTTTATGCATCATGATCTATTGGGTAGAAAAGATCAAGCCTTTCGGCGCATCTTGTTTTGTTTTTCCATGACAGCTGTGAGCAGGCTGTTGCCCCAATCATTCCATTGAACATTTGCAGAAGAGACCCTGCCTGGAACTAACTCCTGGTCATGAGTCCCCGTGGCCCCCTGGGAGTGAAGGAAGGCCAACGAAGACTGAGGTCCACTGAAGTGTGAAGACCCTGCGAAATGGAAGCCAAATGGAAACGAAGGGACAACACCCCTGCATTCCACACAGCGCCTCTGAAACTTACCTGGAGGCTCCGTGGATCTAGCGGCTGGGGCAGGCTGAGCCCTGAAGAAAAGATGCTCCTTCTGAGAGAGTCGCTCAGTGGTGGCAAACCATGGCACACACCATCTGCGACAGACTGGTGGGCGGGAGCATTTCCTGCTGCCAAAAATGTTCTGTCAAAGTGGGGTGAGAGTTTTTGTTTAGTATGGTTACTTATGCTTTCTAGGTCCAGAGCTTTCTTCAAACTTACTGTAGCAAGAGAATATTTTGAAAGAGGAACATGGTTTCTCCCTCAACCCCCTATGCTTCCCTTCCCTCTCATAGTCCAGAGCCCTCTGGGGGAAGGTGATCCTCACAATGGGAGAAGGTCTGTGATGGGAGCAATACTGACAGAACTATCAGGAAGCTGGAAAGTTCAGAAAACACTGATTCTATGCCATTGTTGGACACCGGAAGTGAAGCTCTTGCAAATGAGGGACTGAGTTTTAAATTTTACTTAATTTTAGCTCTTACTAACTTGAATTAAATCAGCCACATGTGGCTGCCAAAACGGGCATCACACCAATAGCTCCAGCACAAAGACTTCAGCTGTCTGCGGAGCTCTTAAAGTTAGTAGCTGCAGTAAGATTTCAAATCTATAAAACCAAACTTCAGGTTAAGTGAGATCCAGGGGTGTGAGAGAGAACCCTTTGGTTTCGTTGAAACAAAATTTGGTTCTGCACGTCAAGAGCCACAAACCCTGTAGACTAGAGCATGAAATTTTTAATGCAAGCAAGAACGAGAGGCATGTGGGATAATTCAGGGCGATTTCCTGCCCCCAAGGAAATAAGATTAGCAAGGAAACACAGGGTTTTGAGATCTCAGTTAGCCCTCGCTAACATACAAAAGTTGTCTAAGGAAAGTGTTGACCTGGGATAACCTGGGGGAGGGGAGCTCCGAGAACTGATGTTTTCCGTGGAGACCAGTTCTCACAAACCAGGCACCGAAGAGAACAGAGACTTGCCAGGCTGAGGGAAATGTCAGCTTAAGGAACTGAGATTGGCAAACTCTCTGTGTTGGAGAGACTTGGGAGTGCCTGAGGCCCATCAGTGACTGTCCATGGGCAGGCATGGAACAGGAAACCAACCATGAGAGGCTGGAGTAGACCTGACAACCTACAACAGAGGTGAGTGAAGTGGCCACTGCTGTCTAACTTCCAGCATCTCTCGGGAGCACCACTTAGAGCTCAGGCTGCCGGGGAGGGTGTTGTGTGAGCTCTGCAATTAAGGCCCAGTATTAGGGGTTGCCTAGATACCTGGAAGGGCCTTGATAGTATAAGCACAGCTTCTCCCTTCTCCCAGGATAAGGTTCCCGTGTCCACCCACACTCCTTATCAAGGGAGCTGGCACTCTTTCCACTGTCCCCGGGCAACGACTGTTTCCTGCCAGACCCTGGAGCTGGGCAAACAAACCCATCGTGTCCTCCTTAGTAACCCGGGAAGACCACACCCTCTTCTACTGCTGAGTCTGCCTCCTTCGGGCTCTGCGTGTACACTGTATTCACACATGGCCTGTTGCGGCCGGCAGGACATCCTCTCCTTCTGTGAAGACCCAGCACTAACAAACCACTATTGATCTTATCTGGTTCAAGCTTTGGTGCTATTTCTTCAGCCGTCTAGAATCTTTACCTCACCAATAGGGCGACCAGGAGGCAGTAAAACAAACCATAACTAACTGACTTGGCATTCACTCCAGGGTGACCACGTTTATACACGTGTGACTCAATGATGTGGCATCGGAAAGGGAAATACTTTTTCCGTCAGCAGAAGTAGGGGCCTATGAGCTCAATAGTGCAGCACTTAGAGGGTGAACAAAACTACTGGTTGGTGGCCGGTGTGTGTGTGCCTGCACACACGCACGTGCCCTTGTGTTGACACTGAACATGCTAAGCATGCATTCAACCACTGAGCTAAGACCTAGCTCTTCACTCGGTTTAGGATGGAGGTTGGAGTTACCTAAAGGCGACATAAACTTTGCTCCCTGTTTCTTTCAACTTCCACGCGATTTCTCAGCGGAGATGACGACATACCAAGTGCAGCCATGGCATGGTGTGGCTGGAATGTTCACAGTTCCGAGCCAGGAGCTGCCTGAGATTCAACAGCCAACCTCACATAGGCCATCACCTCCACCCACACAGAGCCCAAGGCACCAGTAAGGCTTCCGCCTTCCCCTAAAATTTCCGAGATCTCTCGATGGCACATATAGTATCTATGTGCCATATACATATACCCTACCTATGCTTACTTAAAATGCTGGTATCAAAAAGCAGGCCATTCGAACAGAGACACATTTCGGCACAAGTCACGAACGCGAAAGCAAAGTGCCCGGGAACAGCTTCTTTCGTTGCACGGCTCCTTTCGCTGACTCCTGCTCGTCTCTACCACCAGTTCTTGAGGCTCTCCCTGCCCTCCTCGCCTCCTTCCTGCCTCCTTCCTTCAGGGGCCAGCTTTGTATCACCAGTTCTCAGGGTTCACCTTGCCCCCCTCGCCTCCTCCCTTCCTCCCTCCTTCAGGGCCCGGCTTTGTTCAATCTTTCTTGTTCAGTCTCTGACATGATCTCTCTTTTCCACTTTCTTTGGCGGGTTTACTTTAGAAAATATTATGTGTATGTTGTGTGGTGGCGGGGATAAATGAACTTGAGTGCTGGTGCCCCCAGAGGCCAGAAAAGTGGGTGTCAAGATCTCCTAGAGTGGGGCTGGAGAGATGGCTTAGAGGTTAAGAGCACTGACTGCTCTTTCTGAGGTCCTGAGTTCAATTCCCAGCAGCCACTCATGTGTAATGAGATCTGGTGCCCTCTCTGGTGAGTAGGCATATATGAAGATAGAACACTGTATACATAATAAATAAAAATCTTAAAAAAATATCTCCTAGAGCTGGAGTAGCAGGTGGGTGCTGGGAACCGAACTCTGATACTGTGCAGGAATGATATGTGCTCTCAATTGCTGAGCCATCCCTCCAGCCCCTGATGTGTTCTATTATTGTCTTAGAAAGTTTGTGAAGTATTACAAACGATTACCAAAGTGGCTTCAATTCTTGGAAAACTTTTAGAACCCTGCGAAGGAACCAAGGAATAATGGGACGTTGCCCTCTGCTATGGCATGACTATTGCCTTCTTGAACACTCAGCAGTAGTGATTATAGGAAGAAGACCAGCACAAGACTACACCCCTGATCGTTCATCATGAAGGGACCGAGGGGCTCACGCTGCAACACCCCTCTCTTAGTCTATATAAGTGGCAAACAGTTGTTTGGGAATGTGGTAAGATCGGACAATTGATTTTTCACAGTGCGGCTGCCCATGCTCTTGTAGGCATCACTTCCCCTGCAAGTGACCCAAATTAAACTCAAGCTATGCTTGGCAGGACTGTTTCTTAGGTCTGTATGTCTGTATTCTCTGAGGTGGGTAGCATTTGTCTCCCAGGAAGTCAACAGAGCACAAGGCTACATCCTTCCTTGCCTTCCCAGTTCCTCTGTCCACATGCTAGATGCTGTGAGCTGTAGATGGTTTTCAACACAAGGGTTCATGTGTTGGAAGCTTATTAGGGAATTGTACAATGTAATTATTAGAGGGGAACCACAGAAACATAACTGTGTGGCCAATCTTTGCTGTTAGTTTAATTGACTTAGAATTACCTAGGAGACACACAACTGGGTATGTCTCTGGACGTGTTTCTGGAGAGGTTAAATTAAGAAGGAAGAGCCACCCTAAATGTGGGTAAGACCATCATAGGCGGAAACTTTCCTGTCTCACAGTCACTCTTCAAATAATCACTCAGAGGCTTAATATTACTTGCAAATGCTCGACCAATAGCTCAGGTCTATTACTAACTAGATGTTACAACTTAACCAATTTCTATCACTCTGTGTGTTGACTCGAAGCTCGTGGCTTTTACCTCAATCCTATTTGGTGTGCCTAACTCATTATCCATCTGGCTGGCACCTCCTCTGGCTCCACCCTTTCTTATCCCATCATTCTGAGTTTGGCTTTCCTGCCTAATTTTATCCTGTTCCGCTATTGGTCAGTCAGCTTGTTTATTAAACCAATCATAGTGACATGTATTTACCCAGTGTACAGAAGGATTGCTCCACAGCACACCATCTCATGGACTGGGATCTCAGGCTGAATAAAACAGGAAGAGGATGAAGCAGGTTAAGCACTGGTATTCATCTCCTCCTGCTCCCTGACTGCTCCCTCACGCCCCTGCTTCCATTCTTTTCTGGCTGTGATGGACCACACCCTTAAACTGTGAGCCGCAATGAGCCTTTCCTTTGTTAAGTGATTTTTGTTACTTATTTTGTCAGAGCAAGGAAAACAAACTCCTATTCTTTTAGCACCAGAGCCTCTTTGACTTCTTCCCTCTCCATTAGAGATTTTTCTACCAAACATTTATTAATACACTGAATAATTCTATGTCAACTTTGCATAAGCTGGAGTCATTTGGGATGAGAGAACCTCAATTGAGAAGCCCCCCACCCCCGGCAGACTGGCCTGTGGGAAAGCCTTTGGTACATCTTTTTGACTGACGAGTGATGTGGGAAGGTCCAGTTCTCTGTGGGTGGTGCCAACCCTGGGCTGTGGTCCTGGGTCCTATAAGAAAGCAGGTTGAGCAAGCCATGGGGAGCAAGCCAGTAAGCAGCTCTCTTTCATGGCCTCTGCATCAGTTTTCTGCCTCCAGGTCCCGGTCCTGACATCCCTGGATGACGAGCCGCAAACTGTAAGCTGAAACAAGCCTTTCCTCTTTAGTTGCTTTTGGTCATGACGTTTTATGAGAGCATTGAAATCCTGAGACTATTGTTTTTCCTATTTTATTTATTATTTTTATTGTTATTTCGTTTTGAAATATGATCTGATACAGCTCAGGATGGCTTTGAACTCACTGTATCTGGAATGTCTGATCCTTCTACTTCTTCCTCCCAAGTTCTGGGGTTACAGATTTGCACTACCTCACCTGAACTGTTTGTTGTGGGAGATATGGTCTTCCTCTGTAGCTCTGGCACTCCTCGTATTCACTATGTAGACAAGGCTGGCCTCAAATTCATACTGCCTCTTTCCCCTCAGCCTTCTGAGATGACAGGCATGGGCAACCACATCTGACTAGCATTTTCCTCCCCAACTACTCCCAAGACAGGGAGGGTCTCACTGTTTTACACTGATTGTCTTGCGACTTGCTCTGTAGACCAGGCTGGCCTCGAACTCACACCTGCCTCTGCCTTCCGAGTGCTGAGATTAAAGGACTGTGCCACCACACCCGCTGAATTTTCCCATTTCTAAAGAAAATTTACAATGACATCTAACCCCGGACTGCAGAAAAGGATGGGGGCTATGAGGTCAGGTGTGGGGCGTAAACACAAGTCTTACCACAACAGCCTGTGTAGCCCTGGCCGAGTAACAAAACACCTCTGGATTTCTCTTTCCTTTTCTGTAAAGGCTGTAAAAATAGCTCGCAGCCCACAGACTTGGCACACAGCAGTGCCATAACCGACACAGTGGCACAGCCAAGCCCCTACCCTCCGTCATTGCCTCCTGTGTCTAAGGCTCCGGTTGAAACAAACAAAAGAAGAGAAAAAAGAGAAAGAAGATGAAAGAGAAAAGAGAGAGAGGAGAGAGAATGCTACATTTTCTTTAGCTACATCATCGTGACTTTGGAAATACTGGAAGAGCCTGGCCTCCCTGTAACAAGTCACTCAGGTCCCCAGTCGGCACAGCCTGGCCAGGACCCTCTGTAACTGGAGACAAGGAATACCACAAAGTCATACTACACAACAAACCTCACATGAGATTTATCAGGAGAGTCACAAAGGTGGCTGCCTCTGTTCTGGGGGGAGATCCTGGCAGCAGAGACCTGAGCAGGAGGTTGGCTTTATATAGGGTTTCTTGTGTGTGGGGAGGCTCCCCAGGGTGACCTGGGATTGGTTGGGTTTTGTGGCTCAAACTTTGGCTGTTTTTCTCTGTGGGGCAAAGCTTGGCTGCCTGTATCTCAAGGGGCTGGAGATGACCATTATGGCTGCTTAAGTCGGGGGCGGGGCCTGGCCGCTTGTGCACCTCCAGGGGTTTACACCCTCTATCAGCATCTGCCCAGCACAGCTTGTGAACAACACTCAAGATGCTATGGAGGGAACCAATGAGAAGGCTTGCTGGGTACAAGCTTGCAGAGCTGAGTTCTACCCCAAGAGCCCATGTAAGGCTGGCTTGCCATTTAGGACTTCGGCACTTAACACCTGCTGATAAATCATAAAGACAAGTCTCTCTGCAGACCAACACAAGATCCAACTCTTCAAATGTTCCTGCCATACCTGTATGCTTCCTTATCAACACATGGCTGGGTGCCTCCAGGAGGACTACCCTTCCTTAGGGGAAAGAGCTGCTACTAGTTAGATACCAGGAAGATGCTTAGACAGGACCTCAGAAAGTAGTCGACACTCAGGATGTGCATTGGAGCTTTTCCTTGGGAGCAAGAATATGACAAAATCTGCCTTGACAGTCCAGGCACAGTTAAAACTCTGTACTTCTCCAATACTAGAGACTGGGGCCCTGGCCTTGTGCCAAGCACATGTCCCATGAAACTCCCAGAAACTTAAGTCACACGTTGATATCTGAGTGGCTAAAGGCACTTAAAACAGACCAGCATAAAAATAAGACCGTATTCAAGATGGAGCAAAATTAAAGAAGAGCCAAGGAGCAAGAAGGCGGTGCTGGTCCATGCACATGCCCTGGAGCTCCTAAAGGAGGCTTGGAGTTGGTCCATCCTCAGACACCTCCCAATTCTCCTTCTCCCAGTCACCCCTAAAGGCAACAGTGCACGTGGAGTAGAAGCACTTTTTACATGACAATTTCATCCTTCTCCATCCACCCCCAAACTGCAAAGGAATTCTATTCTGGAACACAGAGGATGACATACTTTGGATTAAAGAGTCAAATGTTATTGTCTGCGGCTTCGTTAACCCTATTCCATTCCATGGCTGGAGAGGAAGATGGTCAGAGACCATTCACAAATAAATGGGAACATGCTGGGCACAAGGGCTCATGTGTAAACCTAGTGATCGTGAGGCTGAAACAAGAGGATTGTCATGATGGCAGCCTGGTCGACAGAGTAAGAACTTGTCTAAAAACAAAAACAAAATAAAAATAAAGCAAGAAAAATAACTAAATAACAGGCATGACTTTGTTCAGTAAAATATATTTGTGGAAACTGAAATAAGAAATTCATGGTTTTTCTGGGGTGTGTGTTTGTTTGCTTTATTTTGAAACAAGGTCTTATTGTGTAGTGTTGGTTAGCCTGGAACTCACCATGCAGACCAGACTGGCCTTGAACTCAGAAAGATCCATCTGCTTCTACCTCCTGAGTCCTGGGATTAAAAGCATGCACTAACAAGCCCACCCCATGTAATTTTCATGTGTCACTACATACTATTTTCTTACTGATTTTTCCCCAACCACTTAAACATGTAAAGGCCATACCCTGAGTCCAAGGGCTACCCCAAATAGGCAGATGCCTGTAACAGACTCTGCCGTGTCCTGACGTACATGGATAAGATTGGCCTGAAGCATCCATTCAGTTCAACCATTCATACCCACGGAAAATGCTTGCCTTATCTAGAACTACAGATATACTTGATGCTCAGGCACGTTATGGTTCAGGAGCCAGAGAACTCCTCCACGGACAGAAGTAAATGTTGGGCCCTTGACAGTGACTCTGACCTATCAGGGGACAGCCACAGATTTTCATCAGTCCTCAAGGGCAGCTGGGAGAGGGGAGTGTGAAATGCGTCAGGCAACCCCATCTCTGTGCCTCTGTTACGTGGGTAAGAGGGTGGTGATAGGCAACTTTACAGGGCCATTGTCCTATCTCCTTCCTGTTTCCGCTGAGTCTGCTGAAGCATACTCCCCTCACTCCAGGAAAGAGTTTGGAACTTCCTTTTTAAACTCAGGAGGAGCCTTAACCTTGCAGGAGCAGATCTTTCCCTGCGTCAAAGAACCCTGCTTGCTCAGGAAATTCTGAGATGCAACTTAACCCCTGTCCTGTCTCTTGAGTAGCTAAACACTTTGATTCATCTGTGGGATCCGTGCTACCTCAGACGATGGCGAGGGTAGCATTTCTCCATCAGCCCCTCTGAGTCCCCGCCTTGACCATGCCTCTGCCCAGAAACTACTGTCATTCACAGGTTTGAAGCTAGCCATACCAAGGCTCCGATTCTAGTGGCTGATTCTACGTACATGCAGTAGAAAGCCTTCTGGGGAGGGAAAAAAAAGGCCATGAAGATGGGCCAAGTAAAGAATGCCAGGTGTGCCTCCTGGGTGGTTTCCTCTGGGAAAGAAATAGAAGGAGGCGGTGGACACTTTGTCCCCCTTTCTTGGCCACAGGGTGCAGGACAACGCAAGTTTGGAGAAACAGAGTGGTTTGCCTAAGGCAATTTCCCTAGCAAATCTCTGTGTGGCTGGAACCATACAGGACCCATGGAGGATGATTCCCCCACAACCAGAAAATTTCTTTGATGCCTACATGGGGCCAGACATGGTGGCTCATGCCTGCAATCTCAGTACTTGGAAGGCTGAGCTTTATAGAAGTTCCAGAAGAACCCAGGCTAAAGTAAGATGTGTCTCAAAAACAAAAACAAAAGCCAAACCAAACCAAAATGAAAAAAAAAAACAAACAAACACAAACAAAACTCCTTTAGGCTTTCAGAGTACAGAGGTCAGCTCAGGGCCCGAATCCGTGGTCATTCAGACATGCACAACCCTCATAGCCGACAAGTTAAACTGAAGCTACAGCCCTGAAGTTGTTCGTCAGTACAAAGCAAAAAAGTCAAATTGAAGTCTTGCATTGCTATATTTATATTCTAAATTCAAGAATCAGAATCTTTGGCAGTAAAAAGCAAACACAAAGTAGAAAAATATGTTTATTCAATATAATCCCACATCTGCATTCTCTATGGGTAGAAAAATTCTCTGGTACAGCCCTTTGGGGACCTTTTTAGCTGAACACTCACACTGGAGATGAATTGGAAGAAGTTGGTAAGTTTGGGTAATTTAAGAATATGTTAAAAAGGAAGGAAGAAAGGAAGAAAGAAAGGAGGAAAGAAAGGAAAGAAGGAAGGAAGGAAGGAAGGAAGAAGAAAGAGAGAAAGAGAGAGAGAGAAAGAAAGAGAGAAAGAAAGAAAGAAAGAAAGAAAGAAAGAAAGAAAGAAAGAAAGAATAATTAGAGTTGGCTTGGAGCAGGAGTCAGGGCTCATGACTATAATCCTAGCCCTGGAAGACTGGTCCAAATTCAAGGCTGACCTGGTTTACATAGCAGATTCCAGGCCAACAAAGGTTACAAATTAAGACTTTGTTTCAAAACAAAACAAGAGAATAATCAGAGTTGGACTGGAGAAATAGTTGGACCACACTCAGGAGGCTGAGACAGGAAGACCGCAAGTTGTTTAGTGAGTTTTGGATTTCCTGAGCTACATAGCAAGATTCTAGGGTTTTGTTGAGGCTGCCCTTTGCTCTAATTAAAAACAACAAACACCCCCCCACACACACACACGCACAAACACTCACAAATCCAGGGGTGATCAGGTCTGACACATTTTCTTTCTCATATAAAACATTTTCTGGAAATATGAATATTAATCCAAAGTCAATCCAAATCCAGCAGAATCACGACTAATCAGCCAAATAGAAGTTTTGTAAGTATGGTCTTGAGGGGATGGTTTCTACAAGATCTAGGTGGTTTTACTTCAAAGTCAGTGCCCACAGCTAGTTCTGTGGGCTTCAGGTGAACGGTGAGTTTGTCCCTGTGGAAGGTGGAGCTGAAAAGGTGAAATAAACTTTTCAGAATAATGATCATCAGAAGGACACGAGTTTTACTCCCTACAATAAAACTCGGTATTGAAAGTGGCAATTGCTCACAGGCTGTTTGGAAAGTATCCTTACAAACCCCAGGAATCCCGGGGCAGATTCCACAGAGACAGGTTTCGCGAGAACCGCTGGGAAGCGAGCGGGCTGGAGATGCCTGTGGACTATTTTAGGGTCCTTATCTAATCGCGCTAACTGTGGCCTCCCTGAGTGGGGCCTCAGCAGGCACCTGCTCAGCACTCTCCTTGGCAGGAGCAGTGGTGTTGCTGCCCTTACCGGAGGAGATGTCTCATTGCAGCATCAAACTGCAGCCACGTCACCTCCCTGCGGAGGAGGAGGGCCTGGGCCACATGAGCCGGGTCCTGGGGACTCTGGAGACTGTCAATCATTTTCTGCAGTTCCTGAAGCTCAGACCCTAGAAAGGGAGAAACACTGGAGTCAGACAGTGTGAAGGACAGGCTGCGATGGGCAACCCATCAGACTCCCCTTTCACCTCCAGAGTAACTTGCCATCCAAACGGACATCCTTTGTTTGTGGATGTGCTAATTATATGTTTCGCAAGATCAGCAGCTCTAGAAACCAAGGTTTGATTTAGTTTCTTCCCTTCCTCTCTTTGGGAGATAGACACCCCCCCCCCCCCCCCACACACACACACGCACACACTTTCCTCCCCAACCCCGTGGTTTAACACAATAAGAATAGGCTGTTGAAAGTTTGAAGTCTGCCAGGCCATGGTCTCAAAATAGAATGAAGAAGAAAGATGTGGGACGGGCAAGTCCTCAGGATACCCACTAGGAACTGAAAGTTACCTTCAGCTAAGACCAAGAGCACTCAAGCTGGGTCTAGGAACCTGGCCTGCCATTGGCTCAAGGTGGGAATTAGATGAAATAGGGGAGCTCAACCAAAACCAACTTAGGGAGCACCACAGGACTGTGGGTTCAGGCCTATCTGAATAACAGCCTATTGGAAAAGGTTTGCCAGCTTCCTCTGATGAGGACAGCTTTCTACCCTGGTGTAGGAGAAGCCATGGAGCGCGGTCACGGTTGGTTCCTCCACTGGCGGCCCAAGACAGGCATCGCTCAAGGGCATGGATGAGATTGCTCTCTCTCTCTCTCTCTCTCTTTCTCTCTCTCTCTCTCTCTTTCTCTCTCTTGCTCTCTCGGCAGCTACTCCAGACCCAAGCAGCCTTCTTTCTACCTGGCAAGTGCTGGGCCTCCTCAGCATTTGCACCTGGGAAAGCAGAGGACTATGGGAATGAACAGGGAAGCTGTCTGTGAGAGCCTGAGCAGGGAGAATGGCTGCCGATACCTGCAACACTTTCCTCTGACTGGGTGCAATTATCACATTTTTAAAATGAGTCCTCTAAACATGATGGTTCTACTGGGGTCCAAAGAAGTTCCCACTGAAAGGGAGCTGGCTGTAGTACAAACTGTAGAACTTTTGGGGTGCACGGCAGGAAGAGAGGTGGCCACTGAACGTCATTTGTTCATGGTGTGTGGTTTTGGTCTACAAGCAATACATCTTCAGGGAAGTGGCAGCCAAGTGACAAATATTTGCAGTGAAATTCACTACACCCTAGGAGTGGAGCACTGTAAGCTGTGAATGTACAAAGTCTTTGGGCACCGACAATCAGGGAATGACAGCCAATAGAAACACTAAGATGCTTGGGTCACAGGGATTTTGCTCATTTCCACATGTCTGTTATCATGTTGTCTGCACGCTTTTGCTCGTGATCCAAACACTTGTGTGCTGCCGAAAATCAACTAAAAATGGACAAAGGCCTGAATCTCAAGCCTGCGGCCCTGAAACTGCTACAGGAAGGAATCCCACATACAGGCACGGGCCGAGCAGGACTCCACCAGCACAGAGAACACTGCCAGAGATGACAAGTGGGATTATACGATATTAGGAACCTGCCCATCAAAGGGAGCCGGCCACAAAGCAAACATTCTACAGAGGGTAGAATGTCTAAAGCTGCACTTCAGACTGGGGTGGGGGTAATGTCTAGAATATATAAACTGTGAAAATTAAATACTGAGAAAACCCATTGCCAATGAATATATCAGTGACTGGTCTGAACGTAGCTCTCAAGAGAAAAACACAACTGGCCAATACATGTTTTTAAAAACAATAGTTGACATCCTTAGCCACTGGGAAATGCAAGTTGAACTACACCAAGAATCCAGCTCACCCTAGTCAGAACAACTAACATGAAGAAAACAAATACAACAAAGTCTGGTGAGCGTTTGGGGAAGAAGAAGCCCTCTTCGCTGCTGGAGGGTGGGAAAGCCACCACACCCATCGTGGTGAGATTTCTCAAGACACTAAAAATAGAACTACCCTTGACCCAGTTGTGCGGCTCCTGGAGATGTACCCAACGAACTCTGCATCCTACTACAGAGACTTGGAAACCACTCTGGTTGATGGCCCGATCAGAAAAGCAGGGATGTGGACTGGCTGTCTGCCCACAGGTGAGCAGATGAGGAAAATGTGGTACATAGACACGATTTTAGTCAGCCATGGAGAAATACAAGATGTGCAAACATAAGTGGATCCAGAAATGGCTACGTTAGCTGAGGTAACCCAGACTCAGAAAGACAAATATTACATGGTTTTTCTCAAATGCAAAGCCTGCGTGTGTGCGTGTGTGCGTGCGTGCGTGCATGTGTGTGTGTGGTGTATGTGTACATATGTGAGTGTGTACAAAGAGGCCTTAAGGGGAGGAAAAATAGGATAATGTGATATCTAAGCGGAAAGGGAACTGCTGCAGATAACAAAACCTAATACTTTTCAGGACACAATTAAAATGTCACCAAACAAAACACAAATAAAGCCAGTGTGCGGCAAATGTGTGCCCACACACCCTTGATGTCAGCACTGGGGCGGCAGCGGCAGGTGGGTCTGTGCGAGTGTAGTTATGTGTGGGAACAGGACTTATTCCAGTGTGGCTGTCCTGTTGGGAAGCACCTCCCCTTTGCCTCCTACTGCCTTCACTCTGCTTCCTTTGTCAGTAAGGACCGCATGCTCGTGGAGAGGAAGTGGCAAATGTGGGCAGGGGAAGCAGCTTGGGACTGCCAGTGGACTGCAAGGTGGACAGAGGACCCGGGGAACATCAGAAAAGGGAAGGAAGTCTGTCTTTTCTCCGGAGGAGCCTTCTGTGTGCTGAGTCTCCCGCCTCTCCCCACTCCCTCCACACTCACACTGGAGGGGGAGAACAGAAAGGGAGAGTGTATTAACTGTGTTTGGGCTCTAACTGGCCTTTTGAACTTTGGCAAGGAGAATTCAGGGTAAACTCCCCGACTCTGCTCCTGTGCTTCACAAGAATGACTGCTTGTCAAGGAAGGGGAGAATTTGTGTCCATAGAAGCCCTCAGTTGGTCAGGATGCCTTTGGTCATGGGGGAGGACCATAAGCTCATATCCAGAGCACCCTTGAAAAAATATTTTAAAGTGTGGATGTCCACGAAAGTAATTTTATCTCCCTTCAATACAGACCAGACTCAATCCCTTCTCTCACCATTATTTTTCTGCCTCCTCTGGGATCTGGGCAGGGAGCTATGCAGCCTAGAAATCTTCTTAGGAAGAAGATTATTGATGTGGAACTCCCCTCTGTGTGCTGTGATTACCATTAATGAATAAAGAAACTGCTTTGGACCTATAGCATGGTAGAACAGAGGTAGGTGGGGAAAACTAAACTGAATGCTGGGAGGAAGAAGGCGAAGTCAGAGAGAAGCCATGGAGCCACCACTGGAGACAGATGTGCTGAAACTTTGCTGGTGGGCCACGACCTCGTGGTGATGCACAGATTAATGGAGATGGGTTAAATTAAGATGTAAGAGTCAGCCAATAAGAAGCTAGAGTTAATGAGCCAAGCTCTGATTTAATTAGTACAGTTTCTGTGTGGTTATTTCAGGAGTCTGGGCAGCCTAGGAACAAACAAGCAGCCTCCCTACTACAAAAAATCTTAGAGGGATTTTTTTCCTTTTTCACTTAATTTTGTTTTTCATCTATTTTCAGCCAGTCACAACATGTAAAACTTTATACATATTCCCTTGAGCACATTTTCCCCCTTTACTTGCAACAAGTGAAGTGTGCAGTCTCTAAATGACACTTTGGAAAACCCAAGCTCCTGTACAGGTTTATGAGCTCCAGGTTTGTGATCCACCAGCAGCAAGGACACACCTTCTTCCGTTCTGAACTCCAGGTCCTCAGAGGTCTCCCCATCTCCATGGACCCTGGGCGGTGCCATGAAAAGCTGATGGCCTGGGCCAGTGTGTTTTTCTCATCTCATTAGGAGGACCCTTCCTGTTTTCCCCACTGATTTGGTTAGGGCAAGCAGTACTCTTGTGCCCAGCTACTGGAGAAGTTCCTGGGCAGTAGCCAACTGGAAATATGGCTCTGGCTGTCTCAGACTCTAGGAACAGGATGGACTTTTTTCATGGCCCACCCTCCTTTCCCCTAACCCTCTGAAACCTAGCACCCACAGTTTTCCAGAACCTTCCCCCAAAGTATGTGGCTTAGCATGTTCTAAACAAACCCCAACAGACCCTATATTAGTGAGGTCACTTTGATGCACTTGTGTTGTATGTCTCCAAGACTTGCTTGTGTCCAAATGAGACCAGTAACCCGAGACAGTTCCAAGCTTCTTGCTGGGGCAGTACCAGCAACGACTTTCTCCCCATTTCTTCATCTCAGTCACACAGTCAGTATCCTCCTACATCAGCAGGATGCCCTTCCCTGTGCCCTGAACCAGAACACCCAGATCTCCTCTGTGTGTGTTAGCATGGTGCAACTTAATTTGTATGAGACAAATTACTAAAATAAAATCACTCTCTACTTCCATAAGTCCTATTATAATAAGATTCTGTTGTTGAGACTGGAGAGGTGGCTCGGCAGTTAAGAACTTTTACTGCTCTTCTAGAGGACCTGAGCTCAGTTCCTAGCACCCATGTTGCACAGCTCAAGATGACTACCTGTAATTCCAGTCCTGGGGGACCTGACACCCTCTTCTGGATTCCAAGGGTTCCATACATGTGTCATCCCACACCACCCCAACACACACACACACACACACAGAGCGAGGTGTGAAGTGAGATGTGTGTGTTAGCATGTCAACAAAGGTGTGAATGTCTGATGCAAGAAGCCCGGGCCAGAGACTAGCCTTGGGTATTGATGGAGGAAGGTCATTGGTTGAATAAAGAAACTGCCTTGGCCCTGATAGGACAGAAAATTAGGTAGGCAGAGTAAACAGAACAGAATGCTGGGAGGAAGAGGAAGTGAGCTCAGACTCGATAGCTCTCATCTCTGGGGCAGATACGATGAAGCTCCAACCCAGGATGGATGTAGGCTAGAATCTTCCCGGTAAGCGCACCTTGGGGTGCTACACACATTAATAGAAATGGGTAATCAAGATGTAAGAATTAGCCAGTAAGAAGCTAGAGCTAATGGGCCAGGCAATGTTTAAATAAATACAATTTGTGTGTTGTTATTTCGGGGCATAAGCTAGCCAGGCGGCCGGGAAGAGGCCCGCAGCTCCTACTACAGGGTGTTGTTACTCTGGTGCCATTTCCCTTATTTTTCAAACAGGGTTTCTCATTGCAAAATTCTCCAATTAGTTTGGATAGGATGGCCAAGGAGCCCCAGAGACCCACTTGTCTGTGCCTCTCAGTATCTCAGAGCACAAGTTTTTTTTTTAAAATGTGGTCTTAAGCCTTCATGGGTAAAGGGCCGGCACTTCGCTGCTAGCCCCGTCTCTCTGGCCTCTACTGCATAGTATCTTCTCACTACTAGATGTTAGGATACCATCTGATAACCTCACGCCCCTTCACTGGTTAGAATAGAAATAAAAGCCTCCCTCATTCTGACCACAGTCTGGAGGTTCTGAGCTATCAGGACTCTCAGCATCTGCACAGTGATTGCTTGGGTTGGAACTTGTCATGTAAGTCACAAGGAAGAGGAAGGAAAGGGAATGAAAACTAATCTTTAGAGTGGCTTTAACTTAAGTAGCCGCACATAGATTTCAACCCAGAGGATATCTCTATGAGACATTACCCCATCTTATAGACAAGCAAACAGATGCGGGGAGTAATTAGCGACTCACATCCGGTGGCAGAGGCAGGGACCAAGCTGGGTCTCTGGACTCCTGATTCAGTATACTTTCCCATGAGCCTTTGAGTGTGAAGCTGATCAGGAGAAAGTACACCTGGAGACAGTACACCTGGAGACAGTACGCAACAGGACTTTCCTTCCTATTGCCGTCGTGAAGAGATACAATCCCGGGTTTCCAACATTAACTGCTTCTTAGAATTGACACGGAACAGGTCTGGCAATTCTAATAATGACTGTTAGTTACTTACCAATGCCCTCGGCTCCTCCCCAGTCACTCTTCAAAGGGTGAGGGCTTAGAGGAAAGTCAAAGCCCGTTGGGCAATTGCCAAGCTTGACAAAACTGAAAAGGTAGGCCACAATGTCGTGGAGAGAAGCCACAAGCTGGAGAGTCAGTTTTAGGGCTCTAAAGGCTGCCTGTGGGTAGGAGCAACATAAGAATACCGTTTCAGGAACTTGCTAAGAGGCCTACGCAACTGGTCCCTCTCAATATCTACAGGGCTTGGCCTAGGGATGAGGCAGTACCATCGCGTGTGTGTAGGCACTCAAGTGCCTAATGAGACAGGACAGTGTGTCTGCTTTACCTACGTAGGGCCTCCTGTGAACTTTTAATCATTTTAAATTACTTACAATATCTATATCTGAACATTACAATTCTTTGAGCAGTGATTGATTGAAGCAGAAACTGTGGTCTCCACCACGGGTCATGCTTAAGCAAACATTTTCACGGTGCACCCAGGATAATAAGTGAGAAAAAGGAAACAATACACCGATTCAAAGACAATGCTGCTCTTAGACAAAGGCTCCACTGTGGGGGTTAAGGCACCGTGTTTCTGTTTAAAGTCATCGCGGCTGGCCTTGAACACAGCAGTGTGCTCACTGATTACCAGGGCATCACCAGGGTCTCGGCAGGGACTCTCATGCAGGCAGTATTATTCTGAGCATCTATAACCAAGGCATGGGCATTTATAGTCTTAAAGAAAATCTGGACTACTCCCCAAAGGTCAGATTCAGCAGGACAACTCAGCACCCATTTTCATACCAATATTATTATAAGGGTTCCCAGCGTTATTCTCAATCATCCAGTTGGAGAGAGAACCCTTAAATACTGCAGCCCGTTAGATGTGGTAGCACACACCTGTAATCCAGCCCTCGGAAGGGACAGCAGCAGGGTTGACACAGGTTCCAGGCCAGCCTGGCCTAGACAGTGAATTCCAGCCCAGTCAGGGCTTTCTGGTGTGATTCCCAAAGAACAATCAAAATAAAACAACACCCCAGTAGGCAGCTGGACACGGTGCCACACCCTTATCATCCTTCCCCTCCTGGGAAGCTGAAGCAGGGACTCCCATGTTCGAGGTCAGCCCAGGTAAGTTGTGAGACTGTTTCAAGAATAAACAAAACACAGTCCAAGGGGCTGCCATCCTCTGGTTGCTTCAGGACGACAAAAGTGGCGTTTTGTTGAAGGGCTGGGAGGAAACTGGGAATGGATGAGGGATACCAGAAGTCCAAATTACTGTTCATCAATGAACTATTAAGTCTCAAAAGCAAGAGAAAGTGTAACAAGCAGACAAAAGTAGCAGGAGCTGGGGAAAATCTTGGTGCTCAGATACCACGGGAAAAAATTACTCTCTCAATGCGATCAACACTGGGACCTGAAAAGTGACCATTTCCACTCTGGCGCACACCCACCCTAACACTCCACAAACCTCTTCCGGCAGAGTTTTGAACATAAGGAGCACTTCAGAAGGGTGGGGAATAAACCATAAGTTGAGGAAGACTCTTCCGTCAGCTGACAGCAAGCTTCGAGGCCGAGGCTGGAAACCCCTGCAATGGGAGAAAAGAAGGCCCATAGCCCAACCGAGACCCTACCAAGCCAGAGGCTGTCCTGTGCGAGGGGTCACTGCAGGCCCAGTGCCCAAGCCCAGGGAGCAGCCTCCTGCTCCCAGGTGGCCAGAATGACTTATAAATATCGTATAAATAACTCATCAGGAGAAAGAGCCGAGGGGGCTGATTTTAGCACAGGCTGCGTGGGAGGAAGGAAGTCGTGGGTATGGAGGGAGGGAACCTGGGCTAAGAAAGGAAAGAAATTAGATGGCCGGCCTCATGCTGGGTGCTACATATTTTATGTCACTTAATGTCTTGACGGTCTATTTTTGTCCCTGTTTCACAGCTGAGGAAATTGAGGCTTTGAGGGATGGTGTGGACCCTGCCTACCAGCTCCTGAGGCTCCGCTGGCACTTCTGTACACATCTGCCTAGCTCTAGAGTCCTCTTAGATGCCAGGCAGCACTGTTTTCCTTCCCTGCCCACCGTGCTTCCGTTAGATAAAGCAACAGTGACAGAAATGCAGCGGTCGGGCTGGGAAAAGGACAGAATTCTCTTCAGAAGATGTTGGTTATCAGAAGGAACGGCTTTGGGAACACTGCATGGCCTAGGGGTGGACGGTCAAGTCAGATGTGATGGGGGTGGGGAAGATGGGGAAGGAATGGTAACCCTCTAAAACTTCACTAACAGTGAGAAAGAGAGAGAGAGAGAGAGAGAGAGAGAGAGAGAGACAGAGAGAGAGAGAGAGAGAGAGAGAGAGAGAGAGCGCAGAATTGGGGTGTGAGTGTGGAGGTGTGACCTGGTCACTTCAGGCTGTGGGATCTGGCTTGTTGAGTGAACACCGTTACTTTGAAAGACAGGCTGGTATTCTAATAGTTTCCTGCCAGAGTCCCAGGCCACACTGTTTTCCCTAGGCCTTCTGTTTTTCTCCCCCCAAATATCAACACCGCATCACTTTTAGGCGGTCTCCTTGTTGCAGGCTTATAGACGGAAGTCTATCTGTAAATGTGTGGGTTAAGGATGCACAGAAGCCCGGGTACCAGGATTAACAGAATGTCACCCACACCCTTGAAGCCTGATGTGATCCTCCCAGAGTAGCCTTCTTGAGTTTTACATTAATCAATACCTTTGTATTATTATTAATTAAATTTATCCATTTATTGAATATCCCAACCACAGTTTCCCCTTCCTCCTCTCCTCCCATTCCCTACCCTCACTTGTCCTTACCCCTCCCCACCCACTCTTCCTCTGTTTCTGTTCAGAAAGGGCAGATCTCCCATGGGTGTCGATGAAGCATAGCATATCAAGCTGAGATAGGACTGATCTCCCCTCGTATTAAGGCTAAATAAAGCAACCTAGTATGAAGAATAGGTTCCTGAAAGCCAGCCAAAGCATTAGGGACAGGCCTGCCCCTACCAGTAGGAGACCCATGAGCAGATCAAACTACACAATGGTCACACAGATGTAGAAGGCCTAGGTCGGTCCCATGCAGGCTCCCTAGATGTTGGTCCGAGCCAGGGTGGTTAAGGTCATCACAAGGGAACACACAGAAACAACTAACCTGGGCTCATAGGAGCTCACAGATTCTGGGCCTTTACATATTTTTAAAGATGTATTTTATTTTGTGCATGTGAGTGTTTTGCCTGAATGTGCATATGTGTACCACATGCTTGCCTGATCCCCATAGAGGCCAGAAGAGAGCATCCAATCCCCTGGAAGTGGAGTTATGTATGGTTGTGAGTCGCTATGTAGGTGCTAGGAATCGAACCTATGCCCTCTGCAAGAGCAACAGATGCTCTTAACCAGTAAGACGGCTCTATTTCTCTAACCAACGCCTTTTGAGATGGCTCAGGAGGCAAAGCACTGGCTTCTCATGCCTGATGACCCAAGCTCCATCCCTAGAATCCACAGGGGGAAAAAAAAAAAACCGACAGATTCCTGGCTTGCGTCTGTAATCCCAGCATCCGCCAGTGTGACCAGAAGCAGAAACAGAATTGTCAAGCTGGTGGGCCAGCTAGCCTGGAGTCCACAGTGTGGCAGAAATAAGAGAGATCTGCCTCAACGTGGTTGAAGGAAAGAGCAACCCAGAAAGTTTTCCTCTGACTTGCACATGTGTGTCATAGCACGTCATCGCTGCTCTAACACACGCGTCACACAGAATAATCACAAACTGGAAAAAAAAGAAAGGCACTGCCATCTGAGTGGGGGACCCCGTGACATCACCTGAGCTAGGGGACTCCGGGTGACATCCTAGGTCCCTCTTTCTTCCTTGGTTCCACATTAAATCTGGCACCTAGTCTCACTGACTTCACCCCTTAAGTGATGTCACTGACAGCCACGCTGATCCCTTCGGGCTCCCGGAAAGACAGGTATGAGTTCCCTGGGCCTTACTCGTCCCTCCACGTTGCCGCTGCACTCTCTGACACCCTGGGCACAGGCAGAAGTCAGCCAGTCTGCCGCCTTCTATTTCGGTGACTGCAAATTCCCATCCCCCAGCTTCAACTGGATTTCCCGTCTCTGCCTGTCTAGAATATTAGTTGTCTAAGCATGGTCTCCCTGAGGTCTTCCCAGTGCCCACCCTCATTTCCCAACCTTCCTGTTGCTGTGGTAAGACACCAAAGCCAAGGTAACTAAAGAAGAAAGTTTGTTTTGGCTTTTGGTTCCTGAAGTTGAGAGTCCATCAAGGTAGGGAGGTATAGCAGCAGGCCACAGGCAGGGCTGCAGGGGCAGGAAGCTGAGAGCCCATACCCTCAACCCAACGCATGAAGCTGAGACAGCAAGCAAGTAGAGTAGGGTGAGGCTGTACAGTCTCAACACCCATCCCCAGGGACTCCCTACAGTAAGGCTTCCCCACCTACGCCTCTACAAACACTCCTACCAATGGGAAAGTTGTTCAATCCCAGAGTCCATCGGGGCGTTTGGCATTCAAAACACCACAGACACAGTGAGCATTTCTTTTCCTTTATAAAATTTATGTGTACGGATGTTTTGCCTACATGTGTGTGTGTGCAGCACCTGCATACCTGGCCCTAGGAGGCCAGAAGAGGATGGCAGATCCTTTGGAACTGGAGTTTCGGGTGGTTGTTAGGTCCTCTGAGGAGCTGCAAGTGTTCCTGACTGCTGATCCATCTCTCCAGCTCAAATACTGAGCATTTTTGACTAGAATGTTCATTAGACATTTATTTTATCTTGCTCCCTGTCACGGCGTACTGGTATGACCTGTCTATTCCTCCTTCCCAGGTGAGTACCTTGTCAGTTTCATCGTGTACTGCAGCTGGTGCCAAGACTGCTGGATAGCCACTTCCAGGCTGAGTTCTCAGGCAAGTTGATAGGGGCTAGCCTGTGCTTATCTTACCAGGCCCTGTGTTCCACCATTGGCCAAACCCACGCAGAAGGGATACCGTCTTGTGATTTTCACAAAGTGGTTGTATGGAATGACAGCTACTCTCCTTGTCACACAGTGAGTAACCAACTCTCACTGCCTCCCCCCCCCCCCTGCTCTGTTTACTGTCTTTGCTCCACCTCAGAGGGCAGGAGCGACATCCTGGTCTTCATACTCCAGCCTCCCCTGGTTTCGCGAAGGGAACAGACATCCCAAGGGACCTTGTGGGATGAGGGCTCCCTTGGTAGCTTCTCTGACAAAGACTTGGCTTTGGGTGGCGGCAGGGAGAGGGTCTGCTAAACTACCGGACATTAGAGCCTTTAAATGATGAAGCTGCATCTTGGCATTTTAAACTCACACAACTCATGGGACTCTTGATTGTGGCAGACATTGCCAATCAATCACCACACTCTCATAAACAAAACATCTCCGAATCCTCAGTAGGGACACTAATAAATTGTTGGAACTGACATTCAAAATAAAGGTTATGCCTTCTCTTCAATGTAGCCCAGGCTCTTGTTTTATGACTGAAACGAGGATCCCTTTCTTCTGTCCCTCCTCCTCCTTGCTACCCACTCTTCTCTAGTTATCTTTGCCTGGGCTGGCCCCATCTAACTTTTCCCAAGCAGTCACGGGGATGGCCTCTTCCTTGGCAACCCCACTTCTTGTGGACTCACTCTAGGGAACTAAGCCCTGAGAGCAGAGTGTGTTTGACCTCAGAGAACTGCTTCAGTGTTCCCAGTCCTGAGAAGAGACTGAAGTCCAGAGATTGAAGGCAGAGATTTTCCCAAGACCCCAGGGCAACACATGACTGCCTGGGTAATTCCCAGGCTAGGATCCCTGCTGCACCTTTGTTTGACTGAACGCTGTGCCTTGGATTGGAGTTTAAGGATGTTCCCCTTGAAAAGGGTTCTTAATGGACTCTTTTCATTATGACTAGTCTGGAGGGGGTGTATTGGAGCACGGTGGTCTTTTTAACAGTAAATCCTATGGGCCTGGTCATAGATCAGTTGGTGGTGTGCCCTTGGAAGGGACTGTTGGCTTCCAGTGTCTCTCTGTCTTCCTGACTTTTAAAATTATTTTTCAGAGGTGGGGTTATGTTGAGATAGCATCTTGTAGCCCAGTCTGGTGTTAAATTTTCTGTGTAGCCAAGGTTGACCTTGAACTCCTGATCCCCCTGCCTCCACCTTCCAGGCCCATCACCAAGCCTAGCTATGCTTTCCTGATATTTAACATGATTTCTTTCTTCTACACTCATTTCCACGATGATGAAACTGAGAAAATGTCTTTTCCAGAATCAGCTGATGCTGGCGTTCTGCCCATAGACTTCCAAAGCTGAGCTAAAATAGACCGTCTCATTAAAATATAAGGTTAACTTGCTCCTGACGCTACTGCCCTGTGTCTACAGTTCACAGAACCATAGTCCTTCATAGTCTTAGGAAGCACTTTCCCCAAACTCCAACATAAGACAGAAGTTCTTCTACATTCGTACAAATGAGAGTATTAAAAGACATATCAGGGGCTGGAGTAGGATTCAGTGGCTGAGAGGGCTTGCCGCTCTTTTGGAAGGTCTGGGTTTAGTTCCCAGGACCCACATCGTGGCTCACAAGTACCCGGACTCCTGTTTCAGGGGAATCATCCCCCCTTCTGATCTCTGTGGGTGCCTGCAATCATGAGGTGTCACTCATGAGATGTGCTTACATACATGCAGGCACACACATATATACATAAAATAAAAATAAAGATCATTTAAAAGAGTAAGGCATTCATACTACAGGGCATAGGAAGCAGGAGAGGAGGGCTGTGGAGAAACAGCCAAGCTGCACCGGGCACTGCCTGGGCGGTCCTCACTTTGATCACTTTCTAGTTCAAGACTCTGTCCTGAAGTCATCACACTTAACTGAGCATCTCCTTGGCATTAGGCTCTCAATTTAGAAGCCACATCCCTTGTTCTTTAGGGAAGCCATCATCCAGGAGACACCTGTGCTGGTTTTGATGTCTGCATAACTAAGACAACACCAAAGAGAACAGAGCAAGGCCACAGCCACACAGGTCCCCCCCCCCTCTTCACACCTTCGCCTTCGCATTGCTTACTGCACATTAAACACATCAAAAACTGGCTGCACTATACATTTCACCCTAAATAAAAATATAGTGAATTCACAAATAGGCTTCTGGAAAGAATTTTAAAAGTTCGATGCCAAGCGTAGATTGCCTAGTGGGTAGAAAATCGGTTGAACAAAGAGGCCTTAAAGGATTGGTCTGGGCTGCTTCTCACGAGAAATAAATGTATTGGAACCCCTCTGAGCTGCAGATGTCCCGCAAACCCTTCCACAAAAGAGTTCTACAGAGGTATCTTCACCCATCTCCTCTCTGAAATGCGTCCTTCTAAGTCCTGAAGTCTACTCCAGGAAAGCGCTGGCTGCCTTGAAAACTAAGAACTCTGGTTTTACCCAAGACCAGAGCACCTTGTAAACACCAAGGCAAGATGGGCCCCGTCAGCCAGTCAAGGGATGAAGGACCTCAACTCCTTCATTCTTGGGCCTTCACTGCCTATTCCATTTCCTTGGTGAACTCCACTTTCCCATTACTTGTTTTTATTCCTCTCTGCAGTCCTGGGGTAGAGCTAAATATCCCTCTGTTGGGGTCTCGCCACGTGGCTGTGGCTTACCAGCAAGGTTCCAGGCTGTGGTTTACCGGCAAGGTTCCGGTGGGCTCCAGCAGAGGCTCTGTCTCCTAAGGGCAGCTATATGACTTCTCCCTGACTCCTTCTACTCTCTCTCTATCTCTTTCAGTCTGGCTTTACTCTGTTAAGGCACTGGCCAAAAGCAGCTTCTTTATTAACTAATGGCATTAAAACATATTCACAGCATACATCACCTTCCACATCACCCCTCCTCTGTACCTTCGTGATCTTTGAGAACTAACTCTAACACGTTGTCTCAGGGCTTAGACGATCATTGAGCTTTCCTCTGGAGACAATGAACTGTTCACCTTTGTATGCCTAGCATGGTACAAACTGCCTGGGACTAAACAAGGCCTGGCCAAATGATGGCTGCTGTGCATACATGTAAGGGGACATGACAGCCAGCCCTACGCTGGTGACACTGTGTTATTGCCTGTCCAGAAATAAACTGCTCTATCCCAGTCAGCAGAGCACTCAAACCTGAGCAATAACTTAAACGGTTCTCCTGTGGTGGCTAAAGCAACTTAATATGGAGCCAGGCATCCCTCAAGAGCTGTTGACCTTTAGCTCTGGAATGCCTGGGGGATCCTAGTGGCCTGCAGGTGAGATAAGAATAGGATAATGGGCTGGGAGGCAGGGACAGCTGCCTTTGCATCTGTAAAATCTGCTTATGGCTATGGGAAAGGGATGAAATGGTCTTTCTTTTTTCTTCTTCTATATATGGGGAAAGAAGGAAACAACTGAGGGAAATAAAATGCTTCTGCCCAGCTGTGGATTGCATAGATCGCTGTAATATACACTTTCCTGATGTCCCCCTTAAAAGCCCTCTTTAACCCCCTTCCACACAGCATGCTGCTGGGATCTAAGGTTGCCACCCTCCTGATAGCAATAAGAATAAACTCATTAATATAGATTTGAGTCTAAGTCTTTGTTCTTTCCCAGTGAATTCGAACGCCACAACACATGCACGGATGAACGAATGGATGCGTGGTCTGAAACATGGCATTTTCCAAAGCCTTTCAACTCTCTCTCTGTGGTCATATTTTCAATATTATTGCTGCTCAAACTCCATACTACACAGGAAATGAGTAAGGGGTGAGGCAAGCCCCTTGGACACTGTGTAACCTCTTCTCCATAATCAAGGCAGTGTGGGCAGTGACCGCACAGTACACCGGCACCTCCATCCGGGAGGGTCCTGCGTAGACTGGGTTAAGAACACTTGGAAATCTACACAGCATGGAAGCAGGTCTTGTCTTTTCAGCCTCTCTCAGCCACAGTGCTGGGTAATAATAATTTTCTTCAAATATTCCTTCTCCACTGAGTGGACTGCTGGAAGCCAGGACAGCTAAAAGCCAAGCTCCCCTGTTTGCGTAATTGTTTTAGACATTAGCTTGTGGAAAGGGGCTGTGACTGGTGAGAATCTCTGGCCTTTCCAAGAGAATACAAAACCTCATTGACTAAAAACCGCAGTCACACACACCATAAACAAAGGACGCCTTCAGAGACAAAGAGGCTCTCATTCTTGGAGCGCTGATGTTTTCTTCTGACTGTTCAAACCAGAAAGTCAAAATCAAGGGCAGTAAAGCCAGAAGGTCAGCTTTGAGCTACTATAACAAGTACCTAAAACAATCTACACATAACGAGAAAATGTTTATGTGCTGTTTGGGATTGATGTTTTAGCTGAGGCCCTGTGTTGTGGTCATAGCACTCAGGGGAACAATGTTGCTCACTTTGTGGCTGAAAAGTGGAGGAGGGAAAAGGGAGGAGAAAGGGATGGTGATGAAGAAGCATCCAGCACCACCAGATCCCCTTCAAGGACACACCTACAAAGACCTAAATGTCTCCCTCCAGATTCCCACCTCTGAGAAGCTCCACTGTTTCCTAATAGTGAGCATCTCTACCTAGCAACTCTTGATCCCTGGATCTTGGGGGACACTGTAGCACTAAGAGTTTCTGTACCTAATGCTCTCTTGGGAGAGGGTGGGCCTAGGTAGGAGAACAACAAGCTTTAACAGCCTGGCATACCTGGGATCAGCCTTGAATTCCCCACTGGAGTCCTTCAAGCTCTTCTTCTCATTGGGTTGTCCCACCATGAAGAAAGTGTCCCTGATGGTAGGAAAGTCGTCCAACAGAACTCTCAGGCTATTGCAGTATGCCATGATCTGACCCCGAAGGGCATAGTGAGACATGCGGTGGCTCAACCTGGAGGCCAGAGGGAGAGACGGTGTCCTGAAGAAGAATCCTCCAGAAGCTACTTCTCTGTTGAGAAGACATTGCCACCTGGGTAAGGTTGGCACTGTCTGGAGGCGGAAACACGAACCTCTTCAAAGTACCCCCTTCCTTACTTCTGATGCCCCCCGCGTGTGAGTCTCTCTTAGTTCTATCCAAGCAGTATGGCCGTGGTTTATTTACAAACTATGGTCTGGGTTTCTAGATAACACTGCTGCTGGCAAGGGTACCAGTCAGAGAAACCAGAATCTATATATTATTCATATAGACTCTACTTACTTTTGGCAATATTCAACTATTAGTTCTCTCTTGACTTTTTCGATGTCATCCTGTCAATAAAAGAAAAAATATAAAGATACATATCTACCTACCTACCTACCTACCTACCTACATACATACAGTAAACCAGCACTCAAATGATTGCATGATCAAGTTCAAATGGCAATGCTCAATAGCCATGAAGCTGAGGCTTTCTTTCTGAGGGTAAATGCGTTGGGAGACTTGCGTGGGTCTCTTCTATCTGCTCCCATCTTGCTGAACATTCCAACAATGCGAGACCCTCGACACTTTCTATCTGAGCCATTTCTCAGGGTTGTGTTTGCCGAGAGCAACCCTCAGGTCCGAGGTAGGGTCCCTCTCTAGGAAAAAGGACGGTTTGCTATTAGAGAGGTGCCCCACCCAGCTTTGTGGTTTTGGACAGAAACCCACTGGGTGCTTGGTGGCTCCTCCACTCTGTCTCTGTGGGACTTGGGTAAGGGGCGTTGACACAACATGACCCTCATGTGCCTGCTCTGCTGTGAGGTGTCAGTGCTGTCTGTGACCACAGCTGCACACTTCAGCCAGCATCCATGGGATGGTGAGAGACCAACTTGTTCACTTGTCAGAAGGCCAAAATCCTGCAGCCAGCAAACCCGCTCTAATATCGCCTGAGTTCTTTCTGGTTTGGTAGGCACTGGGTAACCCTGGAGCTCTGTCACAGTCAATATTTTATGAGAATTGTTTATTTGGGGCAGAAAGGCATCAGTTGTCCCCAAAATAAACAAGTCTTAAAAAAATAGTGGATGCCTTTGCTTCTGCTGTCACCCATCAGTACAGGAAACGTCTGCCAGCCCCTTCATTTCATCTGTATGCCTGCGTTAAGCTAAGCCTTCCCTTACCTGTCATGGGGAGGGACAAAGCCTTTCTCTTCCATTTTGTTTCCTTCCAGATGACTGTGTACTATCAAAAACTTAATGAATAATAAAACACTATTAACAAAATAGGGAGTTTAAATGATTAAAGGTTTGAGTTTTGTAATACTTTCTAAATGATCTGACTAATATTTGAAAAAACTTAAATAGGAACACATCAGTAGCTTCTCATAAACAAAGGTGACAGGTGAGCACCTGCCTACCTTGCCCAAGTCACCTACCCCTGCAGGTCACTCAAAAGTAGCAAAAGTTCCAGAACAGGTACTCGATCAGACTAGTCCCTTTAGAAAGAAATTAGACCAAAACGTGGCTTTGGGAAAACGTGCATTCCTTAAAACATGATTGTGGGCTGTGTGAGATCTTGTCCTGACTGGGTTCCATGGGCAGTTTGTGTTCGATAGCTTTATCCACATGGTTTAACCTAACAGATGCCAAATTCAGAATGTTTATTTGCTCATATATATATGTGTGTGTATATGTTGTACACACACACACACACACACACACACACAATCAGCGAGAGCTCCAGCAAGCCCTCCTCCTCTCACACTCACAGGGCTCTCCATCCGGTCAGCCGTCGTCTGTTTTCTGCACAGGAAGGTGTTCAGCATGGTGTCCCGCAAACCCACCTTTTCTAGCTGAATAGACACGAAGGCCTCTGGAGCCCTGACAAATGAGGAAAGAGAGCCGAGCTGAGGGAGGCGGCCGGCAGGCACGTGGCTCTCATAACTCATGTGTTGGGCACTGCGGCAGGAAGACAGGCTGTTCACTCCCACAGCTGCCACCTTCTTGAGTGTTTTTGAGGACTCACCTGCCATTGTGCTCTCTCTGAAGACGCCACTGTGCCTGAAGCCTGCGTCAGTGGTCCCTCTCCAGACATCATAGCCTGGGCAGAGTGCCCTCTTGATGGTGGCCATTGAGATACCGGAACGGAAGAGTCCTCTCAACCAGACACTGATCTTAAACCTTCCACCCACCCTGGGATTGTGCTCTGAAGACACTTGACCTCTGGCCGTGCGTCCCATTAGCAGAAACTCTAATAAAAGTTGTTTTGCCTGCCATCACTTTTCATTCCCCGTTTGCCCATTAAATTAGAGTGCCCTTGGTACCCAACTAAACAGCCAGAGTGGCCATGATTATTAGAGACTATGTCCATGGCCTTCTCCATCATGATGGGGAGAGATCAAGGCAGAGTAGAGTGTCCTTAGTGGTAGACATACCTATGTGGACACCATGATTCTCAGAACTCACCCTCCCGTTTTTTTTTTTGTTTGTTTTTTTTTTATTTGAACAACAGTAAAACCTTTGTTAGAATAGTGAATGCAGTTCTGTGGTTTCAGTCTTACGTGGTTGCAGAAGTCTGGAGAAGCCTGTTTACCACCCTGTTTGTGAAGGAGAGTATGAGAAAGTCTACAGAGAAATAGGGAGGAGGGAGCGAAGGGAAGAGACATTGAAGAGAGGAGAAGAAAGAGGAAGAGAGCAGGAGAGGGCTAAAATCAGGATGAGCTGACCCTCCGTCGTAGACTGGACTGTATCTGAAGGAGTGTTCATACAGCATTTTCACATGAGATCTTACAAGCACACAGCTCACACAAGTCACTCTATCCTCCCACTAGATGCAGTACCTTTTGGTAGTCTTAAATCCTTCTGAAGAATGAGTAAGGGTGTCCGGAGCTTTTGGAGTTGGGGCTAGTAGCATACACTCTATGCCGCTGGCAGTCCTGGATTCCCTTCTGGTTGGACTTCTTCTGCCATGATGCCTCATAGCCAAACTTGCTCCCTAAACAGTTTGAAACCCAGGTGAGTTCAGTGTGTCCGATACAGAGGCCCTGGAGGGGACTACAGCAACTCCACAGGTCTGTGATGGCAGGAGAAGACTGGAAACACGAGAGGGAAGTGGGAGGGGAGGGGAAGGAGGGAAGGCCGCATCAGTTTGCACCCTAAAGGGGTAAGGTACAAAACAGGGCTCTTTCCAGAACGTGAGACTATGTAAATTCTCAGAAAACTTCTTCACCCAACGAAGGAGTTGCGTGGAATTCTGTGTGTAAACTGGCCTCTAAAGAACTGCTTACGGGGGGGCTGGAGAGATGGCTCAGTGGTTAAGAGCACTGCCTGCTCTTCCAAAGGTCCTGAGTTCAATTCCCAGCAACCACATGGTGGCTCACAACCATCTGTAATGAGGTCTGGTGTCCTCTTCTGGCCTGCAGACATACACACAGACAGAATATTGTATACATAATAAATAAATAAATATTTATAAAAAAATGATTAAAAAAATTGAAAAATCTCATCAACCCTTCTGGATCTCTTAATTTAAAAAAAAAAAAAAGAACTGCTTACGGACCACATGGATCTGTAAGATGGATTACACAGATCTGCTAATGGATCCCACTGTTATAAGAACTGGAAAATTCCCTCAGGAATATCTGGGTTAGATACGTCTCCTTTGGCACTGATAGTGAAGGGAAATGGGAATGGGGAAGAACAGGAGAGCACCGACAGAGTGCTGGGGAGGAAAAATGGAAAATCACTATCTTCTACTATTCCAGCACAATGCATTATGGGGAATGCTGGGTAGAAGTCTTTTATGTTTAATTAACTACTAACTGAAAGGTTAAATCTTTCAAAAAAAGGTCATTCTTCAATGACATAACCAAGGAGTTATGTCATATTGAAATTATGACAGGAGGGTGAGGCCAAAGGGAAGAAAAATTCAGAGATGAAAAAAATCTAAAGCTTCCAACTTCATTTTCCTCCCTGGACACCCCTGGGGCATCCTGGTGTCCAGGAAATGGAAGTCTACCGGTTCAGAAGAGGGGTCCTCTTGCCAGGCCATGACACAGTGGGCAGAAAGAGAACACAAGTTCTGAGTTCCACAGGGGGGGGGGCGGATGCTCACCTTCAGGTCTTTTCTATTTCCTTAGTCTAGCTAGAACCTGGTTTCTTTACCCTGGACAAAGCCAGCTCATGGTGGGGTGGCGGGGGTGGGGTGGGGGGATTCCTTTAGCCTGTGTTTCCATGATATGGCTTCCCGCCACCTGGGACCTCAGAAGCTGCTGAATCCAGCGCCCACGACCTCATCCGTCTTCTGGACCTGCGGCTGTGACCGTGCCCAACGTTTATTTCTATGCCCAACTACTTCCACTTATCAGTCCTCGCAAAGAGTCCACATGGCTTTTCACCCCTTCATCCTCCGATACTCTTAAATTGCTTCCTCGGGTCTAATCTAATTGTTGTTGTTGGTTGTATGAGACAGCCTCAGGTAGCTCCTGCCTTCTTGACTTTGGTCCTGTGGCTTTTTCTCTAGTGAACAGAACTCCCGGGTCAGCAGGGAGACTGTGAACATCAAACATCTTCATTTCTAACCTGTACCCATCTAATTTGCCCCCCCCTGCATTTAGAGCTATAAAATTTGGCTCTCTTTTTTTCAAAACAGTAATTTTCCTTATTGAGGAATAGTTGACATATTATAAAGACAACTTTAAAGTATATGGTTAGGAAAGTTCTGACACATTTTTTTATGTACTCAACTATGACACCATTGCCACCATTTTAACTTACAACCCGCACACCCATTCTTCTCTCCATACTCCCCTTTCTCCACTACTCCTCTGTTTTTGGCAATTCTAGGCTAGAATGGATTGCCTAGAATTTTACATACATTCCTGCAGAATGTGGTCCTTTTTTCTAGCTTCATCCATATTGCTGTAGTGTCAATATTTATGTCTTTGTGCTGCTGTGTACTGTACCATTATATGTGATGTGGGATGTCTCTCCGTATGCTGTAAATATGCTTTATTACTATTGGTTAATAAAGAAGCTGATTTGCCAATAGCTAGGTAGAAAAGAGCCGGACAGGAAATCCAAACAGAGATATAGGGAAAAAAAGGGTGGAGTCAGGGAGATGCCAGCAGCTGCCAGGGAAGCAAGATGATGTGAGGTAACAAGTCATGAGCTCTGTGGTAAATATCGAATAATAAAAATGAGTAAGTTTAAGTTGTAAGAGCTAGTTAATAATAAGCCTGAGCTAATAGGCCAAAGAGTTTGTAATTAATATTAAGCCTCAGAGTGGTTGTTCAGGAGCTGTCAGGCAGGAGAGAAACCTCCAGTTACATATTGACATGCCCAAATATGTTTATGTGATTCATTCCTGTTCTTGAATACAACTGTTATGGACATTCACATACAGATTTTGGTACGGCCATGGGCTTTCATTTCTCTTGATTAAATACCTAGGTGTTGAGTGTACTTGTTTAACCTTTTAAGAAATTGCTAAATTATTTTTCCAGGTGGTTTGACCATTTTACACCTAATCAGCAGCATACAAAGGTTTCAGATCACTGACCTGCTCACCACACAGAGGTGGTCAGTCTTTTACATTTTAACCATTCTAACAGGTATAGGCTATTCTCAATTAGGTTTTAACTCACTTTTTCTAGTGGCTGCTGGTGTTGAGCATCTTTTCACTGCTCATTCACCAGGCTGTCCTGTTGGTGCTCACTACTTCTTGAACTAAACTTCTCTTAGCATCAGTGGCAGGATACACTTGTTCTGTCTCACTTCCTCTTTCGGCCTCACTCAATCTCTTGATTATGCTATCAGACCCTTTCCTGTTCCACAGTCGGAAAAGATTTATAAGTGCATTTTCACACACATTTTATGAAGAAGCAATCATAAAATTTACTTTAGCAGAGTTCAAAGGGGACTAGATGTTTTCCGGAAGACAATGGGAAAAGAGTGTGCAAAGGTTCCTCCATCTTGTATTCTACTGAGGCCATTTCAGTTTTAACTAGACTTTGATCTCCCCAATGGAGAATCTCACAAAAATCACCCAACTCTATTCTAGGAACCTGAGGCCAAGATGCCTCATGTAACTTATTTATCTTATGTTAAACAAACAGCCTACCTGCGCACACCTCCTCTGCAGCTAACTGCTTATCTTATCTTCTGTTAAACAGCTTGCCTGCGCAGACCTCTCCCTGCAGCTGTTGAGGTAGATAACAGGAAGTGATTTTTGCTTTTAAAAGCCCCCCTGGAGTTACACGTGGGTCTCTAAATAACTGGGTGTAGTCCCAGCCATCTGGAATAAAGACTTTCAGTGGGCTATACACTGTCTAAATGGTCATCTCTGGTGGGTTCCCTCTAACAATAATAGCTGAGTTGAAACATGGGGCATGAGCAACTTCCTCTAGACAAAAAAAAAAAATGTGTGAGGTATAGTAAGGCAAAATGTTCTGGGGAAACATGAGCAGAGGCATAGAGACCCACAGAGTGCACAAAGTGTCTAGGACTCTTGAGATAGAGTTTAGAAGAAAGGCAAGAGAATGAGAGAGAACCTGGGCCAGAGAGGGAAGGTCTTGTAGACCCAACTGAGGCTACTGGGTCTTGTTCTTTGGGCCACTGAGTCACTCAGGATTTAATTACTGCGGCGTAATTGTTCTGGGCCTTGTGTGTGGACGCTCACAGCAGCACGGCTCCTAATAGCCTAAAGGAACGGCAATTCATTGACGAGTGGCTAGATGAAATGCAGTGGACTTTGTCTCCACACGACAGAGTATTACCCGGCAATTAAAAGGAGTGACGTGTAATAGATGCCGGAGCACAGACGGACTTCGAAAACATCATGCTGAGTGAAAAAAAAGCCAAACACAAAAGGCCACACATATGAAACTCTGACATGAACAGTAAGTCCAGAGGCAGGAAGTACTTTAGTGGTTTCCAGGGATCGAGGGGAGGGGGTTTGGGAGTGGTCACGCAGGTACAGGGTTTCTTTAGAAAATGATACGGTATTCTTAAATGGAAACTGGTGATGGCAGTTGCATGGTCCTATGAATAGGCTAACAAACATTGAATCAGCCACTTTTTGAAACTTTTATTTTTTTGCTTATGTGTATACGAACCTGTGTTTGTTGTGAGTGTCTGCCCACGTGTGTGTGTGTGTGTGTGTCTGAGGAGGCCGTGTGTGTGTGTGTGTGTGTGTATGTGTATTTGAGGAGGCCGTGTGTGTGAAGTGCATGTGTGCGTGTATGTGTGTGTATCTGAGGAGGCCGTGTGTGTGTGTGTGTGTGTGTGTGTGTGTGTGTCTGAGGAGGCCGTGTGTGTGTGTGTATGTGTATTTGAGGAGGCCGTGTGTGTGAAGTGCATGTGTGCGTGTATGTGTGTATCTGAGGAGGCCGTGTGTGTGTGTGTGTGTGTGTGTGTATGTCTAAGGAGCCCACTTGTAGGGTGGTGTCTGAGGAGAGCACAGCAATCAGAGGCTTGAGAACTGGAGCTGCAGGCAGTTGTGAGCAGAGAGGTATGGCTCTGGGAACAGAACTCACGTCCTCTGGAAGAGCAGCAAGTTCTCTTTACTGCTAGGGCAATCTGTCCAGTCCCCGAATTAGCCACTTCAAAGGAGTAATTTTATGTTCTATTACACCTCTACCACAAAAACAAACAGACAACCCCCAACACACACACACACACACACAATCCTCAAAATTCTGAGAGAAAGGGACATATACAGAGTGGTGGTTTTGTGGAAAAAAAAGAATCAGGACCCAGCAAGATGACCCAGTGGGTAGAGGCACTTGCCATCAAGCCTGAGACCTGAGTTCCATCCAGAGCCCACATGGTAGGGGGAGAGAGCTGACTCCTACCAGATCTTCTCTGACCTCTACACTGTCATGGCAGTGTGTTCACTGGCCCCTCCACCACTAGCTACAGTGTTAAAAAGAAAGAAAGAAACAAACAACAACAACAAACAATAAAAAGGATCAAATGTGTCTGCCTATTTTTTCCAGAAGAATCATAGGAAGAATAAACAAGAAAACAATGGGTCTATCTACAGCAGGAAAGGTTGAGAGCTGGTACGTTTTGTCCAGATGAGTCTAGCCAGTCAGTACTTTAGCGTAATCTACCAGGGAAACAGCTGGTTACCACTCACAAACAGCAAAGAAGCTAAGGGTAGCAGGAAGTAAGGAAGGTAAGGAAATGGCATATGATAGACACACATTTTCCTGTTGCTTAGGGTTCTTGACTCAACCCCCGCAAGGCTTTGTTACCGCCTAAGCAGCTGGAATAACCCTGAGGCCCTCGAGCCTTGCAACAGGCCCCTGAGAGCAAGCTGGTATCCTCACCTTCCACCCCAATCTTCCTCTGGCCTTTCATCTGCTCCTTGCTCCCAGAGGCGGGCCAAAGCATCTGGAATTTCCTTCTGCAGAGGTCAAAGAAACCCTAGTCTTAAATACCTAGATCGGCCTTTTAAGAGTAGATGTCACCCTTTTGCAGAAGTGACTCAGGCCCCAGGCCCTCAGGAAAGGGATACTGAAGAGTCTGGATGGAGAAGCCTTGTGGGGTCTTCTGGTGGCTGCGTAGGCAAGGGGTTAGACGTAACGTTACCAGACCCAGCAGCTATGCCTTGGTCACTCACCAGGTATCTGGGTTGGAGTTATCAGTCCCAGCTGCTGTGTCTTGGTCACCAGGTATCTGGGTTGGGGTTACCAGACCCAGCAGCTATGCCTTGGTCACCAGGTATCTGGGTTGGGGTTACCAGACTCAGCAGCTATGCCTTGGTCACCAGGTATCTGGGTTGGGGTTATCAGCCCCAGCTGCTGTGTCTTGGTTACCAGGTCTCTGGGTTGCAGTTACCAGCCCCAGCTGCTGTGTCTTAATCACCAGGTCTCTGGGTTAGACGAGACTTAGACCCTCAGGCTCTAGATAACAGCTGTGTCTCAGGGGGGTCAGGAGGCCTCTTGCTGGTGAAGTATCCTTGAAGCAACACTGAAAGTTCTTCCCATTAGATCAGAAACTCAGGCTCCAGGAAACTTTCTAAGCTCCCACATGTGTATTGGTGTAGGTTTTGTATCATCAAAGGACCTCGGCTTCACCAGAAGATTTTGGTATTGTGAGTTTGGTGTCCCCTTTCTGCAAGAACTTTTCAAGCGGAGGTTGAAAGAAATACTGTAAAAGAGAGGTGAGGTCTGCCTTGATTTGTGGGGGATGAGGGGGTGGGTGTCACTTTACCTCATAAATATCCTGACCCCCAGCAATAAAAGTTAAAACACAGACCACAACGGGCTTCTAATCCCTCTTTGACCTGCCACCACACTGCCCGTCTCACTTTTCAGTTGAGCCCAATCTAATCTCTCTCTAGGAGGAGTTGCCTTCTGCTTTGTTCTGCTCAATAAACTTCTGCTTAAACTATCGCTGTCCCTTGGCTGAATCCTGAGGAGACAAGATCTGAGGAGAACTCTCCCCTAGTTAGCTTCTCACTTAATTCCTTCCAAGAGGATGACGTCGTTTCTGTCTAGTTGCTTTTCCACATTCTTGTCCAAGCCCCTGGGTAGGTCACATGACCAATCTGGCCCATGCAATAAGTCTTTCCAAAGGGCAGAGGATGGAAAACCTCAGAACAGCTGGACAGTCAGAGGTCTGCATGAAAGGGTGACCCTTCCACACGCCACGAAGATGGCACACCCAACCCCTTGGGGACAATAGCCCTTGGACCCAGAACCCTTCCACATTCCAGGAGGATGGTGCACCCAACGCCATGGGGACAGCAGCTCCTGATTCAGCACCCTTCAGGCTTTGCCTCGGGGGTCTGTCTTTCACCTGGTTGTCTGTTTATATCCTTCTGAGCAGACTTTGTCATAAACTGTAGTGTGCTTCCCTCCATTCTCTGAGAACCCTAGCAACTTGCGGAAGGAGTCCCAGGAACCCCAATTTGCTGTCAGCCAATCAGAAGTTCCAGAGACCCAGACTTGTGCCTGGGTCTGAGAAGGGAGCAGTGTTGGTGCTTGGTGCTGAAGCCCTTTAACCTCCGGGATCTGCAGCCACCCGCGGGCGCGCGGTGTCATCACTGAGGGGGTTATGAGCAGTCCCTGATGGCCCTTGTACAGAATTTACTGCTCGCTTGCTGTCGGGGAGAAGTGCGCATGGCTTTTGAAGCCACAGGCGTAGTCTGTGTTTAAAGTGTGCAGTATGAGAAACTGCATCTGTTTTCCCGGCTCAGATCAGAAAGGGATGGTGATAGAGGGCAGAGAGGGAGGGAGATTAGATGGAGAAGGAGAGAGAAAAGAGAAAGGAAAATGGGAGGGAAGGACAGGGAAATGGGGCGCTGGCCTTAGCTGTTGGCAGGGGCAGCATGCCTCTGGCTTCTCCATCCTATAGACTGACCTTGTTATCAACAGGACTGTCTACTGCAGGGATGTCATAGAAGAACACCTGTTGAATGGCCACCATTAAAGCATTCTTCTGAGCAGTTTGGCAGGCAAGGGTCACTTGCATATTTTCCACTCCCGAATGGAGCAAGAGCTACAGGAAGAGAATACGAACGTGTTAGAGATTGCTCCCAGAGGGAGAAGCTGATGGTGGGACTCATGGCTCCCTTAAACAGCCAAAACACCCAGGACTAGAACTGAGGGGTACACTGGGCTTCCTGTTACTCAGCTGTAGGACTGTGCCTGCTCTTGCCTGGGCAGCAGAACACGCCAGGCCGGCAGCCTCCAGGTCTGGACTGCTGGGTAGCTGGTGGACACCAGGCAGTTCCCCTGTGGTCAGGGGAGCGGTCTGATAAACCATGGGGGACTCTGAAGCTGGCTCTCAAAAGCCCGGATTAGATTGAAGTCACCAAGAAAAATATCCACAAAAAAAAAAAAATAGAGCAAAGGTATTTAAGGCAGAGGTGAAGAATAGCACCAGGCTTTAAAAGATAAGATGAAAGCTCCAATAAGAAGTGCATACTCTAAAAGCTTCCTCTTCATCTCTAACAGAAGTTATATGTGGGCTGCAGTCCTCACGGCTCAAGCCAGGCCAGCACAAGGCCAGCATTATTAATAATAAAGGAAAGCTTTTCTTTTGTTTGGATCAGGCTCTCATGTAGCTCAGGCTGGCCTCAAATTTAAACTTGCTGTGTAGCTGAGAGTGGCCTTGAACCCCAATCCTCCTGCCTCCATACCCCCCCACACCCAGCCCCAGTGCTGGGATTATAGGTGTGTGCCATGATGTCAGATAAGGCTTGGAGAACAGGAGAATAAATTGCTTTGCTTTGTTTTAGCTTCTTTTTTAAATTTTAGCATCTTTTCTAAGGACATACACAAATTGTTTACCTTGAGGATGGCGTCTTGTGTATAGCAGCTGAACTTGCCAATTTGGTTGTCACCCAGCTCAGCAATGGCTAAGTCGAGGGCAGCGGGGGAGTACCTGGAAAGAGACAGGTGGAGCTGGCCTGTTCTGACACACCTTTCACGATAGGCCTATCTGATAGCACAGGATGGCAGCTGGCCAGATCCAGGATGTCAACGGTAGCAGCAAGCTGGACTTGGTCATGGTAACCACTCCATACTATGAGACGTTATCTTTTCTTCATCACCCCCTTTCCTTCTTACTTTCTTGACCACACCTGTTCAGGACCCCCCACGAACCCCTTCTTTTGTTAAATTGCATCTACTTCTCGCCCTCTTGTGGCTCCAGCAGCCATCCAACCCGTTCTCTAGACAGTGTTCTGGCCTTGGGGCACAACCCATTGTAAAAAGATGTGACTTTCTGGCAAGTAACTTAGTATTGATCAGTCTTTGTTTTCTCATCTAGGATGGGACTGTTCGCTACTGTAGTATCAGGGCAACTGTGAAGTTGGTATGCACGCATGTGCTTTGTGAAGGGTGAGTCACCGTATCATGTTGCCTGCAGGCTACACTTACTTTGTCACTCCGGAGTGACAACTTTAGGAAACAGATATATGTAAAAGTAAGTCAAGCTGCAAGCTCTCCAAATGCATGAATCGCTCCTTCCAGAAGGCTCTTCTTCCCTTGAAGCAAGCCTGGACATTCCTGGGAGGTCCAGTCACTACTTGCCCAGATCACAGGGCCACAGAAAGTTTGGGCCAATAGGTAGACTCTAGCCATTGTCCCCCCAGAAGTATAAAAATGCCATCTCTGGAAGAACCGAGTACAGCGTGATTCCACAGTGGCAGTTGGAGGCTGACCTCACGTGCCTTCCTTTCAATGCTGGTCTTGTTTTAGCCCATGAGGTGAAACAGAGCAAGAGAAAATTTCCCTCAAAAAATTTGGCAAAGTCAAATAATGGAGACATCTTCAATTGTCGGAAACAAACAAGGGGTAGGTAGGTTGAGGAGAAGAAGGGAGTAGAGGAGGAGGAAGAAAAAAAAGGAGGAATAGGAGGAGAAGGAAGAGGAGGAAGAGGGAGGATGGGAAAGAGAGGAAGGAAGACAGAGGTTGCTATCGCTATCTTTCCAGTAGAAGTCAAGAATGCTGCTAAGTAACCTGAGGCACACGTGGGGCAGTAGCCTTGCTTCATCCAGTAAAGAGGATTGCAACCCTAATTTTCAGCGGATAAGAAACCAACATAGCTTCCTATCATGCTAACCTCTTTCATTCTGGCCCATGCTCTGAGGAGTCTGCTAACCTAACAACACATCTGAGTCAAATTTTGAGCAGTGATCTATATTAGCAAAGATTTTTACTTTCCTCTGTGGAGCCTCTTTCTCCTTCCTTGGGGCAGAGCCAGTGCCAGGAATCTCCAGGGGGCAGAGCTGGGACCTTGGGAGAAAGGACAGACAGACTCTGGAAAGAAGTGGGGGGAAGGGGAAGCTGGCCCTCCAACGGAGAGGAAGGAGAGGCTCCTAACTACAGCTGAGAAGATTATGTCTGTCACTGAGAAGAGTGGCCATGAGAGGGCTTGCACTCTTTGGGACTGGTTTCCAAAGGAAACTAAGATGTCAGCCTGTGAGCTCTGTGCTCTTTGGTACAGATGCAGAAATGGAGCTGACTTCTTCCTTGTCAGGGAAAGTGAGAAAGGAGGCCGGTCCTCATGCCCTTTGGTCACCTGAGAAACCAGGAAGCTATGGTTTCCTCTGCAGTCTCTGACCTGGTTCTCCCAGGTCTCCATGGTTTCATGTGCTTCTCTTTATTTTCTTTTTCAATTTTCGTGTGTGTGTGGCTATACATATGTGTATGCAAGTTTGCATGGATATAGGTACGTGTGTGGGGATGACTGCTCGCACATGTAGAGGCCCAAAGCTGATGTCAGGGACTATCTCCATCACCTCTCTACCTTACTCAGTAAGGCAAGGCTTCTCAGTCAAATCCAGAGCTCACAGATACAGCAATTCTGGCTAGCCAGTGTGGTCTGGGGAGCACCTGTCTCTGCCTTCCACCTTCTGAGGCTGGAATTACTGGTGGGCCACCATGCCCATGAGGTATTCCCATGGGTTCTGGGGATCCGAACTCCGGTCTTCCCAACCTGATTCTGTGGTTTTTAAATCCAGTTATACCTTTGATTGAAATGTCGCTTTTCCCCCTTTTTAAGAAAGAAAGGGCATGGTGGCAGATTACATCCAAGGAAGAGAATTTTAAAATGCATCCCCACGTGCGTGACTCACTGGGTTACCCTACACCATGACAACACTCTCATCTTCGGGGTGCTCACCTGTCCACTCTACTGCTGTCCTCCAGCAAAGACGTCATAAAGACAGGAGGGGGAGGGTCCATTTTGTCCTTGTGTGATGCAAACTCAAAGTGAACAGGCCTCAGGTACAAATGGAATTCTTCAAAACCCATCTCCTGTGCCAACTTCTTATACAGCCTTAGGGGGGCGGGGTAGAGGCAAGGGTACATTTGTTAGTGTTTTTTTTTTTTCTGAAAGACAATTAAGTCATGAGGAAGGGAACACACAAGATTAAGCAGAAACACAAAATCAGACCAGGGCAAGCCCAGCATTATGGGAAGCAAACGACCCAGGACCATCTTGTGCAGCACTTCCTACTAGGTCAGGCAGACAATGGAAGAGTTGAGGCAGGGGATGTGCTTGGGTACCACCTCAACTCTTACTTCCTGTGGAGTGAGTGTTCTGCTTGGGACCCTCATGAGGTCACTGATATTCCCTCAGAGCAATGTTCACTGCCTCTTATCCCCTCCAGAGCCCTCGGCCCCTTCCTGGAGAGCACCCCTATTTCCTCTCCCGCACTGGCCATGCTCCTGCCCCATGACCACCCTTCCCGGGCTTCACTGACTTCCCTGAAGTTCAGATGTGGCCTGGGGTTCTAGCCCTGGTCCTCTCCTCATGCACTACATCCAGTCCCTAAAACCATTTCCTCATTTGAGACTCGGTGACCTTCAGCCCTGTCCCAAATCACCTCTGACTTCATCCAGATGTCCCTCTATCAGCTCAGCCTTAAACATCTATGATTCTCTCCCTTTCTCCCAATACTTCCGGTTTAAGCCAATTCTCGCCCTGAATCAGTGTGCTAGGGCTATCGCAAAATATCACAGGCACACATCAAGTGCCTGGCGTGTTAAACACAGAAATCCACTGTCTCTCAGCTCAGAGATCAAGATGTAGGTCAATTGGTTCCTTCTAGGGTTCTGAAGGAGAGAGCTGCCCCATTCCTCATTCCTTAGTTGTTGATGGTGTCTTCTCCCCACCTTCGTCTGTGTGGTCCATGTTGAAGTTACTCTTAGGAATTCAACAGTCTACTGGATGAGGATCCAACTCAATACCTCCAGTTCAACTGGCTATCTCTTAAACAGACTCTCCTACTTAAGGTAGTAGCTCATGATCACATGAGTTTAAGCGGGACCCAGTTCTATCCACAGCATCATCTCCCCTGCTGCTTTCCTGATCCACTTAGAAAGAATAAATTATTCCCTTTGCTGTGCTCCCAAAGTGCCTTTTCAAATTAGAAGAGTATCATTATTATAATATATCATGGGTAACTTTTACATTACTAGCCCCTGAGAGGCCCACAAATTGTAAGAGTGGTGTCCCAGAGGCAGTAAGTTTGACTAGTAGCTCAGTTTCTGTTTCTACTACTACTTTCTAATGTGGTGATCTGGGGCTAATTACTTCATTATTCTAACTCTCTACTTCTTTGCTAATGAAGTGTTCTCATCTCTCTCATAGATGAGAGTCTAAGAGTTTAAGGAAATAATACACAGAGTCCCATAAAGACGTGATCAAGCAGTTCTTATGGTGGCTGGTGGATAGCTGGGCTGTCTGTGCCTGCAGGACTTCCCATGGGAATAGGAATAGCACCATGTGTATTGGAAACAAACCCTCTAGTTCCTTACAGTCTCCATCTTTGAGAAGGTCTTAGCACTGTCTCCTACTAAAACCTGAAATGGGCTTCATTAGCGCCTCTCCTGTCTGACCTGTTGAGCCCCCAACCCTCTCCAGACCCAGAAGTGAAGAAGTAGGCCAGTTATTGTGGAAGTGGGTCCTGATGACACAGGGCATCACACCTGATTCCCCTCCTCTCTGTCCTCTGATGGAGGTGGGTCTTGTATCTTATCTGTTGCTTTCATTGGTTAACTAATAAAGAAAACTGCTTGGCCTGATAGGACAGAAAATTAGGTAGGCAGAGTAGACAGAACAGAATGCTGGGAGAAAGAAGCCGAGTCAGTCAGTCACCATGATTCTCCCACTCCAGACAGACGCAGGTTAAGATCTTCCCTGGTAAGCCACCTCATGGGCTACACAGATTATTAGAAATGGGTTAGATCAATATGTAAGAGCTAGTCAATAAGAGGCTAGAACTAATGGGCCAAGCAGTGTTTAAATGAATACAGTTTCCGTGTAATTATTTCGGGTATAAAGCTAGCTGTGCGGGCGGCCAGGTGCCAGGAATGTAGCCCGCCGCTCCATATCTTCAACAGTCCTCCCTTGCTGTTTCTCTCCCCACGCCACCTACAAGCATACACAAGAGCATGCTCTATTGTCTGTCTGTCTTCTGTCTCGGGCTGATGTGGATGTGGACCTTGGTCTTATCAACATCCAGAACTATCAGACATGGATGGTTGTTCTTTATAAAAGATCCAGTCTCAAGCACAGACTACAGTACCAGGTCACGGGATATCCCGGTAAACAACTTGGCAGAGATTTTGTGTTGGAAATCTGACAAACCAATATTAAACATCCAAGCACAAGGACATGCACTGACTGGGAAGACCATGTGGGTACCCACTGGGAGACTCCTGCCATTTGAACGGACAGAGAGGCTCATATGGAGCCTGAGAGGAGAGGAAGGAACAAGGTGACCATTTCAGTCTGGTTGCTCTAGGGAGCAAATGGCAAGACTTGAGACGGTGAGCCCTAGACCCCCATATTTCGTCCCCAAGTCCTTCCATGTAGTGCCTGTCCCCACTCACCGAGCCAAGGATGTGCTCTCCACAATCATTTCTATCAGTCGGTGGCGGAGGGTCAGGAGTTCCAGAAGTTTTGAAAACATCTCCAGGAGCAGTGTGTGAAAATCTTGGCCTTGTCTCTGTCCTTTGTCCATCGCAGACCTGAGCGCAAGCAGGCCCACCTCCTCCACGAGGAAGGGATCACCCATCACTTTAGCTGAAAAGAGCTGAAAGCAAACCGAGGAATTTGGAAACCCAAAAAGAGGAACTTCACGTGTACTAGAAGGAAAAAATACTGTCAGTGGCACACTCTGGAGGTATCACTTCCTGGGCCACCTACCAGACACCAATAAATAACCACTTCTTAATAGGGCTGCCCAGGGGGGTATGGAAACTAAATACACACAGAAGTATTTTTTCATTATGGTGGTAAATGTTGTTTTTATAGATGTTTTTGCTTAAACACGAAAAATGGGAGAGGAAACTAAATAGAAATAAAAGTCACTAATTTAAAAAAATATGTAAAAATTGGAAATATGGTTCAGTGGTTAAAATACTAGCTGCTCTTCCAGAGAACCTGGGTTTGAGTCCCAGCACCCACATGGCAGCTCAGAACTACTTGGAACTCCAGACCGAGGAGATCCAATGCCTTCTTTGGCTTCCACAGGCACCATATATAGGCATGTGGTACACAGGCATACGCATGCAGAAGAAAAATCCATACACAGAAAATAAAAAAAAATTAAAAATTTTTTGGTGGCCAACAATATTTTTCCTCTGTTTGTTTATTTACTTATTTGTTTGTTTATTCTTCTCTCATATATTACATCCCAGTTCCAGTTTTCCCTCCCCTCACTGCTCCCAGTCCTGGAAATATACAATTTCTATAAGCCTCTTTAATTGCAGTTTCAAAATATCCAAGCACTTTCACACATATGAACTCATTTTCATTTCCACCAGCTCCCCAAGGAAACATCAAAGGTACTATTATTCTTCAGCAATGAGAAATCTAAAGCAACCTTTAAACCTTGTGTGTGCTGGAGGGGTGGGACATTGGGAATTAGATCTAGGGCCTCATACTAGGTAAGCGCGCCACTATTTTTATTTCTATTTTGGAACAAGATATCATTAAGTTGCCTGGGCTGGCCTCAAGCTTAGAGTCCTCCTGCTTCAGCCTCCAGAGTAGATGAGACTGTGAGCCTGAACTAAGCCTGGCCTGTGATCTGCAAACTTTACAAGGTCACTCTGTAGTAACTTTAGCATCCCAGTCCTGTGTCCTATAGCGTCACAGGACCCCAACCTGCCTCGCTTTGCTCCCTCGCTCCCAGGTGGCCCTATGCGGTCTGGGGACACTCAAGTGACCTTTAATGCCCTCTGCCTTAGTGACCATCTAGGCTCTCACACCTCCACTGTCCTCTAATGTGCCCTTTTCTGGAAGGACCCTTAATCTCCATTTTCTGGTTTACGCCGCAGGCTGTGCCATCTTCCTTTACTATATAACTAGCAAAGGACTTGTCCACAGGAGATGTGGTTTTCAGGCTCTTCAAGTCTTCGGAGGGCAGTATTGCATTCGTTTCCTAACCTAATATAAAAGGTTACCTTAAATGGTATTTCTAGGCTCAATTGTGACTCTATTTTTTAAAAAAATAATTAAAATTGTGACATCAGCAAGAGACTAGATGAGTACCCCAGACAGGCACTGTAATTTATAAGAGTTTTTTTTTAAATCAAATATTAAATATGGTACTACATGACACTGTAAGAATATTAAATAGAAGTAAGACAAAAGGCTCATAACTTCAAGAAAATTCCAACTCCTGCCTCACACCTCACTCCATGTACACTAATTCCAGTGAGCAGTAAAAAAGTCAAATATTCAAAAATTAAATCAAGCCCTTAAGATTGAGATAAAATGAGACAAACGAAACATTTGAAGGGTGGTTTTCTTTCTATGTTTAGGAGGAAAGACAAAATCACAATGCAAATGGCCAATAGATTCAACTATGCAAAAGTAAATGTTTTTGTTTAAAAAAGACAAATGGGAAAACGTTTGCAGAAAATAAGATAGAGAACAGCTAACGGCTTGTTTAATTAAAGCTTGTATAAGTGGGTAGAAGCGAAACTATTTTCTCAGTTAAGTGAACCAAAAAGAATCCCCCCAAAAAACCCCAATTATAGCTGGTGACCAAATGCATTCAAAACAATCTCAACAAGGGCTGGAAAGAGGTCTGAGAAGCTAAGCACTTACTGCTCTTACAGAGGACGTGGGTTCCCAACACCCTTGTCAGGCAGCTCACAGCCACCTCTAGGTCCAGTTCAGGGGCACTGAGGCCCTCTTCTGGCCTCTGTAAGCATCTGCATCCACATAGTGCACATAAATTTACATAGGTACACACACAAATAAAATATATAAGAATACAGAGAGAACACACACACAGTCTCAGTAAGTAGCAAGGAAGTGAAATCAAGCCCATTATGTGAGCAGATGTCTCCCTTATATCACAAGTGGCTGTAGAACAAGATCAGTTCAGAAGCCCCAGCTCAGCATTCAGAGCTTAAATCCAAAGCAGAAAAAGAAAAGGATTGAAAATACAAGTACAGACAGGACCTAAGTCATCAGGCACTACTTTAGGGGACCCAGCATCCTCTTCTGGCCTCCAGAGGAATTGGGTCCTCTGGAGGAGCAGGATGTGCTCCTAACTCCTGAGCCATCTTTCCAGTCTTAAAATAAATTTTAAGTGACAATCAATTTTAACTTTATTAAAATAATATAAAAGCATAGAGAACTGTAGCCGATGAAGAAAGAACTCATTTTAATTTGAAGCTCTTCATAGGCTGGCCCTGGTAGTGCAGTCATTAGCCTGACACACCGACCATTATACCTCTCCAGTGTACCTCCAACTCTCCCCAATACACGAACACACTGTGTATCATTGCAAAGCCCATGAGAAAGGAGAAAATATTTTTCACATACCTATGCAAGCCTCCATTTAATTTTAATTATACTGACATCCTTAAATACTCGCTAGAAGTTTTGTCTCAAACAAAAATCACATAAAAATATTGGCAAGGTTTGTGACTGTGTTCTTTCTCTGGCCAAATAGAGGGGGGAAAGCTCCAAACAGCAAAACAGAGCTAAACAGAAACATCTGGAAGGAAAAGTTCTCTTTGCCAAGTACCCAACTGTCTTGGCAGAAAACACCCACATCTCTCTGGAGTTGTGCGCTGTACCAGGCCTCGGGCCTGGCCGGGGTGAGCCACAGGTCCAGGGCGAGCTGCAAGATGCGTTGTTCCAGCTGGGCGAGCCCACTGGGTGATGCAGGCTTGTGGGCGTGGCAAGCCTCACGCAACAGGTGCTCCAGGGCTTTAGGGATGAGCCCAACCAGACCCAGGGAAGGGTGGAACTCCAACAGATGGACATTTTCTGAGGCTGGGCTTGAAGAAGAGAAGAAATTACTTGATTTTTCACAACAAAGAATAGAGCTATCTTTCGGGGGAAGATATCTGACTTTTTATCTTTAAAGAGCGATAACACAGCCCCTATAGGTCCAGGGCCTTCTAAAGACTGGGGAGTTAATTGACCAGATAATGCAGCGTGCTTCTTGTTTTACCATGGGCCCTGGAAAGTGGAAAGAAACTGACGTATTTTCCTTTCCTTTCCCCAAATGTTAATGAGCAAAGTCAAGTTTTAAGTTCTCTATACGCAGCTGGACTCCTCTGCATGCATTATAAGGATATTGTCTTTTAGAATATACGAGGACAAAAATCAATAAAACACTTGTTTGAGGATTATGCTTTTGGAAATAAAGGATACAGAACAAGTCAACGGTCTTCCTGCTTTAAAGCTGAAGAGCACAGCTATTTCCAGCTGAGTCTGTGCAAACGAGCTTCTCTTACACCTAGCTCTTAAAGCATATTGCTCAAAACCTGGAAAGAAGCCTTGATCAAGCAAATCACAGCGGGTTTGGAGACTCGGACAGCTTTTTAGCATTCATTTTAACCTTAGCCCGCTCTGCCAAAACCCATTTCCTGAACAGCAGATCCCTTCCATAGCAAAATGTACACACAGCTGGTGGCGAGCTTGCCATGGTGGAGACATGAGGGCCGCAAGGGGTCTGTGGGGGAAAGGCAGGGTGTGGGCTGGACCTCTTTCTTAGGAAGGTAGAATCTTAGCTATTAGCTCTTACAGCACGCTGCCTGTAGCCTACTGTGAGGTCTCTTCCATAAAAGCTGTCTTTAGTGTGCACTTGTGGGAGCTCAGGACCACGCCTGTGCTCACATTTGTACCCTCAAATGTATGTGCCCGGTGCGGAAAGAAGCAAGACGGTTACTCCCCACCATGGGGAGGCAACGGGGAGATTTTGATCTCAGGCTATCCCACTCTACTTGGGGTCCGTCACCCCACCATTCCCTCTAACTTAAAGGCAGGAGGGAATGGGAGAAGGAAGTAATCACATTGAAGGAGGGGGAAAATGTGTACCCACTCAGAGTGGTCTCCGTAAATAGAATACTGCTCTCTGAGAGGTGATGTCCAGAGGTTCATCTGAGACAATTCTCTGTGAGAGGAAAGAAATTCCTTCCAGAGAGACTTAAAACACACACAGGCTTCGGATACAGATGCATGAGCACAACTCAACGGCTCCCTCTACCACAGACCTTTGAGTGGTCCTTTAACACTTACTACTGTGATTCAAGGCTGCATCTTAAGGGATCTAGAAGAGATTAAACTGAAATGCCTAAGGCAACAACAACTTACCAGCTGCTGTTGATGGAAACAAACTGTTTGTGAATTACGTTCAGGGGAAGTCCGAATGTCTTGAGAGCGGGCTGATCCCCTTGCCAGAGCATCCGCACGTATTCCCGCTGCTGCTCTAGCTACAGAGAATAAACATTCCCAGGATGGACCTGAGCCATGAGCCAGAACCAGAGGATAAACCCCCCTCTACTTCTGTCGCTTAGCTAGTTCTCACCCAGACACGGTTTTGAAGACTTGTTTACAATGGAACATTCTGGTCTCTCAGTCAAGGGCCAGCCAAGGAAAGGAAAGTCAACCAATTTGAAAAAGCAAAAGAAAGCTGTAACCAGTGGCGTCCTTCAATCCCAGTACCTGGGAGGCAGACACAGGTGGATCTCTGTGCGTCTGAGGCCAGTCTGGTCTACAGAGAGGTTCAGACCAGCCAGGATACAGAGTAGAAGTCTATCTCAAAAAATAAAATAAAATATAAAAAAAAAACAAAAGCCAGGTATGGTGGTGCATATCTATAGCCACAGTTCTGAGGTAGGCTAAGGTAGGATTGCCAGTTCGAGGCACATCTAGGCTACTGTGTAAGACCTTGTCTCAGAAACTGAAACCAAAGCAAACAAACAAAACTAGCCAAACATGGGAAAAAAAACCCACAGTTTTATACACCAGTATCTTGGAAAGATGCATCTTTTATTGACGATAACTCTATGATCTCATAAGAGACAATGACCTCAATTCCTTGTGGGTCATTAACGGCCATTGAGATTTAGGAACCTCCCTTGAAGGCCTCAGTTATGCTTGGAATTCAGAAGTGCGAATGAGTTTACAAATAGACATTCTGCCCAGAAAACCCGGATTCTGGACCTGCAGTGAAAGAAAGCTACTTTGATGCCTGGCTTATGTCTCCCATGGTCTTCTCAGACGGAGCCATTGGAGCTCTACTCACCTGATGGTTGAGGATGCCCCTCACTAGCTGCTGGTGAAGCCTCAGGCAGGTACAGTCATCTTGGTAGGCCTTAGTGAAATACGAGCAGCTGAGATCAAACTTGGGGCGTCGGTGCATAATGTCAGTCATAGCTTGTGCCAAAGCAAAGCACTCTTCGGTGTCCAGTGTGTGCTGGTAGGCTTCAAAGTAACTATCGAGAAGCTGAAAACAAGTTTATGGTCAGGGAACAACAGCTCTAGTGCCAGCAGAGAAGATGGGAAGCTCCACTCTGGCTTCTGACAAGTCCTGGGCCGAAAAGAGATGCCCAGACCTCTGGGTGGTTAGTGGTTCGGGTACGGGCAGATACAGTAAGAGCTGGTTCAGGCAGCAAACCCACAGAGTAAAGAGGGCAAGAGCTGGAGCCTGTGTTGTGGAACCAGAGCTAGACTTGAGTTTGACTGTTCCTTTTGTTCTGTCTTCCCCTGCTCTTTACAAACAAAAGGAACGCTATGTCGTTGATAGCATTGCTCTCCAATAATCGCTATCCAGTAAGACTACGCCCCAAAAGTTTGCCATTCCTAGAGCCCTACCCTCTTTCAGTAGCCTGGTTACCACTTCCACAATGTATGACTCTTGCTAGGATGGTGCACAGGCCCCTAGGTCTACCTGCACCTTTTATTATTTTTTAATACTATTATCAGGTGAAAGCATTATATGATGTATCTTCTTTTTAGTTTTGAACTGATGATACACCAAAGTACAGATCCTGCTGTGGGAACGCCTTCAGCCAATAGCCCCTTTAAGATACTGACCCCACTGTTTGGGTGTGGCCTCATGTACTATAAATGCAGACAAAAAGCGTGTGGGCCTCTTGGCTGCTGGAATCGTTCGAGTTCCGTGATCACGCAGAGGACTGCATATCACTGCTTTTTCTGTGAGTCTACCCCTCAGTAAAGAAATCTTTATTATACTCCATTCTGGGCTGGTGTGGGACTGTTATCATGAATTGCAATAAGATACCGCTAAACGAGTTTTACTGGGGTTACTTATAGGAACAGGGGTGAGGGGTTACTCACAGAACAGAAATGACTCAAAGGCAGCCGCACCACCTAAGCCCATCCCAGCACGGGTGACAGCTCATGGAAGCTGGAAGCTGGGCCACACTACACAGCCCGCAGCAGCTCAGCAGTCCCTTCCTGGGGGCTCGCTTGTCTCCTCTTGGCAGCCTACCCATCTTTGTTTCTTCTAATGATTTATTTTTCACCTGTGCACAAATTCTATTTTACTTATTTTTGGTTTTGTTTCTAAAGATTAACATTTAAGGGCTGGGGAGATGGCTCAGTCAATGAGTGCTAGACTTGCAAGCCCAGGAACCTGAGTTTGATCCTGAGTCCAGACTAAAAAAGTACTGGGCCAATAGTGTCCCTTTGTACTTTCTGCTCTGAGGAGGCAGAGACAGGCAGATGCCTGGGGCACACTGGCCAGCTAGCCTAGCCTACTTGGTGAGATCTAGGCCGATGGCATCTGAAAATGGCACCTGCCTTCCAAATGCATACGTGTCATGAGCACCATACACACATGTATTCACACACATAAGTATGTACATATGTACACACACATACAGAAATCATGGGCTCGAGGTTATCAATGTGGGTCACTGTTTTCATGCATCCCCTCCTCCTCACTGGCTCCCCTTTGCTGGCCTGCTTCCCTACAGTGCTCCCCCTTTTTGGTTTCATGACACATCTACTCTATTACTGGCTTTACCCTGCCCTCCCTCTTTCTCTGTCTCATTGCCCCTTTCTAGCTTCATGTCCTAAATACCCAGACCCACATACAAAAATTAAAGTCTGGGATTTAGAGGCGAGAGAAAACACACATGTGTCTTTCTGAGTCTAGGAGAGTTTGCGTAACATAATTCTTATTTTTATTTAATTTTCTGCAAACAACATGATTTCATTATCCTGTACGGCTGGATAACATGTCACTGTGTTATGATAGTTGTGGTATCTGAGGCTCCCCTTCCCCGTGTCCTCATCAGCCTCATTGCCATTTGCTTTCTTGAGTTAGCCATTCTGACTGGGCTGAGAATCGCTTTTTAAAATGTTATTTGGGCCAGGGAGATGGCTCGGTGGTTCAGAACGTCTGTAGCCAAGCCTAAAGACCTGGTTTCAATCTCGGTAATGCGCTGACATGATGGAGGGAGAGAACTGAGTCTTAAAAGTCGTCCTCTGACCTCCACGTGTGCAACGTGGCACACACAGGCAAAGTAAATAGAAATGTAAGAAAAAATAAGCTATTCGGTGGCTACTGGGTTTCCTCTCTTCAGGACTGTCTGTTCAGTTCAGCTGCCTAGTTATTGACAGGAAGGTTGGTTTCCACACGCCTGCTTCCTTGAGTGCCCTGTCCTCTGAAGACCTCCACATGGACACACAGCACTGACTTTTGTCAGTTTGTTTTCCAAGGTGCAGGCGCGGAATTGCCAAGTGTGAAGGAGAAAGATGTTCTCCCTCTTTTGCACAAGAATGTTAAACACTCAAGAGTGAACAGACAGTAGGAATTGGTTGTCATCTATGAAGAGATGTTCACATCTGCCTGCCCAATGTCAGGGCTCGTGAGGATAAAATGGGATACTTCAGTGAATACCCATGATGCTTTGCATGTCAAATATCTGTCAGGGCTCACAGGTTTGAGCGTTTGGTCTCCGGCCGATGACCAAGTTTTGAGTGGTTGCGTGCAGAAACTTTGAAAGGTGGAAGAAGTGGATCTCGTGGTGTGGGCCTTGAAGTTTGCAGCCCAGTGTGACTTCCTGTCCCACCTCCGCTTCCCGTTGTGCTGAGATGTGAGGAGGGAAGGAGCCCCAGCTATGCTCTCCCTCCTGTTGCCATGGAGCTGTTTGCCTCCATGCCTTCCAGATCAAGATGAATTACGTACGCTCAAATGTGGAAGCTAAACAAATCCCTCCTCCCAGATGTCGGTTCTTTTAGGCATTTCATTTCAGTGCCGAGAAAAGTGATTGACGTGGTCCTTAAGCTTCGAGGATGCCTGTTCTGGAAAGGTACCAAATCCAACTTCAGCATGAACAGGAAATCACCAAGAGGAGCCTGAAGCTCAGGCTACCATGGCAGGGGTGCCAGGAGCTAAAAACTCACACTTCACAGCTTGGAGCCGGAAGTGAAGAATGATAGTCATTCCTCTGTCCCTAAGTTCGTCCCACAGAAAACAAAAAGGCAGTGGTGGTCTAAGTGACCTGATTTCCTCACCCAAGATCCACTCGAGAATAACAGCCAATTGTTAATAGAAGGACTAGAAGACTTAGAAGAAGTGAAGGAACCAGCCAGGCTGAGGTTGCCACTCGGCCATTCCAGGGAGAGATTAGAGAAGAAACATTTACCTCCTTAATTCATTCTGGCCCAAAGGGAACCCTTTTGGCTGAGCCGGGACAATCCTGGGAGTTGGTTTATGGTATTTAAACTTCTTGACCTGTTTTCGGACAAAGAACCCAATTGTTGGCTATTTGGTGGGCAAAGTTGGCTAGGGAGAGAGTCATTTCTGGCGATCCCAATCTGGTGAGGGCAGGTTACAGAGGACCAGGCTAACTTAAATGTTCGCTATTGATGACATCAGTAAATAAGAACACAGGATGTCCAGGCAGGCAAGATGGCTCAGCAAGGAAGGCACCTGGTACCATGTCTGAGGACCTAAGTCCAATCCCTGGAACTCTCATGAGAAAAGGCGAGAGCACAGTCCCCCTAAGCTGTTGTCTGACTTGTCTGATATGAGCAGGCATGCCTGCTGAGCCTCTGTCCTGAGCTCCAGTCCTGCCCCCTCCAGAGAAGTCAGAATACAGGACGTCCACCAACTTCAAATTTCAGATAAGTAGCCAGCATTCCTTTAAGGTAAGCATGTCCCTTATTGCAGTGTTTATCTGCACAGAAGGAAAACGGAACTTAGAAGAATAATGTCTTTTCCATCTTTAGGCTCAGCTGAGAGAAGGTCACAGGTAGATCAATGCATAATTCATTATTTTGTTAGGAATTCCTCCCCAGTGAGGGTGGCGCAGGACCTTTCTGCCTCACGGGTTCTGTTTGTTATCTGTTTGCTAATTGGCCCATTCCCATTTAAACTCCAGGCTGGCATTTGCCTGAGAAGTCTTCCTAACCTGTTCAATTCGCCCCTGTGTGTCAAGGGCCAGCTCTCAGCAAAGTGATACACGGCACACAGGGAGAGTAGCAGGGAAACGTTGGAGAAAATAGGAAAGCAGACAAAATTAATAACAACAGGTCTCCCTGGGTTTATCTTATTTGTGAGATTATCTCAGTTTCTAAGTTTATCTTATTTGTAAGCTCTAAGATTTATAGTAACTTTCAAAGTGTTTTGGGTCACACCAAAGTGTCAAACAGAAAGACAGTGCTAGACACAACTTGCCACAGAATCTCCCCCTTTGCCACAGGGATAATACTCGATGATGAACCTGCCTGATGACCTTGGGGAAGTAGGAGATAGGACAGCGTGACCTAGGAGCTGCCACACTGACCCTCTGGCTTCTCTCATCCCCCAAGGCCACTTCAGTTGACATCAACTTTAGCTTTATGAGTTCCCATATACACACCGTGGTTCTTTTAAGAACTCAAAAGAACCCAGTATGTCCTGGAACTTCTTAAGTGGTGATACCAATACATTTAACTATCAGAAACAGCCGAGGAGACTCGGCAATGTAGTCAGTGCAGGGGCCGGGGATCAACTGTACCGCAGATGGAAATTTGACTCAGCCATTTAAGGTGGGCTCTTTGGCTAGAATGTATGACTTGGAAGACTATAATTTACTATTTTGGCCCCAAAGTTCTATAGGGAACTTATAGCTCAATTTCTATAGGGAACTTATTCTCAAGGTAGGATGGAGGGGGGTATTTTCAACCATTGTTTTAAACAAAAATCGTTTCATAGACCCTGGAAGGAGAAGGCAGGCTGCTATAGACCCTGGGAGGAGAGAGTAGGCCTCTTTGACAGATTGGAATGGAATAAACTACAGTCTGGATGGGCATTTGGTTTTCTGGCCATTCTGCCCTTTGGTTCTTCCATTGCCATTGAATTCTGCCTGAGGAATCCATGAAAGGAAATGACAACTCTTTCACACACACACACACACACACACACACACACACACACACACACATGCTTAAAGCTTGTGCCTGGAGTAATGCATTTGTTTTGTTTACATTTAATACAACCAATTACTGCAAGTTGATCACGATAAAGTTTTAACTGGCAGGTCAAGGTTATCTGTGAAAGGGACAGTCTTCCAAAGTCAGCCCAGACAGATGTCCGAATGACCAGTGACCTACATGCATCTCCATGAGTAACTGACCAAAAGAGAGAAAACCGTTAACCATTCGTTCTGCTATAAAAACAGTTAAAAGAAACCACTTCCACTTCCTGGTTTTCAGCCCACATCACAGCTGTGGCAGTCTGGTTTCCACGCCCCAACTCCACCTCCTGATAGAGTCCTGTACAGCTGCCACTGGCCACCTGAGAGCTGGGGTTTTGAGGGATCGTCTTCCTCAATATTTACCGTGCTCCACGTCAGTGGGCTCCCGCCAACACTTTCCTGTTGACTCTCACAAAGCTCTTTCTTCCTTGTCGGCTTCCGTCTCTTTGGCTACTCCGTCTGTCCCACAGCCTGCCCCATAAACATAGGTGTCACCAGGGCTCATTCAGACTCTCCACCCTTTCCCGCTCATTGCTGTCGCTCAGCATCTGTGTCAAGTCTCTGCCCGTGTCTACTCCTCGGCTTTAGACCTAAAACATCCCCCTCGATGACGTCTGTCTTTGAATACTCTTTCATCTTCTTCCTTAATGACACCTCTCTCCTCCTGCACCCTGCTTTAGTTAGTAGCTCCTTCCTGACCCCTTAGAAGCCCTTTCAAATCTCTTTTTACTCTCTCCTTCCAAAATCCATATACAGTCCCTAACTCCCACCACGCCCCCTTCAGAGTGACAGCATCCGCTTCTGTTTCCTGCTCTCAGGCCACATCCTTATTATCAGGTCCCTTCTCAGTCTCCCGATCACCACTGGAGGTGACCTCTTCTCTAAAGGTTTCTTATCCAATCCGTCCTCCGTAATGACACCAAGATAACAATTGAAAACAAAGCTGGGACGGTGGTTCACCCATGGCTCTTCACTTCTTCAAACTATGGACCACCACTCTATCGTGTAACTGAATATAGAGATCACACACACACACACACCACCACCACCACCACCACCACCACCACCACCAACAACAACAACAATAATAGCAAAACGTTTCAGAGTACACAACAACCGAAATTAGCTCAAAATCAAATTCATAACGGCAGTGCTCACACATGGTGCACCTCCCTGCAGGCCGAGTTCTGAACACACAATGTGCACACTTCGAACTGCTAAGGTCATCCTGCCACACAGTGCCAATGGACACCTCCTCCGAAACACCCTGCTAAGACTTGAGACCATTGCACACTATAAACTGCAGTGTTTTACTGTATATAAAAGTATTCCGTTCTTAGAAAAGCATAAAGCATGAATTATGAGGAAAAGGTTATTTTCACTGGGTTCCTGCTCTCATTCCTCAGCATGTCAAATATCAGATTAGTGTATCTTTGAACTGGATTGTATTAGATAAACAAGGAGAGCCATTTAATTGATGTAGAAATTTGCTTTTGTTCTTCTTTGTTGGTGGTGGTTTTTTGAGACAGGGTTTTGCTGTGTGACAGCTCTGGCTGCCCAGAAATTCGCTCTGTAGTTACTTTTGTTCTTAATAAGTGGCAGAACCACAATGTGCTCAAGAAACATTTTAACTATTTTTTTATGATTTATTACCAGTAATGTTTGATTTGTATATCTATTGTATATAGGTGTATGCCTGGAGTTGTGAAAATTTTTCTTGGGCAAAATGTATTATAAGTTGGAAAAGTTCAAGAAACCCAAGTTGTCCAATAAATTTTAAAATCAATAATTCACAGCCCTTATCAGTCTGTACCAAGAATAGGCTGATATGTAAATCCTAGTCATTCGCTCTCTACCAAGGAAGGATTCCCACTGGCCATGCCCCATGCGACATAGGCATTTCCTATGCTCAACAATGGAGCACTACTCAGCCATAAGAAACAATGGCATCTCGAAATTTGCAGGCAAATGGATGAAACTAGAATAAAACATCCCGAGTGAGGTAACCCAGACCCAGAAAGACAAATATAGTATGTACTCACTCATAAGTGGACGTCAAACATAAAGCAAAGGGTAACAGTCCACAACCCCAGAGAAGCTAGAACCCTCATCCAGAAACAGATGTAAGCAGATGCAGAGAGCTACAGCTAACCACTGGGCTGAGCTCCCAGAGAAAAGTCAAAGAGAGGGAGGAGCGATAATACAAACAAATGGGGTTACGATCATGATGGGGAAACCCACAGAATGAGCTGACCTGAGCTGGTGGACGCTCACTGACTCCAGACTGGTAACTGGGAACCTGCACAGGACTGAACTAGGTGTCCTGAATGCAGGTGACGATGGCGTGGCTTGGGCACTACATGGATACATTGGCAGTGGAACCAGGCTCTAACTTGAATGTATGAACTACTATGTGGAGCCCACACTCTACGGAGAGATACTTTGCTCAGCCTAGGCACGGGGTGAGGGTGGGAGGCTTGGTCCTGCCCCAAAGAGGTGATAGACAGACTTAGTTGACTTCCCAGGGGAGGACTTACCCTCTTTGAGGCCTGGATGGGTGGTGGGAAGGGAGACTGAGGGAGGGAGGAGAAGAGGAGGGAGGGGAAACTGGAAAAAAAAACTAAAAATAGAGGAAGAGAAAGAAAAGAAATGAAAAAAAGGGGAAAAAGAATCTATCTCAACTGGTGGCGGCTGCACACGCCTTTAATTGCAGCACTCAGGAGGCAGAGGCAGGCCTATCTCTGAGTTTGAGGCCTGCCTGATCTACAGAGTGAGTTCCAGGCCAGCCAGGCTATACAGAGAAACCCTATCAATAAAACAAAACAAACAAAAAAAAAAAGAAAGAAAGAAAGAAAAAAGAAGAAAAAAACAACAAAAGAGTCTTTCTCTGCCGCCAGACATCTTATGAATCTTTATCAGTGAGATTAAGTGTATATCCCTCTGGGAAGATTTAACAACAATTTTCTCAACTTTGACAGTCCCCAAACAAGACAAATCTCTTTTTCCACTGATGGTCCCCAGCTCTTGAAGGTGCCCCAGTTACACGGATACTCTTCTTAGAGACTGGATAAACATTTATAGACCATAAATTTCTCCTTTTCTATGATCTGTAGAAATGGTGCTAAGACATCAGTATTTTGTTTGGTTTTGTTTTTTGTTTTGTTTTTCGAGACAGGGTTTCTCTGCGTAGCCCCGGCTGTCCTGGAACTCCCTCTATAGACCAGGCTGTCTTGGAACTCAGAGATCTACCTACCTCTACCTCCCTGTGCTGGGATTAAAGGCATGCCCTGTCACAGCCCAGCTAACATCAGCCCTGGGTGTCTATCCTGGAACTCCCAGTCAGAAGCCTTTTAACCAGGAAGCCCATGGCTGTCATAGGAGCCCTTGGACTTTTAGGATGAAGGGTCTACCTTCGTGAAAACCTTGTACAGGCCAGACCCGAATACCTTCCTTCTAAGTGCTTTAAAGACATGAGTCATCTCTTGTATATATCTATAGATCTCCAAAACAGCACATAGCAAGGCAAAGTTTTAATTTTAGTTAAAAAAAAAAACAAACAAAGAAACCTTAGCATGGGACTAGAGAGATGAGAGCTGACTGGTTGGGTAAAAGTGCTTGCTGCTCTCACGTGGACTTGAGTTCAATTCCCAGTACCCATGGGAGGTGGCTCTCAACTGCCTTTAGCACTAGTCCCAAGAGCTCTAACAGCACAGCCTCTGCAGACCTCTGTGCTCAGGTGTGCATTCCCTTCATACATAGTTAGAAATAAAAATAAGCCTTTGTAAATCCTCTCCTGCCCACAGGTGATGATTGGGAGGGTGAAATAGTGAGGTCCAGTTCACCTGCCAGTTACATGTGGTACCAAGATGTGAGCCCTGGACCATGTGCGTGGTGACTGTGCAGATGGCAGTCTTCGCTTTGCGCCCAGCCCCCTGGCTACTGGGCTCAGCACTCCCTGCTCCGTGGTCACCAGCACAGGGTAGCGGCTGTGATTGGCTAGTCACTTTGCCTCTGCGGAGGCTTCTCTCTATGGCTGCATGATGGGCGTGAGAGATCACCACCCATCCTTATTAAGAGCATACGTGTGCTACGAGGAGAGACTCACAGAGTCCTCTGACGGATTATACCTGCAACATAAAGTAGTGTCCTTCATATTTTATTTTTTTGTGATGAAGAACCACAAGGAAAATAAAATTTCACTGGGCCTGGTAGCACAGGCCTGTAACTCCAGCTACTTAGTTAGGAAGCTGATATAGGAGGATATCTCATTCAAGGCCAGCCTGGGCCACTTAGTGAGCTATGTCTCGTCAGACAAAGTAAAAAGAGGAGTCTGGAGAGATGGCTCTGCAGTTTAGAGCACTTGCTGCTCTTACAGAAGACCGGAAGTTCAATTCCTAGCTCCTATATGGTGGCTCACAACTGCGGCTCCAGTTCCAGGGCATCAGGTGCCCTCTTCTGGTCTCCAAGGGCACCAGGCATCCATGTGGTATATATACTTGCATACGGGCAAACATACATACAAAATAAAATAAGTCTAGGACTTGCCTAGAGTAAACAAGGCCTTGGGTTCAGTCTTCAGCAACCCACACATGCAAATTAGCACACACACAGTGTTGGAATAATGTGGGCAATAAATTGAAAATAATTAATTAGTACTATATTTATTTGCTTTCTCGAGAGCGGCCCTAAAAGTCTCAGTTTAACAACAACAACAACAAAACGAAAATGAAAAGACCTGTCTTGGTGCAAGCGAACTTTGACGTTAATTTTGTTTATTTTTCCTTTGAGCCAGTCTTGTTATGCAACCAGCTGGCCTGGAACTCATCTGTAGTCCAGGTTGGCTTCAGACTTGCAGCAATCCTCCTGCCTCAGCCTCCTAGGTGTTGCGATTCCAGGACCACCACAGTCGGCAAAAAGACCTTTAAGAGACATTTTGCCTTCTAGGCATCATACCTGGCGTTTGCTTTCTAGAAGATTCGCTTCCCAGGTCCACAGGTCATACAGCACAGCAAATCTGTCCACACTGGCATGAGCCCAGCCCCAACGCTGGCTGCTCTGTGACTGGCTATCCTCTCTGTGACCTGGGAAGAAGCCAGTAGGAATGGTTAGAGCCAGGCCATTCAAATGCTCCTTCTCTGAGGACCACAGATGATTAGCTCCACCCGAGGAGTTGATCTGAGCTGGCGGGTGACTGGGTTCCCCGGAAGTGAACTGAGGGAGCCGCCTGTGAAGACCAGGCCTGCAGTCCACGCTTGTTGACTTCTGAGTCAGTAGTCTGTTTTTACTTTCTAAATTTAAGATTAATTTTAGTAATTTCTATTTTTTTTCCTTTTGGATACAGAACCTAACCATGTAGCCTTGGCTGGCGTAGAACTTGCCGTGCAAACGAGGCTGGCCTGAAACACAGAGATCCACCTACTTCTGCCTCCTGCGGGCCAAGTGTGCACCACCACCCCTAGCTCAGTAATTTTTTTGTTATTGTGAGTTGAAGTCTCATGTAACTGAGGGTAAACTTCCGACCTTCCTAGCTCCACCAAACAAGTAGTGTCCTGGCAATCACAGGCATGTCTGCCATGCCCATGCCGTCTGCTGGGGATGAAGCCCAGGGCTTCCTGCATTCTTGGCCACTGTACCAACTAAACTACATCCCAGTCTTTTAAAGAGTGTTTAGAACTAAAACCAGTTGGCATAAAAACCATCTAAAATTTCCCTGAATTCATAGCTTTAAAGACAGATCATGCACTTCTCCTTTTTCAAAAACTGGTCTCAGGGGTTTAGCAACAGAAATTGATGTATTATTTCTCTCCCTCTCTCTCTCTCTCTCTCTCTCTCTCTCTCTCTCTCTCTCTTTCTCTCTCTCTCTCTCTCTGTGTGTGTGTGTGTGTGTGTGAGAGCACACACCAAAGATCAAGAGGTCAACCTAAAGTACTGTTTCACAGGAGCCCCCACCTTTTGGGGATGTGTTTGGGTTCTCTCCCTGGGAACTGAGTTTCACCATGTACATAAGCTGACTTCTGTCTCCGCCTCCCAGAATAGGTACTACAGAGCTTGCCACCACAGCTAGCTTTTGGGGGTGGGGGAGGGATGAACTCATATACTCAGAATCGAAAGGCAAGCACTTGTGCTGACTGAGCTGGCTCCCCAACCCTATTATTTTCATTAACGTTAACTATGTCAGAAATTTCCAGAGAGCCTTCTAAGATATCCCTTAATTATATTAATTGCCGCGTTAAATCAGCAAAGTTAATCATCATCACTGTTTGGCAAAAATATTTTCTATTGGATTAGTGTTAGCGTCACTGCGAACATGATTATTGCTTCCAATTTATAAGAGGCCTGCTTCGGGAGAAAATACTAGAAGGTCAGAAACATCCAGGTGCCAACATGTGAGCTGAGTAATGACTGACTCCGTGATGGATGTTTAGCAAGAGCCAGGCTCTGTCGAGGGTCCTCTCAGGCAGCAGAAAGCATTTCACAATGGGGGACTAAGCCCTAGTAGCCAGCTTCAAGGACGGGTGTCCTTGTGGTTAAATGTGTTTCGACCGAATTAAACTCTCAGCAGGCAGAAATAGTCACATTGGAGGATCAGTTAATACGGACAAACGTTGGATGGAGCATAACCAGTGAAAATGAAAGCTAAGAGCTAAAATGAAATGTTCCAGAATGTTCAGGGCCAGATTCACATATTCACGGTTGCAGCGATGACCGCCTAGTCGAGTTTGTTCAGTGTCAATATTAAATTAACTCTGCCTGGGATCTCTTTTTTTTTTTTTTTTTTTTTTTTTTTGGTTTTTTGAGACAGGGTTTCTCTGTGGTTTTGGAGCCTGTCCTGGAACTAGCTCTTGTAGACCAGGCTGGTCTCGAACTCACAAAGATCCGCCTGCCTCTGCCTCCCGAGTGCTGGGATTAAAGGCGTGCACCACCACCGCCCGGCACTGCCTGGGATCTCAAAGCTGGCGGTCAAACTTCCTTCGAGAAGCATGTTTGAACACAATGAAGGTGAACTATCTCTGTCACAGTCTACACGCATTTGGACACAGCGCAAAAACTCCCCCTGCTGTACCCCAGTGTGTCTAGACATTCTTAGCTCTTTCCAAAAGCAATAAGAAACCTCCTGGGAACTATCATTACCTTACCTACTTTTAAAATTGGAAGTTTAGGTGATGGTGCCAAAAAGAAGCAAGAATAGTGATATGGGTTGCTGGATTAGCTCAAGTCATGAGTCCTCCTTCTGGGGCTTCTCTGGCATTCTCTTAGCCAGATCCCCCGCCATGCCCGTGGTTCCTGTTAGGAATCAATCCAGAGATGACTCCTGCTTCTAAATGCAGTCTCCTCGGCATCATTGGCTCGGGAGAAACATCATTCATTGTGCTTGTTTCCTTTGCTCTACCCAGAGTCCTGTACTGCATCCCTTCTACCCAGCGGGTGATGAAGAACTACAAGAATTACAACTGATCCCTTAGAGAGCACAGCTCCATCACAAAGGAGAGTTGAGCCCCATGCGGGCACACACATGGGTCAGGGGTAGTGTATGCTTACTCAAGTTTTAAAAACTATTGTTCGGGCATTGGTTTGTGTGTTTTTGTTTGTGTATCTGCTTGCTTTCAGTACTGGAACTCTACAAGAGCCTAGTGCACAACAACCAAGTACTCTACTCTTGAGCTTCATCCCCAACCCTGGCCAGTTGATTTTTTTTCTTTAATCTGCCTCCTTACTTTTTTCTTTCTCAATGTAATGGCTGGCAATGAGCAGCAGTTCTGACTCCAGCTCCTCCAGATCTTGCAAGGCAATGTCATACATGACATACAGGCCAAACTGGTCCTGAGTGTGGACACAGCCAGCCTGCGTGCTGTGGAAGTCGTCCTGGTTTTCAGCTTCCGAGAACTCCAGGAATTGCACGCTGTGGACCTGGGGAAAGAAGGCCAAACCCAAACCCCAAAGTTACTGGAAAAGGGAGAGTTATATTTTGTCCAGTCCCAATGGCCCAGGCAGTGGGTTTCTCCTCCCACACAGCGGACTGCTGAGGCACAGCCAAAAGGGAAGAATCGAATTATATATATAAGCTTCTGTCAAACACTGCGGAACATTTGTTCACCACAAAGAATTCAAATATTTTTATCCCCCGCCCCGCCTTATGAGACCTTTATGTAAATGCTCTAATCCTCCCACCTGTAAAACTTGTTTACACAAAAGCCTGTAGCTTCCTCCTCATAATTTGAGACTTGAGTGACTGACCCCTCCCCCCTTCCTTCATCAAAGACATTCATTTCCAGCGAATGGGGAAAAGACACAGTCACCTGCACTTGGAACAAAACTTAAGTGAATTTGCCATGTAGACATGCTTGCTCTTCCACTTTTATGACTAGCACACCCTTATGAACAAAAGTGAAGATCTACCTTGTCAAGCTGTGTTAGTTGGGGTAGCGCTCTCTTTCTCTGTGCCCCTGAACCACTTGTTTCTAACACACACACACACACACACACACACACACACACACACACACGGACAAAGATTGTTGGTAGGGAGAGGTTGTTCCTGAGGCACATAAAAGACTTTGTTTTTCTAGTTAATTCTAGAGCAACTGGAACCAGGCACTTAGTGGTCCAGAATTTCGGTGGCTTTTGAAGTCAGAGGCTGGGACAGAGGACTTCCAGGATCTTACCCCGGTTGAACTGCGCAGCTGCTCTTAGGCCACTAGCAAAATGGGAGGGGTAGGACATCACGATTTGGGAATATTGGGGGTGCCTTTGAGAATAATGGAGCCTTTCTCAGCTTTCCCCACTGCTAGCAAAGCCCACCAAAGGCTGAAAAACTCTACAGTCACCAAAGTCACCCTGAGTCAGTGGCTTTCCAGGTCTTAGAAATCTAAACAATTCATGGATCACAGAATTTTAGTGGGGAACTTATTACAGAGTCGGGGGGGGTGCTTAAAAGGGAGAGGGAGCACGGCTTCCATAGAGCAGGGTGGGTCCCAGGAAACCGGCTACCATCTAGATGCTGGCCTGGGCTTTTTCAAGGCAGCAATCACGGTGAGGGATCGGAAGGGAGATGAGCCAGTTGGTCCAGTTGGTCCAACCAGGTGCCCAGGTGCCTCTTCAGAGTCTCTGTCGTCACTCACTTCTAGCCTTTAGGTGGAGGTGATATTTAGAAGATAATTTAGATAATATTTAGAAGAACTCGCTTCTGGGATTTCTGGCCTCCAGCAAGGACTTTCTCAGCCTTGGGTTGCTGCAGAATCTGATCATTTCCCATCTCCCGCTCACGTTTCTACACTACACTCATTGTGTGGAATAAGTAATACCACGTAGGCGGGGCACACTGGACTCATACACATTAGCTGTTAAAAACATTGTTCTTTTAACTCCGTGAGTTCTGGGCTGGAAGGGCTCAATGGGTAACACACTAACCAGCAAAGCCTGCTGTCCTGAGTTTGATCTCCACAACATTAAAAAAGCCAGATGTAATCACACATATCTGTATCCCCAGGACACATCTGTAATCCCAGCTCTCCTACCTAGAGAGGAGGAGCAAAGACAGAATTGCCTGGAAGCTCACAGGCCAGCTAGCCCGAGTAAGTTGTACAGATGCAGAAACAAGAGGGACTGCCTTGAAACAGGCTGGACAATGAGGATTCCTGAAAGTTGTCCCATGGTGCTCGTGCATGCACACACACACACACACACACACACACATACACACACACACACATACACACACACACACACACATACACACACACACATACACACACACATACACACACACACACACACACACACACAATTCATGTTTAGTTCTTCAAGTTCCAACAAAATGCATTAGCAATCTCATGTCTTAGTAATTTTCTGTGTTGGATAATGTCCTCCCAAATTCATATACACCTGGAAATCTTTTTTTTTCTTTTTTAAAGTTTTTCGAGACAGGGTTTCTCTGTGCATCTTTGGCTGTCCTGAAACTAGCTCATGTAGACCAGGCTGACCTCGAACTCACAGAAGGCCACCTGCCTCTGCCTCCTGAGTGCTGGAATTAAAGGCATGTGCCACCACCACCTGGCACACTTGGAAATCTTTGAACAAGACTTTATTTGGAAACAAGTCTTTACAGAAATAAAGTAAAAGATCATCCTACTGGGTTAGAGTGGATTCTAATCCAACAAGTGGTGTCCTTATGAAAAGAAGGAAATTGGAGCTTGACGCCAAAGGAAGAAGGCCCCAAAGCTTACAAGGATTTATCTGTAAGTCAAGCAATGTCCAATTTTAGCACACACCTGTAAAGCCAGCTGCCGCAGAGGTGGAGACAGGAGGATCACAAGCCGTGGGACGATCTGACACATTAGTGAGCTCTAGTCTCTAAATAAGACACTGTAAGCTGGAGAGGAGAGCTACCGATGTGGTCAGTGGAAACCTGTCAGCCGAGCTCGTGTGAGGCTCTGGGCTTAGCTCCTAGTACCTCACTCAAGAAAACGAGGAGGGAGAGGTGAAGGCAAGAGAGAGGAGGAGCAGGAAGAAGGGCCAGAGGATGGCAAGAATTGCCCCAAACTACCAGACGTTGGAAGAGGCTCAGAAGGCTCTCCCTTGGAGAAAGTGTGGTCCTGCCAACACCCTGGCTCCGGACAGGTGGTATCCAGAGCTGCGGCGTCCATTTCTGCCACGAGCCACTCACTTTGCTGTGGCAGCTCTGCAAATTATCACAACCGAGAAATACTTCAACTGTGTCACTGTTAGCGGAAAGTTCCTGAGACTCTCTGCATTGTTCTCTAAGGCATTTTAGCCACAGCTGCAGAGGTAACTGGCCTGTCCCCGGCACTGCCTGGGTTGTGGTTCTATTACTCTCCTGCTTCCTTCCCTCACCTGTGAGTTTTTTCGGTCCTATGAAGACCCTCTTTATAAAGGCTTTCTTTGTGGTTTAGAGAGTGGGTCCTGTCATATTGTTCTTGGAGGAGCAGCAGGAAAAGGAGGGCAGTAATTAGTGTATGAGTAAGAAATAAAATGACCTTTGGAATGATCCATGTGTGCTTAAAGTCTGGATAGTAACTGGGACCAAGGTAACTATTTGACAAATAAAGTAACTGCAGGAAAACTAGGGACCGTCATGTGTTTTACATCCTGTCCCGACTTACCCACGTGAGCTTTAGGTCTTTCTGTGACATAAGGGCACTTATCTGACTGATTTATACTTTCCTGAAGTATCCTGCATTAAGATAATATTAATAGTCATTCAGCCTAAGACCCCAGTCAAAACTATTGGGCAAATGATAGACTTAATAGCTTCCATTTTTAAAACTTTTTTAAAAACATTCTCTTTGTCCCTCCTTCCCTTCTTTCCCTCCCTCCTTCCCTTCCTTCATCCTTCCCTCCTTCTCTCTTCCACTTTCTCCTCCTCCCTCTCTGTGTACATGGGGGGGGGGAGTCAGAGGGCAGCTTGCAGGACTGGGTTTTCTCCTTCCGTCATGTGAACTCCTAGGACCTAGCCTAGGTTGCCAGGCTTGGTGGTAAGTACCTTTACCCACAGAGCCATCTCACTAGGACCAGTGATCTTCTTTATAAAGAAAATCAAAGATATCGTTTGCTCATTTTTTTCTCCTGTTCTATAAGTTATTATTGTAGACAGAAGTTTCTGTCTCACCTGGTTCCATAGCCCTCAGTCCCAAAGAAACACACAGGAGCTTATATTATTGGCCTATTGCTTAGACTTACTACTCACTAGCTCTTATGACTTAAATTCACCCATAATTCTTCTCTATGTGTAGCCACACGGCTTGGTACCTTATCTCAGGGAGGCATTCTCATCTTGCTTCCTCTGTGTCTGAGGCTGCAGACAGAGCCTTTCCTCTTCCCAGAATTCTCCTAGTCTGGTAGCCCCACCTATACTTCCTGCCTGGCTATTGGCCAGTCAGCATTTTATGAAGCCAATACGAGTGATGAATCTTTACAGGGTGCGAGAGCATTGTCCCAGAGCACATTATTGCTGCAGCGAATCGTCCTACATTTCAGCAGCATGATGCACCTCACAGAGCACCTCCATGCAGTCTTCTTTTGATTGTAACATTCTGTTATGAGTAGAGCTTTTCTTTGCAACTAAATATTAAATAAATATGACCATGTGAAAGATAAAAATTCAAGTCTTGATGGGTGGTGGTGCACACCTTTAATCCTAGCACTCAGGAGACAGAGTCAGGCAGATCTGAGTTCAAGGCCAGCCTGGTCTTCAGAGGTAATTCTAGGATAGCCAGGGCTACACAGAGAAATTCTGTCTCGAATAACAACAACAACAACAACAACAACAAAAAGTCTCAGCTTCCTTTTGCTACTTGAGTATCCCTTTGTCCACCTTGGTCACGCTGAACTTCTCGATAACCCTGCAGTGGGCTGGACACAGCCCTGCTTGGGGCCTCTGTATTGACCTTCCCCCTGCTAGACACTCCCCCAGTAAGTCAGATTGCTTCATGAGTTCCTTCAGGCCTTTCCTCCCACAGTACCTCCTTTGTAAGACTCTCCCCTTCACCTCCTCACCAGGGGCATCCACCGCCCATTCCACGTTCACCGGGAGCACCCACTGCTCACTCCACGTTCACCAGGGGAATCCACTGCCCACTCCACATTTACCAGGAGCATCCACAGGAGACAAATACCGTCCTCCCATACTAACTGTAGGACTAGCATTTTGGGGCTTTGCCGTATGTCATTTCTGCTCTCCCATAAATGATAGGCATCAGACTAAAAACTCCACATTCACCAGGGGCATCCACTACCCCACTCGAGTGCTCTCGGTTCTCCATTGCACCATCACAATCCTCAGGAGTTCACAAAGGCTACACTACCCCATGGTCAATAGCTCTAAAGCACAGTGACGGAAGTGAATGTCTCACTCATAGAGAGCCATTGCGGGACCAGCGGCTCTCTAGACCATAGCACTAGACCAGCAACCAAGGACAGCAATGTTTCCATCTTCCCATGTGACCATCACCTTCTACTGGCTGAAGCAGGGGAGGACAGCCAGAGGGTGTGGAGCAGCTCCTAGTGCTCTCATTTCTGCTCACAGCTCAAAGCGAGTCACAGGCCCACTCACCTGAGAGAGCCAGGAAGTCTAGGGAAACTTTAGCGCCATCTCACCCTCTATATGATACATATTGTATGCTTTTTAATGTCTCTTGCTGGGTGGTAAGTTTCCTTATGGTGAGAACTTGTGCTAGTTCTGTGTGCTGCTATACCCCTGTGCGTAGAATAGAGCCTAGTTTAGCTATTTGTCAGCATACTTGTGGGAGGAAGGAAGGAAGCATGGCTCACAGCCTATGGGGACAGATAAGCCAACAGCGGGGCACAGCTCCATGCTGGATCCTATAACGAGCTGACAAGCCATAAGATGAAACCATCGTTCTACACAGAGATATAAAGAAGGATTTCCCAGAGAGATTTTAGGAATGGACTCTTGAGTCAGAATACACGTTTGCCAAGGAGAGAATGGGAGAGTGGCAGAGGAGCCCGGAGGCCTGGAAGGCTCTGTACAGACAGAGGAGGGTCCAGCCCTACCTCCTGGAGAGTCTAAAGGCAGGAGAGGGAAATGAGGTCGAAGAGTTTGGCAGGGCCCAGAACACACTCAACCTTGTAAACGTCACCAAGAAAACCGGAAGTCTTGTGAGGAAAAGGAAACTCATCAAGGACTTCCAGCAGAATATCAAGCGTGTTTATATCTGGGCAGCCCCCGAGAAACTTGCAAAGCCAGAGGGAGGCATTCTCTTTAAAATCCTCCAGTTCCCATTGCCTTAGGAACTGGTCCCATATTGAAGGAGAGCCAAGCCCCCAGTGGTCTGGCTCACTCTGTCTTGAGGCCTCACCTCCCACCACTTCCTCTCCAAAGCCTTCTGCAAGTTGCAGACCAAGTTGCAACACACCCTGAACTCACCGTGGGGCATCAGGTTCCCATGACTGAGGAGCCACAGGCAAGGTTCTATAGGAGGAGCCTACTGTCTCTCAGGTGGGGCTCCTTCTACTCTGCCATGTTATATAGGCACATAAGACGACAAGGTGGCTCTGAGAGACCGTAGAAGACTTCTTTGGCTAGCATGACTGTTAAGTAAACAATCATTAATACTAAAGCCCAAAACTTTCCTTGCAGGATTAAAACAGGGGCCAAACCAATGTGCTGGGGAGGAAGCGTCCATCTTAGGAGCTTGACCCACACCCAATAAACCAGCTTGTCTCATCCCAGCAGCTTCCTTCCTGGACTCGATGAGATGAACACAGTGGATTAGCATCTGTGCCCTTTCCCCATCCCCGGGGCTGGATATCCTAATGTAAATATTTGATCCTATTAAAGACCTGACAGAAGGTACTGCCTGGTGTGTCTCACATTAAACAGCAGCATCTGGGAGTGTTTTTAGTCTGAAGCCTATCATTTATGGGAGAACAGAAATGACATACTGCAAAGCCCCAAGATGCTAGTCCCACAGTTAGCAGGGGAGGATGGTATTTGTCTCCTGTGGTAGTCTGAATATAGTTGGCACCCATATGCTCATAGGGAGTGGCACTATTAGGAGGTGTGGCTTTGTTGGAGTAGATGAGGCTTTTTGGAAGAAGCTTGTCCCGGGGGGGGGGGGGGCATCTCATATATGCTCAAGTCACACCCAGGGCTTCAGTTCAATTCCTGCTGCCTTCAGGTCAAGATGTAGAACTCTCAGCTCCATCTCCTGCACCATGTCTGCCTGCACGCTGCCATGCCCCACCATGATGATAATGGACTAAACCTCTGAAAATGTAAGCCACCCCAGCTTCAGTGTTTTCCTTTATGAGAGTTGCAGTGGTCACGGCAGTAGAAACCCTAACTAAGGCATCTTGTCTCCCCCACTTTATTTCTTTCTATTCCTCACTCCAGCTCAGAACAAAGGGGGAGAGGGCCTCTTTTGTTGTTAGGGGATATATGTACACTATGTGAAGGTGTATCGCTGTGATTGGTGTAATAAAAAGCTGAATGGCAGATAGCTAGACAGGAGGTATAGACAGAATTTCCAGGGAGAGAGAGGAAGAGAAGAAGGAATCAAGGTGCAAGAGAGATGCTCGGAGAGACAGAGAGGAAACAGGAGGTGTAAGATAGAAGAGATGTAACACAAAGTGATAGAACGTAGATGAATAAAAATGTATTCATTTAAGTTATAAGAGCTAGTTAGAAACAAGCCTAAGCTAAGCTTTCATAATTACTAAGTCTCTGTGTTGGTATTTGTGAAATGTGACCCAAAAACCCGACTACAGTACGTCACAGCGGTGGTGGGATCAATATAGGAAAGAGGAAGATGCACTTGCTTTGCACAGGTGTTTGGCTGAAGAGTTTTGAGCCTCTTCCACAGGTCCATGGAGCAGTAAGCCAGTCGGGGCTATGACTGAGCTCAAAGGAGTAAGAAACCCGAAGAGCGAAGTGATCAGGGCAGAAGTCTGAGTGTTGTGAGCGGGGAGGAGGTACAAGAGCTCGTGAAAGGTCAGGAGAATGCTGCCCTGGAAACTCTACATGACTGGATGAAGAAAACAAAATACTCCCCAATATCCAGAGCTGCCCTGCCCAATGTGGTAGCCTCAAGCCAATGCACTTTGTGTGGACAATATGCCCCGGAGTCTAAAGAATTCAGACAAAAGTCTGTGCCCTATTTCACCATTGATTTTTTAAAATACTGATTGCATGTGAGAATAATGTCTCTTGTACATGGGGTTACATGGGTTGTATTGGAATTAATTTCACACATTTCTTTACATGTTTTAAATGTAGCTACTAGGAAATTTGACATTATGTATATTGCTCTCATATGCTTCTACAGCACAGAGAGAGCTGGCTAGACTCTCCATGCGAAGCCGCAGTTAACAGAATTCCCTGTCTTATGGGTGCAGCAGGCTGTCAGGGAACGCAGTCTAGAATATGACCTGTCCGAAGCTAAACAAGTCTTATTTTTCACGTTTGTCTTTTTATTTTATTTATTTATTTATTTTTGAGACAGGGTTTCTCTGTAGCTTTAGAGTCTGTCTATGTTTGTCAATCTAATTTCATTCTCCTTAAAATTTTTAATTCATTTTTAAGACACTTATCTATTGTATGTGCATGTATGGGTGTTCATGTCACAGTGAGTGTGTAAATGCACACATACACATCACAAGTACGGAGGTCAGAGGTCAACTTGCAGGAGCCACATTTTCATTCCACCAAGTTGGTCCTAGGGATTATACTTGTAATTCTTGAAGGCAAGCACCTTTACCCAATGAGCCATCTTGCTGGCCTTCAAATTCTTCATTTTTGAGATGGGTCCCACTATGCGACCCAGGATGGACTCAGATTCACTTCCGTGGGCCTCACCTCTGCAGTACCTGTACTACGGGTGTCTAGGAGACACTATCCGGCTTCATCTAGCGTCTTCTACGGGTGTCTAGGAGACACTGCCTGGCTTCATCTAGAGTCTTCTACGGGTGTCTAGGAGACACTGCCTGGCTTCATCTAGCATCTTCTATGGGTGTCTAGGAGACACTGCCTGGCTTCATCTAGCATCTTTTGGGAAAACAGAATTAGAAAGTTTCGTGTGGCCAGGTCTGGCCCCAGTCACGTAGCTGAAGATGACCTCAGACTCCAGATATTTCTACCTGGACTTCCGAGTGCAAGGGTTCTAGTCAGGCACAAACACACTTGCCTTAAACTACTATTACCTTAAAGGGCTTGAGATCAGAAAGGTACGTGGCACATTGTCAGAGAGAGTCTTGAAAGGATCTGGTGAGACACGTGGGCCAGGAGAGGGAAGCTCTTGTCACTTTCTGTCACTCTGAAGCCAGCCACCCCGGGGTTTGACTCCTTCCTTCCTGATGTGTCTGCTCCTGCTCTCAAGTGGTCACTGTCAAGGCTGTTCATTAGCTTAGCTTCGAGACAAGGTCTCACTGCACGCACAGCCCAAGTCCCTTCCGCTCAGCTCTCACAGGCTGTGATCACAGCCATTGTCACCACGCTCAGCCTGGCCACCAAGTTTAGCGGTCCTCACCGTCACTTCCTCTTTCTCTGCATCTTTATTACCACACGTTAAATGTACCAATAATGGGGTTCACTGTGCTTTTTATATAGATTTCTACATGCCCCCCATTGCCCTCTCTTGTCGGTTGGTGCCCACCCCTCAGGTCCTACCTCTAAATGGTGGTTCTCCACCAGGCTGATTTTGCTTACCGTGACTCCCCAACTCTTGCTCCACTATGTTAACTGATGGTAGTGCTAAGGAAACATTAGAAAGACACACTAATCAGGGTATAAAAACTCAGCCGAATAGCTCACCTTGTGTTCAGCAGATGTCCCATGGACATAGTGGTGATCTCCCAGGCCTTGCAAGGTGCCCAAGCCTCCTTTTGCCATATTTACCCAGGAATTATCTCCCACAGTGGGGACCAGCTTCCCTGAGACCGAGGTAAGGCCTGAAGTGTTGATCGTCAAAGTCCGCTCAACGGATCTGAAGTAGTTAAGAACTCCCAGACAGACGCGCTGGAACAGAGGAATAAAGGCATCAGGACACCGCCCTGCGCTTTGCCCTGCCCTACAGAGCAGAACCTGATGGGGACTTCAAGGGGACAGCCCTACTGTGGAGAAAGGGGACCACCATCCCTGGACGGAACTGATTTCACACACACACAATAATGAAGAATGAACGCATTGCTACTAAAGGTAGGAATGCCCCCATTCTAGACAATCTCCAATGCATGGAGCCGTGGATGCCATCGTGCCTGCACCTGTAGCTCCCGGATGTGCAGGTGACGCAGACACAGGAAGGAGAAGTAAGCCCCTCTCATCAGGACAGGATTCCGCTCAGGCTCCGTCCCGTCGCTCAAGCCCAGCAGTTGCAGGGTCATTGCATAGCTGCTTCTTTAGCGGGGAAGAAACAGTATGAGCGCGTCCCATCCCAAAGCTGCTCAGAAAACCCGCTCATCCCACAGGGCGCGTGGCCGAACTGAAGGGGCTTTGCGATAGAAACGCACCGGAAGGAAAACAACGCCCGGAATGCGTAACACGGAGAGCATTGCACTGAGCACCCACCCCCTTTGAAAGCCACCGTCCTGGGGAGAGACAGGAATTCAGATATCTGACCCTTGTTCATAGTTCTACTTTCATTCTGACTTCAAATGTTTTTGAGGTAACATAAACTACGCACGCATCGGTCCCTCAAATTTCCCCACAGTTTTAAACCCACTTCCATGAATCACCAATCCGCAGATTTCATTACCTAGTCTCTGTCTTCTGCTTGAGAGACCCATCAGAGCTTTGGCTGAGATGTATTTTCCCAAGGTCACCGTCGCCTGGTTCCACCGAAAGACTCTCATCCTTCACATTTTCATTCTGCCAGAAAACGGTATTAGCTCAACTTTTGTAAGCATTTATGATACCAACAAAATCATAGGTCATTGAAAGGTAAATGTCATGATCCAAAGCACAACAGATGTGTGGTAAACGTGTCTTAATCCCAATCAGCATATGAAAGTCTAGATTTCTACAATAAATGAGGGAGTAACTGTTTTTACCAGAAAAAAAATCTTTGTTTTATTGACATCTTTTATATAAAAATCACTCCATTTCTTGTCTTTTATGTGGTTTGCTTCATGAAAAGTATATGATAAAACATTTTTTTCAAGAACATATACTCTCTCTCTTTTTCGTGTGTGTGTGATCAAGGATGTTTATGTCCTTGCCTGCACCTGCCCACAGAAGCAGTCAGAAACTGCAGCTGGGTGTCAGCTGTCTCCTTCAGTCACTTCCACCACTCTTTTGTTTTTTGAGACAACGCAGCTTATTGAACATGGGGCCCATGGGATCATCTAGACTGACGAGCTCCGGGTTTAGTAAGAGCCCCTGTCAGGCCTCTTGTGGATGTGTGGTTTGTGGGTATCTGGGCTCCCAGGGACAACTGTGGTGGAGGTGTTATTAGTGACCTGCCCTTGGCCCTCCTGGTGACCCAGTGGCAGAGGTGGAAACGTGTGAGTTATGTGTATGCTAGCATCTGGTTCACAGGATGGCAGAGTCCTCTCTGACTCCAGCAACAGACTATCCACCCTGGCACTTGGCCGCTCAGATGAACGTGGCATTTCCAAGCCGTACTGCAGCTTCTGGGAATAACCCAAAGACGTGGGTTCCCGGAAGCTGCGATACGGCTGGACTTTGACCCTCTCTCCTCCCTTTCCCCATTCATTTCATCACAGGGCCTCAGTGACCAGGTGGGGAGGCTTGGAAATATCACATTTGTTTGAGAGGCCAAGGCCAGGATGGATATTCTGTTGCCGTAGTAAAGGAGAAATGGCCTCTTCCTTAGAACAGGAATGTGACAGCTGGGCTGTTTCAGGCCACGCCATCTCAGGTACAGCAGTCACACTCTTGAAACTTCAGGACAGACAGAGCTGCCCAAGGACCCCAAGGAACAGAGTTGCCCATCAGCTCCGCACTTTTTTTATCTATATCCAGATGTTCAATCCAGGAGAAGAAGGCATAATTTCCAATTCATTTGATCCCTCACCATTGTGTTTTACCATGACCAACAGACGAGTTACGTTTAACGGATGCAGTTCCCAAGGCTGTATGTGAAGAGGGTCATTTCCCTGCTGAGCTTGTAGTGTTCCCAGCTACAGTTCAACACGTACCCAGAAGGGAATATCTGAGCCGCATCCTTTCTCTGAGGGGATTTTGACTTTTTCAGTTGCTTCAAAAATTACCAGAGCAAAAAGTGACATCAGATTACAGTGAAAGACACTTGAAAGAATGATCAAATAAAGCACCAGGGGATGCTGGGCCAGTGGATTGCCAGGAAGGAAGCAAGAAGGAAGAGACAGCGTAGCATCCTTCAGGGAAAGGACCCAAGCACAGGAAATGTTCAAAGCCCAGGAGAACATTCCTCAGGAGCAGCAGACCTGCTGGGAAGCCCAGGGCAGAGCAGAGTGTCCACGGCCCCACCGACCCCACCGACCCCACCGACCCCGTCTGTGGTTGCTCTCTCTTCCCAGGAGGCAGATCTTTGCCCCTGACCCTGCCTGTGACAGGTTGTTTTCCAAGATGGCCGAGCTCGTGAATTTTGAGTTCGGAATTTCTACTGACTGCCAAACTCGCTTCTTTCTTAAAAGCTGGCAAAAACAGTGGGCTGGAAAGTAGAATGGGAAGAAAACTTAGCTGAAAGGTCTATTACACATTTCCTCATTCTCAAGTGTCCACCACTTATGAGTGTGCATCCACAGAATATCATTGTAGCCAGGATGTAAAGGGAACATTTAAAACTGTGCCGCTTCAGATTATAAAGTCAAAGTTTTTTCCTTCTTTATACTTTTCTGCATTTCCTAATTTCCCTTGATAAATTTGCGTCCCTACTATCATTCAACAATATTTACTTTGTAAATATTTTAAGTGTGTATGTGTGCACGTATGTGCATGATGTATAACTCTATGACATGGACACACATATGTCTTGGTGTGTGTGTGCGTGCGTGCGTGTGTGTGTGTGTGTGTGTGTGTGTGTGTGTGATATAGGACAGCTTTTAGCGATCAGTTCTTTCCACCATGGGCTCCAGTGACTGAATTCAGGTCATCATGTTTTTGTGGCAAATCAATTTTATCTACTGAGCCATCTTGCTAGTCCAAAAATACTTATTTATTTTTAATTAGAGTTATTTTATTTTTTATGCATATGGGTGTTTTGCCTGCATGGAAGTCGGTATAGCATGTGTATGCCTAGTGTTCTTGGAGGCTAGAAGAGGTCATTGGGTCCTTTGGAACTAGAGTTACACCAGTTGTGATCCTCTGTGTGCATATTGAAATGAACCCAGGTCCTCTGAAAGAGCAGCCAGTGTTCTTAATCATTGACCTATCCCTCCAGTTCCAGAAAAAAATATTTATAATAAATATTCTATTGAATTTGATGAGGAGCACTCAAGAAAAAGTCCTGTAGTTTGCTGATCTTGCTTTTGGGAATTGCCATGTCCCATACTACTGGTGGGCCTCATACTAACTGCCTCCCACCATCTCTGGAGTCAATCTGGAGAAGTGATAGGCAGAGTGTGTGTGGTGCGTGGCCACTGAGCATGAGTGAAGGCTCTGCCACTGCTCACCGGTCCTGTAGCCAGAATGTGGTACTTCCTGCCATGGATCACTTCATAAGCTTCCTGTTTAAACTGTATCTTAAGCATCATCATCAGAAGAAAATCTCTGTATTGAGCCACTTTAAAGTGTGTTCCTTAGGGAGGTGGCACAAGACACTGAACTGACAATCAGGTTGTGGGCTCCCAAGGACAGCATAGCCTGGCTCGTTTTGCCCTTGACCAGATCAAGACTATAGCTAAATATGCTTCGTCATTGTCAAAGACTAATAAAAACTATGGTCTGATTCAGGGTCGTGTCAAGCATACATCACCATCAAGTAACAATAATAAGAAAACCTGATGTGTTTCTTTACTTCCAAACTCCAGACCTTGAAGTCAATACAGAATTAGAATTACATTAAAAAGAAAGGTCAGCCTTTGGTGTTAACGGCTAATAGAAGATAAAATCAAACTGTGATAGCACCATTGTAAACATTAGTGATACCCAGGCACAAAAATCATGTCAGAATGCACAGGGGGACGAAGATGCCCATCTGTGACTGGTATGGAGGATGTGCTGCCACCCTGGCATCCTCTGTGCCAGCAAATTTTATTTCTGTATCTATTCTAATGTAACACACACTTCAGTGATGTGGGATTCCCCCTGTACAATGTGAGTACCATTGGTTAATAAAGAAAATGTTTTGAGCCTATGGCAGGGCAGAACAGAACTAGGTGGGTAAGCTAGGCTGTATGCTGGGAAGAAGAGGGTGGAGTCAGAGAGGAGCCATGGAGCTGCGGCCAGAGACAGACATGCTAAAACTTTAGCCGGTAAGCCACAGCTACATGGCGATACACAGATTACTAGAAATTGGTTAAATTAAGATATAAGTGTTAGCCAATAAGAAGCTAGAGTTAATGGGTCAAGCAGTGTTTTAAATAATATAGTTTCTGTGTGATTATTTCGGGGCGAGCAGCCGAGAACCAACAAGTGGCCTCCTAACAACACTTAAGGAAAGCAGGCTCCCTTCAGCAAATCCTAATCCTAGCACTTGGGAGGTGGAGGCAGGCAAATCTCAGAGTTCAAGGCCAGCATGGTCTACAGAGAGGGTTCCAGGACAGCCAGGCTTACACAGAGAAACCCTGTCTCAGAAAACCAAACAAAAAGAAAGAAAGAAAGAAAGAAAGAAAGAAGAGAAGAGAGAGAAGAGAAGGCCCATTTTTTTTTCCCATTCCCCCAGGTCTTGAGAATATCAGTCAAGCACTCCACCACTGAACCACACACATAGCCTGTAGGTCTGGTGTTTGATTTTGTTTACTTGTGTGTTTTATTTTTGAGACAAGATCACCATGCAGCCGAGGCTAGCCTGGAGTTCATTATATAGCCCATGCTGGCCTCAAATTCTTGATTTTCTGGTCTCTTCCTCTCTTGTGCTGGGATTACAGGTATGAACCACCATATCTGATTAAAGTTCAAGTATGTGTGCACATGTGCGTGCGAGTGTGTGTGTGTGTGTGTGTGTGTGTGTGTGTGTGTATGACACGATGCTGGTTTATATGTGTGGAGAAGTCTGAGATCAACCTTGAATGTTGCTCTTCAGGAGCCGTCCATCTTGGTTTTAGAGGTCTCTCTCTCACTGGCACCCAGGGCTCACTGATTAGGAAAGTCTGACTGCCAGCAAATTCCAGAAATCTGGTTACTTTCACCTCCCCAGGGCTGGGATGTCAAATATGTACACCATGTCCAGCATCTTAGCTACAATTTCTATTGCTGCAACAAAACACCATGACCAAAAAGCAACTTGGGGAGGAAAGGATTTATTTGACTTACACTTCCACATTGCGGTTCATCACCAAAGGAAGTCAGTACAGGAACTGAAGCAGGGCAGGAACCCAAAGGCAGCAGCTGATGCAGAGGCTGTGGAGGAGTGCTGCTTACCGGCTTGCTTCCCATGACTTTCTCAGCCTGCTTTCTTATAGAACCCAGGACCACCAACCCAGGAATGGCACCACCCATAACAGGTTGGGCCCTCCCCCATTGATCACTAATTGAAAATGTCTTACAGCTGGATTTTTAGAGACCTCAGCTGAAGTTCCCTCCTCTCTGATGACTAGCTTGTGTCAAGCTTACATAAATCCAGCCAGTATACCCATCTTGGACCCTAGCTCCTTCAGCAAACATTTTATCAGCTGAACTGTCTTTCTAGTTCCTAGACCTGGTTTTTAATAAGAGAAGATTTTGGCTAGGGCTATTCATGGATGACCATGTAACCTGTAGCATAT